CTAGCTAAAAGTTTTTTATTCTCGATATTTTAGACAAACTTGTTGGATTTTACTAAAACCATTATTTCACTCTAACTGAAAGAGTAATACTGTCGACTCTCTCTTAACGGACACCTCTAGAAGACAGACACCTCTGTAAAATGGACACTTAGAGTTGGTCCCTGCTTTTCTTTACTCCTTTTATTTGACTCTCTATAAGACGGACACCTCTCTCAGACCGACACTTAGTACCGGTCCCAAAGGTGTGCGTCTTAGAGAGAGTTGAATGTAAAAGGATAAAATTAATAAAGGATATGGCGCCATTCAGCCATTGATTGCCAGCCTCATCTCCCGCAGTGTAGTTTGATAATTGTCGATGATCACCCCATGGTGCTTAAAGAATTTTTGTTAATATCACGGAGTTTAAGATACCACCAATGTATCCTTAGAGAGCAAAACTGTAATAAAGACGTTCATTACCTTAAGCAAGGACTGCTACAATCTTCATGAACAGTTGTCAACTTTTGCCCCCGTTGATAACAACCAAGTGTCAGATCTTTACCGGCACCCCAAACACAATTGCTACCCTGGAAATTTAACAAAAAACAAGCTTTTATTACATGTATTTTCGGGAACTTCTGACAAGGTTAAGTCCGGTTTTTCTGGACAAAATGTTCTTAAATGAAATGTGTGTTCCACTTGTTTAAACCCTTTGATAGTCCTTGATACTACACTTGAACCTCTCCAAAATGGCCGCTGTAGAGAGGTTTAAACAAGAGTCAATGTACGGACTGTCTGCTGGAACAAAAATTGGCTGTTGTCGAGAGCTGGCCATTGTGGAAGTTTGATTGTAGTTTCACAAAGCTGTTTTTCAGTGAAAGGAACTGTTTTGTGTGCATGGTAAGTGTGATTCCAGAATGAAATTAACCAGTCCTGAGTTTTCCTTTCCTTTTGCCCAAGCTGTGAACCGAATGGTTCAAAAAGCCCCAGGTGTGACAATAAAACTTGGTATTATGACAAGTACCTGATTACAAGATGAACAGTCCACATAGTCTGAACACACTGTGCATTCTGTTTGATTTAAAGTGAGATGATTTCCACTACTGTCAAAACAAGAGCCAGTATTGCGTGACACACAGGCTGTCACACACCATCCACAATTTGCATTTGTCATGCATGCAAGGCAACTCTTGTGCCCTGAGCAGTTTGAACTGCTGTAAGGCTGGAGGAATTGTGCTGATAAAATCTATAAGAAATAACTGATGGTGAGAAACCAAACTTACTGAGTTAACTAGCGATAGGTAAAATGGACCCTTGCAGGGCTTGGAAAAAAATTTGAATTCAAGCTTGTCCTTTGGGCAAGCAGCTTTTACAATTTTGCTTGCCCAGGGCCATGTCTCATTTTAGTTTAGGTTTCTGGGAAACTGCCCACCTACCCCTCCCCTATGCTAGCATTAACACATACTTCTCACTTAGGGCAAAATGTTGGCTTAGGGGAGGGGAAGGTGGGCAGTTTCTCAGAAACCTAACTTGTTAGAGGATGATTTGCCTGTACCCTTCCTTGCCCGTTAGGCAAATGAGCATTAAAAGTTACTTGCCCAGCAAGAAAATCTACTTATCCTGGACTACCGAAGGGAACTTTTTTTCCAAGCTGTTTATGCTTTGATTGTAAGGGAAGTGTTTCAAGTGCTAAGAAGGTTAGGTTATACACAAAAATACTTGGGATTTTTTGCATTTAACTCTGTCAGTTTTCAAAATGGGGTACCTGTGCATAGATGTATCCTTTTCGAACTCACTGCTTAAACGCTTAAACTGAAAGCTAAATGGAATTTAGAAACAAAAATATGCATTGCTCCATAAGGATGAAAACAACCAAAGCTGTCATTAAAGGGTAAACAGACATATGCTCACCTCATGTGTCCTAATACTACTACCCGGACTTGTTCGGTTCCAACTGAGTGTGAAATGAGAATTGCCACCATCTTGGGGTGAAGTTTTGTTTATAATGACCTTGATAAAGTAGCGTTTGTCTTCAGCTTGTGACGGAAAGAGTCTCTGGTTGCTGCTACGCTGAAGGTGTTTAAGGAGGCAACCTCCCCCAACAGGGTCTTTACAACTGCCTACCAACTCCTGACAGAAAAAGAAAAATTACACATTTCTTAATGTTTTGGACGCAGTTAAATGCAATTTAAATGAGTTCACAACAGGTCTTATCTTGCTGGCCAGCAATGTTGAAAGATGTACATGCCCCTGGGATCCCATGTGCTCTTGGAGTTGTGTGAGTTGTACCATGTTCAAGTGAGATTAAGTGTTCTGGCCTTTCATTAGTATTCAGCCTTGGCCTTGTACAGACTCAGTTTATAGCCATTTGCCCCTCCCTTCCCTAGTCACTCCAAAGACTTGCTCAGTGTGACAGGTGCCTGTTTTCTTCCCTAGCATGTGGGGGCTCTTGGCTGGGATGCCAGGATTTGCCAGCCATGGGAGTGGTCTCCTTTTCCTTAAATACAAAGTTCCCTGGGGGAGCGTGCCATTTGTTATCCCTGTAAGTAGCACAGCAATAATATATGGCTGTACAAAATTCTATTAAGAACCCTTGCACATTCATGATTTGAGTCACTGAGCCCCACATGTATAGTACTATAAAGTTGTCATACACTTACCTGGTTAGCTTCTGTGTCATCTGTACTAAGCCACACTTCAACTTTACCAGACGCAAAATTAGAGATTGAAAAAATCATTCCATAATCCCTCCAAGGAGATGATAGGTATTTATAGGGGTATATATATCCAATAAGCTGAACTGTGGAAGGACGCAACACCCAGACTTCTGTCTCCAAAGCAATCATAACGTTATCAGGAATAGAATTGAGTGGATACATTTGATTTTCCACAACTGTAATCCCTGGAGGGTGGTCACTGCTCTGGCACTGGTTAAATGACGTCAGAAATTGTCCAGAGTCACCCCACCAGCCTCTCAAAGATTCTATGTTGTTGTTGTTTACTGTTTGACAGGCACCCGTGGGGGACCCAGTTGGGTAGCAGCTACTATCCTGCACACACCAGCCACAGGCCGTACTTCCAAATGATAAACAAGTACCACACTGCTTGAATACAGCACAAAGGCCTGGACAATACCCTGTTTTGAGACTCACACCACAACTACCTGACTGAGTCCGACTGAAACACTTAGAATCTGTACTACACCATCCACAATCAGGGTCATCTTTACAACTCTTTTCCACATTGTTGTAACTTCCGCACTGACCTCCAGTAGAATTTTTGTCAGCGATTATGGCGGTCGGCAGCTTATATCCCAAGACATCGCCCAGTGGCTGTCCACTAAACCCTCCCACAACCAACAGGACACTTCCATTTCGCGGCACAACTTGGTGGGAAAATCTGCCACGCAGTTGAGTGGATGATGAAGATGGAGAAAGAGCTTTAAATATATCTGAAGAAATCCACTTCTGGCATTTTAAGTGGTAAAAGAAAAGGCTGTTATCATAGCACATTTGATGTATATTTCCACCTAAAGTTTGGAAAAACAAACAATGTTCAGCTATCAACTACAGTAAACTTCCAATATGAGCCCCCCCCCCCATTCATAGACCTATCCAGTGCCGGATCCAGACCTTGAGATGGGGGGGGGGGGGGCTCCTCCCTTGGATCTGTCACTGCCCCTGGGCTCCTCCATCCCCTGAATATAAGCCCCCCGTACTTGTGGTACTGAAATGAATTTGACTTATTATGACATTTTGAAGTTTAAAAAAGTGATGAAATTCAAAAAGTATTTTGATTAGAACTGCTATGTAGCTTGTTTAGGAGGCCTCAAAAAACCCTCTAAAATTAATATAAAATCCACTATCCTTATGGGGCTTTTCAGAGATAATAAAACGAATAACAAGCTGCTAGGAGGTGAACAAGTTGACGTTTTACAAGCATAACTGAGGATTTGAACTCAGGACTATGAGAAAAAATTCAGCTAATGGTCCGGTCACGACTTTAACTTGGGGCCTGTCGATCAGGGTTTGTACCCTTTTTTAAACAAAAAGTTCAAAGACTTTTCAAGGACTTTCAAAGACACATTTCCCATTTTTCAAGGTCCCCATTTAGTTCAAAAAAGAGCCTTGAGTCTGTCATTTTTAGTTCTTCCACAACATGAGCAATTTTATCCTGAAGGTCTTTTTCAGTTTGCTCCTTTTTGTTTACAGTTCTCTTTAAATTAGAAAGTTAGCACCAAAATTCAAGGACTTTCCAGCACTGAATGCAATTTTCAAGGACTCAGGATTGTCAGAAAGTTTTGAAGTAGATGGCTGAGTTGTCAAAGTACGCGGCCAGTCCAGGGATATTTTATTCACAAAAATGCCATCAGTAAAGAAATGCCAAGCAGAGTAGCCAGCCAATACTAACCAAGTAGGCGGCAATTTTTGCCGGCAGCTGGCTACTTTTGACAACCCTGAGGATTTTCATGGTGTGTGCATGCCCTGTGTGGATAACAAGTCCAGCAATCTGACTACTTGGCTGGCTACCCCCACAAGCCAGGCTACAGTGGTCTCCCTCACGGCTGGTCTTCTACGCAGCCCTTTTTATCTCACAAGAGGAGTATTGAGCGACAAGACAATAACAGCTGCATAGCTGACTTCCTCTAAGCAAGAAAATTCTCTCACCATATATGATCATATAGTCTCCAACCAACACTGCAGAGTGAAATGCACGGCCTGGTGAAACACTTTTACTATCTGGGGTAACAGCCGCCAATTCAGACCACACTTGAAGATCAACATGAAATGCAAGGAGTTTGTTTGAGCGATCACTGACTCTGGCTCCTTTAGGAACAAATCCTCCAAAGATGATAATAGATCTCATGTCTGCATAATAAACTGCTGAGTGGCCAAACATGCGTAGATGATCTTCATTTCCTGATTTGTATGAGATCTTCTCCCAACCAGTTTGACTAGACAGTGAATATGAGTACATGGCTGGGGAGAAATGATCACTAGTGGTGCGGCCTGTTGGTTTGAAAACATGAACTGGGATTGTTGTTTTTTCAAACACATGAGTCAGATTGTTCTGAGTACCCCCGAAAACTCCCCACTTAATGAAGCCACCCATAAAAATAGTTGACGTAGTCCCTGGTGCAATGGTCTATCTTTCATGGGGGAAGGACTGTTACGGGCCTGTGTAGCGCTGTTGCAGTGACCGTGCCAAGAACTGGCAAATATAAGTAAAGAAATAAATAAATAAATTTTCCTACCCCAAAAAATCCAGGAATCGAAACTTTCAAACCCAAAAAAATGCACAAAAATGTGCCTGTTAGCTCATTACAGAGTACATGGATAAATAAATGATTATTGATTGATTGATTGCAGCTCCTTCATGACTAGGAATTGAACATGATCATGGTACCCAACCGACTAAAGGCTGGTTTTCACTAGCGACTTAGTCGGAGTCTGAGTCGTAACAGCGCTTATGACTCGGTGAAAATCAAAAATCTGAGCCACAAGCAGGGTCATAAGCGAGACGGAATCAGAGTCGGGAGAACAAGACCATTTCCATTTCTTCCGACTCCACTTGTGACACCGTCACTTATGACTTTGTGAAAATCAGATTGTTGGAGTCCGAAGCTGAAATGGAAGGATAAACCAATCAGAATGCACGTTCCCATGCTTTGTGATTCACTTAGTTCTTCTGCTTCTGCGGGCAACTCCAACAACCTAGTTTTCACTTGATCCTAAACTATGAAGTCGTAAGCAGAATCAGAATGCTGTTTTCACTAGAACGTAAAGTTTTATGCTTATGATTCTGACTCCGTCGCTAGTGAAAACCAGCCTTAAGCCAATAAGTCTGCAGTTCATTAATTATGATCATAGTAAAAAGGGTGGAATGGTTTACTGTTATGAAGCCTGTTAGACCCCTTTGTTGTAGACTTGATGGTGCACAACTATCAAAAGCATTCCTATTGCTTTGATCTTATTGACCAATAAAAACATTACATTATTTAAATTTAATTATTCCATCACCACTTGAGCACCATCAGGGAGCTTCAAACATAAACTGCAGCATTGCTCTGTTTGCCACAATTTCTTAACCAGTCTCCTCTACTAACTATATCATGATACACAAGAGACTAAGATATCTGATTGGTGTCACCCTAGCTCATTAAACACAGCCAATTCTTTTCTTTTTTTTGCTTGTTTTTTGCTGTATAGTGTGGCCAGTGCCAGAATTTTATGAATAGAGCTTACCACCAAAAATGTACAATACATCGTCTACCAGAGTGGCTGTATGTTCAGCAACAGGAGGTGGTTTAAATGAATCATTCACTGCCAACTCTGTCCATTTACTGACAGATATGTTGTAAAGCCACAGTTCGTTGGTGACACTTCTGTCTTGTAATTCTCCACCAAAAAGCACCATGCTGTCATGATACAGGCTTGCAGAGTGAGAAAAACGACCCACCTACCAAAAAAATGCATACATGTCAGGCCTCAAACTGTCAATAATGCTGTCTGAGATGATAGCATTTTTTAAAAAGTTATACAAATAGGTGTATAGGGAGTTTTAAAAGTGGGAAGGTGGTAAGTTAAATGCTGATAATTGCAAATAAAACTCCGACGATTCGGCAATGCTGCCTTCATCAGGGAAAATATGTGAGTTCTCACATGTTACGAACTCACATATTTTCCCTGATGAAGGCAGCATTGCCGAAACATTGGACTTTTATTCGCAATTATCAGCGTTTAACTTACCACCTTCCTACTTTTAACACACACAAACGCTACGCACTTTATTTGTAAAGGGAGTTTCTCCAAGGGGAGAAGGTGATAGAGATCAAAATATTAAAACCTTCCACCCAACTTTCCCTTGCTCTTGAAAAACATCTCACGCTACCCCTCCCCCCCCAGCAAATATGGATTCACAAAAGGAAGGCTTTTTTTGTCTTCTCTCTAGATGAGGAAGAGTCCCAATAAAAAAAAAAACTATGAACAGCACCCCCCAGATAAAAGTCTATAATAATTCTATGCTCCTTTTAACACCTTTGTTCAGCTGCTTATTTGAAAATTAATGAAACCCCTGACAGTTACAAAAGTAGCATTTTTTTGCTTTGAAATTTTGAAGTGTTTTTTGACGAGTTTCAACTCCAGTATTAATATATCTATTTATATATTGTTATAACTGTAAATTATGGTTATGTAGACACTGGAAGAGATTCTTTGATATCATCGACAAAGCCAGTAACTGGCTTTGTTGATGATTATTGAAAGAAAACAAATTCACTTTTTAAAGGTCCTTAATATTAATTTTGGACTCACTGGTTTAGGAGACTCAGGATAGACCTCACTCCAAAGACTTGTAGTAAAATTGAACTGCAGCAAGTCAGCATACACCTTGTTTAAGGAATAGCCTAATAAAGATAAAATAACATAATGTTCACTTATAATAAACTCATCACTCATTAGTGACCTTGGCCCCCCCTGAAAGGCCGGTTAGCGCTAATCCAGAATTAACATTTTGCTCCAATTTTTGCATTTACCTTCTACGCACTGCTTACAGTCAAATTTTGAGTTATCATTACTGCATCTCAGAGTAAAGGCTCAACAGTATTTTGTAAGCTTGAGTTACATGTTGCTAGACCAGAAAGCTGTGTTTAAATTTTGGCTAAAATCTTGGGTTAAACTCGAGGAACTGGGCTCCTAGGAAACTAGGGGGGAGCACTCAAGGGAAGTTTCGGTAGAGGTGTGCTGCCAAGGTCTTCAAACCATGACCCTGTTTAACACTAGAGACCTGAATCCTTTTGTTTTGTGCACAGAAAGTTGTTGGTACTATACATGCACAAGTAGACTGCTTATTACCAACCTTCATATTCTTCTGGTCCAAAAAGACACCCTGCACAATCAAGATGCTAAATGGTGAAAACCCTGTTCAAGTGTCAAGATCCTGAAAACCACACCCTGCTCAGCGGCACATACCCATCTAGGCCAAATAAGGGAGTGCTCCCCCTCACCCCCCCCGTCAAGCGTTCAAGTTGCAATTTTTTTAAAATTACAAGATGTACAAACCTCCAAAGGCAAGTAAAATATCACTCTTCTCAAAGTATATGACTGAATGAGCAATCCTAGGACTGAAAACTGAAGATGTTGATGAAACCGTGAACCATTTGTTGGAGTCCGCATCAGTATGAGTGGGAAGAGAACATGATTCACCAATGTATCCACTGTTACATTCACAGTGACCCTGGGTCTGTTAATAAAAAGGCAATAAATAAGTGGAAGATAATTAATAAATAGATATGGTTTATGATATGGTTTAGATATGTTTCGATATGGTCTTCATCCTTATACACCATAGCAATAATGTCAAAATGTTTAAAACTCAAGTGGAATAGTGTGTGGTGTCACTGCAAAGTTGTAAACATTTTGACATCATTTCTGTGGTCTACAAGAGAAAAGATTAAAAGCAAATTGTCGTCTATTTTTGTTTTACAATACAGTTGACAGTTCTTGATGTCCATTTGCCCTGAAGTCTCTTAGAAGTTGTGAGCAAGACAAAGAAAAATTGTGCCATCAATACAACTTTTCTATAGTCTATACCTCTCAAAAACCAAGATACGGCTTGTGACTTATCAGCTCACAGTTAGATTTCAAACCCTATAAGAAGGTCTGTTATCAGGGCTGTCAACCCCCCACGTCTTCAAATATTGAGGATTGAGGGGGAAGGGACGATAAAATGTCGTCATAATGCACATGGCACATGACATCATTTGTGAAAAAAAAAAAACAAAAACACGAAAAAAGATGTTGTTGGAATTGTAACATTTGACCTAATTGGCTTACTTCCCACCAATCATTTTTAACAACTGAAATAGTCTGAAATGTACAACAATAAATTAGCTTTTTAACTTACAAAATTACACTGGCCATGTCCTTGGTTCGTAGAACACTGGGAGGGGCAGCCATCCAAATCACAGGCTTTACCACGTAATAATCTATCACACTGACAGAAGCCATCTACACAGATACCTTTCCCAGAACAACTTTTGGTGCAATTCTCTATAGTGTAGTTAGCAACAAATCCCTTTAGAGTATAATTAGTGTCACTATAAAGATTGATAAGCATCTGCAAAAGAAGGGGAAAAAATGATAAGTTAAACAATGATTTCGACTTTTCATACAATGTACTGTGCCATCAGGAAGGCTGGGATAATAAAACTATGATAGAAATAAGAATTATTTTAACTTAAAATATTACCCTTCCCTTCATTTATTTTTTTCTTTTAACTTGGCTGCCTGGATTAGCAATTGCTATTTTGCAGGCCAGTCTATTGTAAAAACCATTTTTAATAAATAAAGTTGAAGTTGAAGTTGATCAACTCCAGGGCCCAGTTGTTTGAAGACTTATTAGCACAGACGCAGGGTTAAATTTTAATCCGGGTTTCTTTTTCTTTCAAAAACATTTTCTCGGATAATTTTCTCTAGTTTTTGGGAGCATCCAATCACCAAATCGTAGAAAAAAAATATTCAAATAATTTGAATATTTTATTATAAGCTTTCACATCTGAATTCAAATTTTGCACTTACCCTGGGTTTTCTTACCTCAGCTTGGAACAACCCGGCCCTGAGGGTGTTTCTTGGTGTTGTGGAAACCATTGTTTTTTTTTTGGGTGGGCATTGTTCAACTTCTTTTCATCCAATCTTTTGTTTTATATCATCTAATGATCACCCAGGAGGAGTGAGGTGCTTTAGAGATTTTGGGTGGGGACGCGCTGTGGAGACCCTGGGACCCTTAGCCTAGACCACATCAAGTTTAGGCCTACTTGCCAAAAATTAGCATTCTAGGGAAAATTGTCTTTGAGATATTAGCCCAGTTATGCTCTGATGACTCCACACAAATCCTTCTTAATTTGACTCAGTTCATAACTTAGGAACCAAGTCAAATTTAGAAGGATTTGAATGGAGTCATCAGAGCAAAACATGACTAGTATCTCTGAGATAATTTGCCCTGCAATGCTAGTTTTTGGTAAGTAGGCCTTTCAGGTGGGTAGGTAGGTAGATTCTTTATTTAAAACTCAGTAAAATCGTAATAATGTGGCAATTCCAGAAAATATCCATACCCAACCACGGACGGCTTCCATGTTTTAATTAGATTAAAAAATGCGCTACCCCCATGCCCTGTTTTCCAAGACTGAACCCCCCTCCCTTCAGAATTTCGGTTTTTTTTTTCAAATACATTTTTTGATTAGCAGCGCCTATAAGAACAAACGAACATGAATTTATGCCTCCTCAAGGCTGTGATCTAGCGGCGCCAGGTGACAAGCTTTACTCTTCAGTGACAAGAAAAACCCACGCTAGTTGCCAGGCCGTGCAAACTCCTTTTTAAGTCCGAATTTGGCTATAAAAATAAACACCACTTAAGGTAATTTTACTCCTCTTTGTTTTCTTGTGCTGTTTTGGCGTTTACAAAGGAAAATAGCTCAAACAGACTGTTAAAATCTTTTTGGCGGTCAAATATACCGTCGAGTTGTGTTGCGTCCTTTTATACGTCATGTAGTGCGCCGCGAAAAAGCGTTCTAATCTGACAGGCGTTCCTTGGAAGTGAGGGACTGGTGTGAGTTTTTACTGTTTATCGGACGGTTTCGGACGGGAGTAACAAGAAATTTGCAAGCGGTATTAAAAGATACATTTTCAGTTTTTATTCACGTGACAAGAAATTCATCAAGGTAAATGTGAAACCAACGTTTTACTGTTCACTTCTATAAGTTATGAGCGTAAACACGTGTCTGATCTATCGATGCTTGTCTTCTGCTTCCGCGGTCATCGTTCGTGGTTTATTCACTTAACTACAAAAGTCCACAACAATAGCGTTTTCCAGGAACTTACTCTACACTTTCTACTCCAGAAATCCCACCTGTGGAATTCCCCCATACCTTCGGATTTCAAATCGTAAATACCCCCCCATGCCTTCAGAATTCCATAATCGTGAATCCCCCCTCCCCTTCGGAAATCCTTAAAGCCATCCGTGGTATGGTATGGATATTTTCTGGAATCGCCCAATAGAGTAAAAATCTAATTACAATTAATTAGACTAAAAACTATCGACATACTGTTTTACAAGACTGCCGAGTGAGAGTCCGACGACTCAAATACATGTTTGATTTGCTCTTTAAATTTCCTGACTGATTTAATTTCTCTCACATTTTCGGGTAAAGAGTTCCACAACAAAGCACCGCTGTAACTGAAACTTCGTTTCAACTAGTTAGTACACTGCCTGGGCAATGTTAATTTATGAAAGGAATTGCGCAAATCATAGTCTGTGCTTCGTTCGTGAAATAGGTTCTGCAAGTACACTGGAGCTTGTTCATTTAGAGATTTAAACATCATTATTGCTTTATGCTTCTTTCTCCTCATAACTAATTTGTCCCATTTGAGTATATCAAGAAGCAGGCTCGAGCTAGTCCCATAGTTGGCCTTTAAAATTACTGTAGCTGCACGGTTCTGTAACTTTTGTAATTTGTCACTCAGTTGATCACTTAAGCCATCACAAACAAGGCTACAGTTGTTCTTTCAAAATATCCCAACAAATCCCATAACTTCAAAAATTTAATTTTCATGATGTCATCACTTTAGAACTCTATACTAGACTAAACATTCAAAATCCCTCCCTTCTCTACATGTAGAGCTGCTATATATTAATTCATCTACAAATTGCAAACTTTCTTTGCTTTCCTTTAAAATGAGTTGAGGGTAAAACACAAGATTTAATCTTTATGATCATTTTTATATTCTCACAACCTTATCTCTTGACAATGTATGGACATTTGTTAGAAGAAAATTGCTGTTTGTCACTATTGGGACTCAAAGGGTTAATTCATCTACTGCCACTTTCTTTGCTATTAAAATGAGTTGTGGGTAACATAAAATTAATTCTCTTTCAAACTGATCTCAGGAGGCATTTTCAAGGCATTTCCTTAAAGAATGAGTTGAGAGAATTTGATAAAAGATCAAGGCATTTTCTCTTTGGTGATTATTTCATTAGTTCTCACAACCTAATCTCTTTAATCTCTAATCTCTTCAATGTATGGATATCATTAGGAGAAAATTGATGATGGTCACTATTATTGGGACTTAGAGGGCAAATAAGGGTTGAATCAGATATACTTGGCAGTGTTGAAGGAATCTCACCTGTCCTGAATGAGCAACAACTGTTTCTGGCAAAGTATTTCCACTGAAAGCTCCAATCAGAGGAGAAAGGTACGAGCCGCCATCATAAATAAACAAGTAATCAATAGAACATTCTGTTCCAAATTCAATAAAAGTTATTGTTATAGAAACATTGGGGTATGAACCTGCAAAGAAAATGAAAGATAGGGTTATAAAAAGTGCAACAAATAAAAACTATACAAGTAATGCCTGATCTAGTTATATCAGTTCCCGATGCAAACAAACCTATAAATTTCAAAGCTTTTGTTTCAAGTTGGCCATTTTGTGGAGATACAGCAGGGCTGTATGATCACCAAATTGACTACCACCACTGCTCTATAAAGTCCTATTCTTTATAACTTGCCCATTTTAGGGGAAGAAAGTTATTTTACCCCTCTCTCTAATGGCCACCAATCTCTTAATTTTTAACTTTACAATCAAGTAAATAAAGGAACAACCGTTAAGTAACGAGCACTCTTATAAATTTATCACAAAGAACAGTGCAAGTAACACCTTTTTAACAATCTAGTACCAATCTTTCAACAATCTAGTTCTTCTTCGTATCAGCACTATGTTTCACTTTATGGTTCCTTATAACTATGAATGGTTCCGTGACTGGGCAAGATGTGGCCAATCCTGCATACTGACTGGTTATCCGAACAGGCAGATAGGCCCATCTCACCCGCTCACAATGTCCTAGTTTTTCCCACTGGAACAGATTTTGTTTGACAATGTTTGTTTGATTCTCAACATATACAAGCAGGCATTTTGCAATGCTTTTCTCCTGCTCAACAACAACAAAACACAAACACGCATCAAGACTGTGCCCATTGGCAAAGAAAAATTCAAGGGAGCCTATCAGTGATTTTGTTACCTCTGAGTCCTGCGTCCCTGACACATAAAAATCCCCAAAGACACAAAATAATTTGTGCATATGTCCAGTAGGACGCAAAGATTGATTGATCGATTTGAAGATGTTTTTAGTAGAATATCCTGTTTGTGTGATTTCTGTGGTTGTTCTTGTGGCTGATGTTAAACGAGGCTTACGCCTTTCAGTCTTTGATGTGCTTTACAATAAAAGGACTACCAGTATATTTCTATTTCAGTAAACTGTAATACAGAGTTTTGAAGTTTATCTTCAGATTAACTGTGGTTAAAAAAGACCCAGGGACTGACTGGTTTTCTGAACTGGGACTCATAATTTTCCACAAGATCAGTCCCAGGACTCACCTTAACTATTTGTAACAAAATCACTGGCCTATAAATGCTCTTAAATGCGGAAATCCAGGGTGCCCAAGATATGCTTTTTTATGAAAAAGCTTTGTCAGAACTGACTGGCCAGGCCATTCCTGTGGTAATGTGAATTTAACTTTTTGTCAAAATTATCCAGCTAGATCAGTCATTTCCTAAATAGTATGCACAAAGGAAATCCTTTTTCATCAAAAACTCTTGGAAAAAGCCTATTTCATTTTCAAAATGACCAGTCTGGCCATGGTCTGTCCGGCCAGTTCTCACTTTTGGAGAGAACTTTTAGTCACTCAAGAGAAAAAGTAAGTTATCAGTGGCCCCCTGGGCAATGGTAGAGCACAGCCTTGATGTAAACAACATCAATGATTTAAATTTCTTTACTCATTGCACATTGATCTTTTCACTCTTACAACATTAAAACTTGTGGCTTGACCCAGCCACTTAGCAATCCTAGGAAATTGGCCCTGTACAGCTTTCCCTAGTTATGATACTCTTTATGACAATAAATTTTGGTTGAAATAAATGTTGCTTTATAACTAGAACATCTGCACGCAACACTTCATCTTTCCCTCAGGAACCACTAATTGAGTTTTCTATTTAACTTGTTCAAAGCTTTCACGACACTCAAAAATAACTTTGAAAGCCAACTCTAAAGATTTTTCATTGTTGATCACTTAAAAACTAGTAAATAATAACCTTCACTCTAATAAAAACTAGATCATGCAATATTCAAAGGACACTTAATAACTGATCCCCAAAATACCATAATTTAAATGTCTTTTTCAACTCACTGGTAATTTCAGTCTCAGACAAAATCTACTCGGTCTGTACACAGATTGAATCCACTTTGTTACCAGATCAGTCAATATTTGTGTACAAAGCCATGGAGATAATGATTGCCCAATATTTATTTCCTCAATAATGTGTTTATGTTCAATAACTTCCCTGGACCTCAAAAATACTAAATTTAAGCTAAAGAAGACATCTTACATAATGTACCTATAGCCCCTAAACTAAACACCTGAATTGTGTTCCACACCATAGAAAACTGTTTGCAGCTAAGATGGACAGAATGATTCCATCACAACACTACAAATCGACAGCTTAGTGAAACGTTAATTAATTAGGCGATAACGTTCGTTTACTTTAATAATGAACTATCGATAGAACAGTTACAACTGGACATTGCTTCCCGATGTAGATGTATGAAGAAAGAACACTTCTCTTTTTACGGTTTCACTCGAAGATTATCCAAGCGGGAACAAACTCCAGCTGTAAGTGTAAGCGGTTCTTTATGTGACACAAGCTTAGCAATGCAGAACATGACAGAGCACGCTATGAATTACTCACCATTTATCAGCCATTCGCACGTTGTGTTGACTGGATAATCACTGGGTCCATCAGAAATAGTTCCCTGTAAATCAGTTAAAACAGTCCTTCCACCGCATCTAGCTTCAGAAACTGTTAGACACGTTAATGAGAATAAAACCAAACCGAACCACTTGTATACAACCGCCATATTTCTATCAGGTGGTCTTGCTATCAAATAACCAAATCTCGCGCACAAAGTATACAACGTTGCTAGCGAGTCCACAATGAGAAAACAGATACATATATTGCTTTTTCTAACTAAGGTAATCCGCTAACACAACAGTGGTAAAGACAGTCTGCAAACTAATTCTTCCAAAAAATTCCCGTCTTCCCAAGCGGATCAGAAGTCTCTCGGATTCCTGTTTCACGTTCAGCATATTTTCATTTCCAATACGTGATCGAGTGCGTGAACCTCGGCCAACTTGGATCATCTTTTCACCAACATGATTTCCAGATTGAAAATCAAGGAAATAACCATTCACTACTCGCAAGATATGCACTACTCCATGTAAACACGAAAGCGGGTTCTAATCCTTACTACAGTTGTCACGTGATCAAACGACAACTGCCACCCGTCTAGGGAGGGATTGGAGGGATTCGGGATGATGCAGCAAAAAATGCTATTTCACGAACTAGAAGAAAATTTCTTCCTTGTGTGAACTGGGCTTATCACTGAACAAATGTTAAATTCATTGTGCTCTGGAAAATTCCAGCCAGCTAGCGTTTAAGAAAGCATATTTTAGCGCCGGAAAATGGGTCAGTTTGGGCTTATAGATTAAGTAAATAAACAACAGTAATAAGAAATACATTTGTTTTGTTGTTTATCACTTCGCATTTTTCATAATTTCAGTTTCAAATCCATCAAAATAAATAAATAGACCATTTCAGAGTCCCCCCGGACCTCTGTATCAAAACGAGGTTAAGTGCTCAGCCTTTGATATGGAAACGATTTTTCATTGTCGTGTAAATAAAAACTCATTTTCACAAGAAAGGTTGTGCACTTGGCCTCATTTTGAAAGTAGTGGGAAGTGGCCTATAATGATAGATGATATAAGCTTGTTACTTTTGTCAGGATGCAGCTGTGCGCTTAAATTAAACTCACATAAATTGACATTTAAACTGCAAAGGACCGCAAACGAATATGCCGCAAAACCGTGGATCTATAAAAGACCTGACCAGCAAAATCATACACTGAGTAGACACACTGAATTCTGCAAAGCTGATCGTACTACGTGAAAATTAACTTTGCAAGACATCAATACGACACTGAAAGAACCAAAAACAGAGCGGGGTCGTAGCCGTAGACAGCTGTTTCGCCCACATAAAGTTTGTTTTGCATCTTATGACGGGGTTTCTTATTCCTCTTTGAGCCTTAGTGCTATCTTTCTTGTCCAACTTTTCCCTCTATTGTTGTTTTCTGTTAGCATCTTCTACAGAAACGTCTCTAAGTCTGCTAAGGACGATGTCCCACGATCGTTACTGCGCATAATTTCTGTGCCTCCCAATATAGACGCGCACGAAACGCGAGAAATGCGCAAAACGCAGGACACCCGGACGGGTTCAAATCTTTTTCTCACTAGAAAGTCTCGAAGATTCTAGTTATCTCTCGTGGAAAAGAAAAGTCGTTTGTCAACAGTTGACATACAATTTTTTGAAGAAGTATATACAGGTTCTTTAATATTCCCATTGAATGAACAAACTGAGCACCATTTGGTCAACAAATGGAACTCTCAAAACATCAAACGTAACAACTCCAAGGTGTTATAAGACGATGGCCTCTGATTATGCAAAACTGAAGAATTTCCTCATCACGTGATACTAACCGAACGTTCAGAAAGTGTGTCTGAATAGAGAGTTTAAGCTTCACGTGTACGGCAAACGTCAGATTCAAGTTGAGAATTTCTCAAAATAGAAAATAAGCAGATAAAAACAGCGCAGAATAATTCTTATGGATAAAAAATTGCGTGAAACACTAATTTATGTGTAGAAATAATTAACAGTGAACGACAAATTACGGGGAAGCTTGGTCCCGTGGAACAAATTCGAGTTTGCCGTTTGGCGTAAAGGTGATGCTTTAACCTCTCTAATATCATATGCATAGCCATATGCGAAACTTGGAGCAAAAAATGACCGCTAGTGAACACCCCGTGATCACAGACGATACGATTCCATTAGAACTGAAGGTTATCCTTTTTAAGTGAGCCTAGACGAACGAAATAATGGCACTAATGAGAGATATATTAAGTAAAACGGCTCATAAAGTCTCTGACAGAGAATACTTTGCGCGTGCGCACAAAATTGGAACACGTGCTACTAACGTCACAATGAAAAAAAAATCTTAAAAAGGAAGGTTTTCTTTGGGTTGACTTACGTTCATCTCAAAAATGGGGATCTGTCAATCCGTTATTTGTTCAAAAAAAGATGATGCTGTTGAGATTCACAAAAGACAAAACGCGTTGAGATTGAAGGAAGCTGCTGAAAGCGCCCCAAATGTGTCCAATAGTGTGGAATTAATTGACATCGAATCAAGGGAGGAGTCGCCATCAGAAGTATCTTCTTCCTCAACTTTATCAGAAAACGAGAGAAATATCGCTCTGCCGCAAGAAGAGCTCGATGCTTTAAAAATATGCGGGACACCATGGCCGCCAGGTAGAGACAACGATGTTGTGGAGCAGAAAGTTTGTCAGATGAAATTTTCTTTTACTCCAACTGAGGAGCGTCAATTGGAGAAAGACAACAAGAAAGTTGGGAGCAAATCACCACCAAAGGAATCAAGTCAAGCAGGACCTTCGCCTGTGTTTCACTTCGGCTATTCAGGGCCACCGCCCCGCCCCCAGCCGTGGAAAGAAGTGTACTTGACCATGATCAAACCCAAAGAAAAACAAGCTGATGAAAGCATGAGGGCGAAAGGGCTAAGGAACCGCGACAGGAAGAAGATTAATAGACAAGACCAGATCCGCGCCTTAAGAAAACAACTCGACCTGAAGATCAGTTCAATCAAGAGAAGGTCGAGTTATATTCGGCGCCACAATACCCCTGAGAAACAAGGCAAGATGGGCGTGGCCGACTGTGGCATGGACGATAGCGATGAGAGTAGCTTCGAGAGTGTAAGTCCTGCAAGCACTACATCATCTTCTACTGCGTCAGATAGTTCTTCTATAACGTCTGATGACAGCTTTGAATTTGAAGAATCACGCATTAGTCACTACAACAGAGGGGATGATGAGTCTACTGTGAAAAACGCTCACCGAAAAATGCTGCCGAATGCCAACATTGACAATACTCAAAAGGGTGTGGGAAAGTCATGGAGAATGTTGGGACAAAAGCGCAACAAGGTCTTTCCAATGTAAGGCCTGTCTAAACTGCGATTCATTACGAGCGATTCTGGATGCGATTTTTGACGTTTTCTTATCGATTTTTTTTTTCAATGTTTATGCAATGGTTAACGTAACACGCTCCTTGTGTAAACTAGCCTGCGAGCAAGCTCTCCAAGGATGGCGAGCGAAACCAGCCGCGTTCTTTAGCGAGCGGCGAAACACTCGCGTCTTCTTTCCTGTGTGACTTTCGTGTGAACTCTCGCGACTCTCCCAAATGGAGAGCTTGCTCGCAGGCTAGTTGTAAACAAATGTTCGCCGAGAAATGTTTTTGGAAACTCTTGCGAAGAAACTCGCTGATAAATCACCTCAAAGGTAGAAAACGGACATGAGCAAGGCAACACGCGTTTCGCAGAACTACGTATTGCGTCACCGGGTGTTATCTGCGAAAAAACGGTCGGTTTGTCGCGCAAAAGCAAACAATGGCGACACTAGCAATCACAAGGTATCTTAGCGACTGAGAATATCTTGAAAGTGCATTTACGAACAAAAAAGCTCGGTTAGAAAATAACAAGGGACAGAAAAAGACCAAAGATAACGAAAATCACATAGCAATAAAAATTTATTCTGCTCATATCCATAATTTATTACACCGAAAGGTTATATAATTTTCTATCATTGGTCATAAATTATGCGAGTTCAAGAAAAAAGAAATCCCTACGATCGCCATAGAAACATTTTTGGGGAAAGGCGGGGGAATTCATCGAGAAACGCGGGGAATTAGATAACATTGTAAATAGGAAAGAGAGATTGTAAATAAGCTAAATAACATAATATTTTACATCACGAGCTCTGTACATTGTTTTATAAATAAATGCAATTGATTTTGAGGATAAAAGAAATATGACAATTCAGTTAAGATATTTTCTGCAGTGTTTAGATTTGCAAAGACAAGGTAGCTTCTCGTCTTCAATTGGAAATTTGTAGTCATATGTCAGTTCTTCCCCTCTGGATATACTGAAAAGACAATTAGAAAAGACAGTGGTTAGCAAGCATAATCGTGAATGAAATAACACCACGGTTATTTCAATATTTGGATTCTATTTTTACCCAGAACGGCACCAAAGAAGGCACGTTTTGGTTTTAACCCTTGAAGCCTTAAGAGTGATCAACATCAATTTTCTCCTAAAGATATCAATACCAGAAACTCATAAGGAGATGAAACGTGTAACTCTCATATGTTTGCTTTGTCCGATACTCGTGATTATTCAGTTTCAAAAGTAGTATATTTGGAACGAGAAGCAAATATAGCTGACCAATCAGACATCGTAAACGACGTGACGTAATTTTACTTCACGTCCCCCCCCCCCTCCCCCCTCCCCAAAAATGGCGGACAAACAGGGGAAAAACTTCCGGAAGTGGAGTAAGCTCTCAAAGGTTGAAACCAGAAAGCTTACCATTGAACGCGAGTTACACGTTTCAACCAGTTATGAGTTTCTGTCAATACATAATCAAGAGAAAAAAAGTTACGCGAATTAATAAAATGCTTCGACTTCTTTCACAAATGGTCTTAACTACAATCGACAAAAGTGTTGGGAAGGCTTGCCTGTGTACAGAACCCCCCTCCCTCAAAAAAATCGGCAGGGGGGGGGTCTGTACACAGGCTATGGGAAGGCCTGCTTTTTTTTACCTCTTTTTTCCCTTCCTATCTCCCCCTGGCCCAGTGTTGAGCGAGACCTTAAAGTTTGTGCGCGTAACTGTTCTATTATATCCCAACACTGAATAGCGGGAACGGGGGATATTTAGCAAAAGAGAAAACTCTCTTTTTTGAGGATTACTGCGCTTTTCAAAAACAAGCGGAGGCTGAAGTTCAAAGCCGCCTTCACAATTGCGTTTTTCGCTGCCGCCAATCATAATTACGATCACAAGCAGCGAACCAATCAAAAATCAAAACAATGCGCTAAACATCGTCAAATAGTCCCGTACGCAATACAAGACTTAAGAAAAAGGAAGAACGATACCTTCTTGAGGCGAAGATAATGATTTTCTTCTGGCCATCCACGTTAATAACGCGAGAATAGCAGTTGGACTGAAAAAGAGGAAAAAGAGTTAATCTTTCTGAAACATAAAATGTCTCAAACTGGTAAAATATTGCGCTTGGTCTTTTCATCTTATCGTCCGAATCGCGGCAACTATATGGAAAACCATCCCATATATAGACATCAGCTCTCTCCAGGCGATTTGACGTTTTCATTGGCCATTTTAAAGTTTGACGAGAGACTGGGTCGGAGTTGTGTCGAATTGCGCTGTGGTTCGTTGTGACACTGTTCTGAGGGACGCATTCTGATCCAGTCTCTAGCGCAACCTTGTGATAGCCAATGAAAGAAGAGATCACGTCCCCTAATAGTCCATAGTGAGATAGCGTTGCACACAGTTTCTATTTATAGAACTAAATCTCCGACAAAGCGACTTGTTCACTTTTGTTTCTATTTAGTCACTAAAAATGTCATGTTTATCTGACATTTGTAATTAAAATGACTGTATTAAATGATTGTATTACAGTATTTATATAACGTTTTATACCGGGCCAAACGTAACTAATTTGAATAGAGAAGCTGGCTAATTACCTCGCAGGAATGGTTGATAAAGCGGGCAGCGTTTCCGCACATGGTGGCATCGACAACGTAAGTACCATCAACACGGAACATATAACAGCCAATACCCTGAAAAATAAAACAAATTAGTGGTCATGGATCGACAGACAGTTGGGTCTTTGATCCTAACTCATACAAAGCGACTAACTGAAAAACTGCCAATTCTATGGAGTTAATTTCTAGTATTGCAAGAAGTTTCTAGATATAAAAAAAGGCTCTACCCAAGAGCTTCCCAAATAGGCTTCAGTTTCCGAGAATAAACAAGTCATCGAGCGAAAAAACCTCCCATAGTCAATCAGGGTAGCCACACCCGCAAAGTGCGCCAAAAGCAAGTTTAAGTCTGTTATTTGCTTGCTCATTTATAGACTCACGCTTCAAGAAGCCTGCGCAGAAGAAAAATCAATATGGAGCACAAACAAAAGCTGTGGCAAAGAGGAAGGGGGATGCGCGCCAGAAGAAAAATCTACCTCTCACCTCGAGCGTGTCGTCCTCTCTAGCACGCATACCTTGCCGCGTGCCCATATTTCTTATGCGCCTGTTACACAGGCTTAACTTAAAGATACTCGTTACTTGGACGCGAACCTCGAGAAAATAATCTTCACAAAGAATGTGATAATTTCATTACCATTTCCAGCATAACGCGAAAGATTCTGCTACAAGTTGTTAAAGATCATACCTTGCTCTCGTAGTATTTCTCCCGTTTGTCCGTAAGAACGGACCGCACCAACATTCCAGAATACTCGATCACCATCTCGCCCGCAGCGATGTTACGAGTACAATATAAACCACGGCCGTGGATGGGAGATCTGGATTGAAAGAAAATTAAAATAGAAACGAATAAGCAAGCAAATTTACTTTGCCACCACAGTTAATAAATCACTGACAGGTTTGAACCCTGGAGTCATCTCACAAATAGGTAGCCGATATGATCGTCAGGTGATCATAGTCTTAAGTAGGGCTGTTGTTGACAGCGACTAACGTTTCGACAACGACTGCAGTAGTCCGCATCTTCAGAGTCAAAGTGATGTTGTGTCGCGTCAGTTGATGGTATCAAACTCTGGTTATTGACCTGATTGGTGGATTGGTGATAAAACCAAATTTGGGGGCAAATTGTAATCATCAAACTGAAAATCGCCCTCATCTATCGGTAACAGTTTTCTTATCTTGTGGCTGCACAACAATTGTTTGCCTGTATCTATTTTCTGCTTTCGCTTTGTTAAAGAGCTACATAAAGGCTAAAGCCTCACTTACAAATAAGTTTATTTTTTCCAGGAATCGGGGATTTCTTTATTATTTTACTAGAGGCATCCGTGGAAGTTGAGGAATTAAACGGCCGGTTCTAAGGAAGAGCAAGCTCTCCATTTAGGGGAGCCGCGAGAAGTCACGCGAGAGTAGCACGCAAAAGGAGTAGCGAGTGAGAGGGGTACTCGCGCGTTCTCTCGCGGATTTCTTCGCCCGCCATAAATGGAAGCTTGCTCGCAGGCTAATGGCACGGTAAAACACACACCTGTATACAGCAACGGCATCCTTGTTGAATTGACACTGTTTAAGATGGCGGTACCTCATGGCCATTGGAAGGTCAAGGCAGGTCGGACGTCTGCAAAGTAAATTGTTCGATCATTATACGTTTCTGGGAAACTGCCCACCTACCCCTCCCCTGAGCAAACATTTTGACCATTATACGTTTCTGGGAGACTGCCCACCTACCCTTCCCCTAGGCCAACCTTTTGCCCTTAGTGAGAAGTAAGTATTGATGTTGGCTTAGGGGGAGGGGTGGGTGGGATGTTTCCAAGAAACGTACAATGATCCAATTGTTCAAAACAAAATGACTTTAGTCGCAAATCCTAATTGGAGCCACAAATGACAAAGTTAACATTTCGGTTGAACTTTTATTGAAATATCTTGGTGTAAATCTGTATTTTGGAGTAAATTGTAGCCACCGTAATGCTCATCTGTATTTCTTCTCTTGAGTACAAATGATAGACGCCCAGATTTCAATAACAACAACTGCCACTCCAACAGAGGGTGGTCTGCCTGTGATAATACACTCTTTGTTGGCGCATGCGCTCTTGTTCGCTTACGAGCATTAGCAACAGACATTTTCCTTCTCCTTCACTCCCTTAAAGGTGCGGATTAATCTTTGATTAATAAAATATAATGCTAGCACAGAACAGCAAGTAATTTTTCTTTCATGAAAAGGCATGTTCTACCAAGACACCATTTTGGTAAGGAACGCATACAGCATCTTAAATGAAAATTAACATCGTAGACGTGGAATTCGCATATCGACTGATTACTGCCATCTCTGCTCGAAGAATTCCGCTGCCCAAAAAAATGAAAGCGACGTTAACGTTCTGTGGTTTATTCAGAGCATACATACTTGACAGTAAGCGGTCCATCTCGAGTCTGTTCTGCATTCTCTTGCTCCTCTGAACCTTCTTCCAACTGAGGAGGTACACGATGAACTGACGCCAAGAAGGCAAACATGTCGTACTTTTTGGATCTAAAAGGAACACAAGTGAAAAGGATTGGAATGAGTAATAGGGACTATGGATAGAGTTTGATAGCGATTCTGAATCTGACGTGTAAAAAATTCGAATTAAAGCTACTGAGTAGCACTTCCCAAGGTGTTAATTACTATGCTATACAAGGTGGGTCTAAGTTTAGGGACCATTATACGTTTCTGCGAAACTGCCCACCTACCCCTCCCCTAAGCCAACATTTTGCCCTAAGTGGGAAGTGAAATGTACAATGAACCAACTTTTGAGTCTGTGGACGCAATCTTAGGGTGCGATGAATTCAAATGAAATCTAGTGAGCAGTACTTTCATGTGGTATGGGTCGATTATGCCGTGGATCTAACTTTTGAGTCTGTGGATGAAATTTAAAGTGTGAGCATTTAAATGAAAGCCTCATAGAATTTCTTTTCGGTAGTATCGTTTATCATTCTGTACAAGGTAGTCCTAAGTTTGAGCCCAGCCGCGTGGAGTCTTTACAGGGCAGCCTGTAATTTCATGTGGGGCCTCACTGAATATCTCTATTTGTGAAGTGAGCTCCCTGTATAAAGATTGTTGTTATTATTATTATTATTATTATTATCATTATTATGTCGCAGTATGAAACTTTGGAATGCTGTCCACATTATGAGTAGTATAGGGCGCATAACGTAACCTACACCACTTGAGAAGCACCACCTAGAAGTAAAAAAAGGTCGGTGCGAAACCTAATACGATCCTAATAAACATAATGATATGAATCTCTTTACTTAAAAAGCCAATTTAGAATATTATTAAATTCTTATACTCTGTAAAACCTACGCAAAGACATGATGATATAATTATCTCTACTAGAAGCCTGTTTAAAAAATTATTCATTATTATTATTATTATGTAAAATTTAGCACAGGGATTTTCCCTGGGGAGAAATATCCAGTCAATTCTCATCCCGAGACCTCAGACTTCCAGCACCTTTCTGAGGATATGTGCCGATCCGAGGAGTTACTATGATTATTATTATTATTATTATTATTATTATTATTATTATTATTATTATTATTATTATTATAAGGTGCTGTTTGTCATCCTATAGGAGATGTTTCTAACTTCAAGTCTGTGAATGAACTTCTTTGCACTTTCACGAGATGGTGAGGTAGCATTTAATTAGTGCTATAAGGAGTTCACTTATTTTGCTAACCTGTTAAACACCTCAGCTCTAGCACAACCATGCGGATTTTCTTTTAAGACCTGCGAAAAAGAAAAATTTCAAATTATTTTATTGTTAAATTGACTCAGAATCGACGAGAAAGACTTTTAGCCTCACCTGCTCAGTAGTTCCTTCTAAACTGCTTATGTCAAACGGTGGGTTATACTTGAAAGAGTACTGCTTGACTTGATGGGCCCCTGGTAACTGTTCCAACATGGACACGATCGATTCCTTTAAAACAGAAAACAAGTCATCAAAATTGTCACTGACAATATTTCACGTATCCCTTCTCCTCCTTTTCCTTATCATAGACCTTTTCCTATCGCGGTGCTAATCTATGGAATTTCCTCCCAACTATAACTGAAGCACAATCACCTCGAGATTTTTTAGGAAATCTGTGCGACACCTCGGTCTCCAGGGCACTAATTAAATCTATTTTCAGTTTTGTGTACCTGCAATTTCTGTAATTATTTATCATATTTTGATATGTTATTGCATGAACGGCTTTATGGAAACCAGCGTTTTGTACTTGAAGAAACGACGTGTTGAAATTAAGTGTCAGTCTTTCTGTCTGTCGGTCAGTATCATCATCATCATCATCATCATCATCATTAATGACGTCATCCAAGACACTTACCTGACGTACTCCAAACATTGCTTTTCCATTCACACCTGCAAAGTAACAATTCATAACTTGTCAGCAAAGAATACAACGAATTATTTAAAAAACACGGAGCTGTGTTGGCAAAGCTGCGAAACTCAACAGTTGGGTTTTATCAACTTAGTTGGCAGATCCTTTGAAGAAGAAAGACTGAATTGCCCAGATATAGGAAGGTGGTACATATTAGCTATTAAAGCAATCTTCAAAAAAAAGATAATATCACTTCCAATATTATGTTGGTTTACTAAAATAAGCAATGCACGTTTTACACATTTAACAGTACTACTAGTTTTTTTTTCGCTTACGACATGCAGGACACTTCTTCATAAGCCTTACAACAACAAAACAATACTGAGAACCTGCAAAGGGAACCAGCTTCAAACGTCGATCAATCCTCGCTTCCTGGACCATATCGAAAACCTGCTTCCAAGCAGCTGAGATTAAACACAAAAGAAAAAAGTCAGGGTGTCATTGTTTACCAGAGAATAATTAAGGGGGAACGAAAAACTACTACTGTAGTATAGACCAGTTTTGAACAGCAAAACTAAGATAAATTAACTGACCAGTCACAACACGAACTAACAATAAAATGGACCAATCACATCTCGGAGCAATTATATGTAGCGGCTTCAAAGCGCGGGAAAAGAAAAACGCGTGCGAGCAGGTTATGGTAACACGACTGTTCTACCTTTTACTTCTGTTAAGAAACAGCTACAATATTATTTCAACCAATCTTAGAGCGTGGAGACCCGACGAAAAAAAGGGCAAAAACGCTTGTGAGCAAGTCACTATGATGTGAATGGTTTTTGCTTTTACTTCTAAATATCTTTTCTATTACAACATAACGCAACCGTGCTCTGATTGGCTAGACTTAAGGGCTATGTCAGAGCCTTTCTTTTGGCGTACGCGAGAAACGAGTAAAACCATCGCTGAGCATGCGCTTCATGCTGCGATACAATTTCGAGTCCACACCATTCTCGTCCCCAGAGTCCGTCGTTTCATGGTCACGTGGTCTTGAAACACAAATTAAGCCGAGTGGCTCTGGGGAAGAGACTGATCCACGCCTAACAGCCGTGCGCTTGATTCAGTGGGCAGTTATGACCACCCGCTTGTCAATAAACAGATGCTCGCACTCGAAAAACCAGTTTGACGAGAAGAAGCAAGATTGACTGGTCCAGACGTTCGGGCTGCGGCGACTTCAAAGGCTTAACGCAGACTCCTTTTCTTATCCAGGAAAAAAAAGAAGACGGAAGGAGAATCGCGGGGGGGCGGGTTTAAGAAGGCTTCTACATCTTACCTTCACAAGTATCAGCCTCTATCCTGAACCCTTCATCATTTGTGATAACGAACTTGACGTGGAGTTCCTCCACGTTTGAAACACTTGCACGGTCTCTTAGATTCGTTAACCAAGCATAAGAAGACTTATCTTTAACAGGCGAATTAGAAATTTCCGCATCAGCTGTTTTTGCGACAACTTCGTGATCGCAATTTAATTGTCTTACAGTCTGCGGAATACTCTCGTCGAGGCTAGAAGTTCTCTTAGCTACAGGAGGGCTTTTTCTAGTTCTATGAGCTGTTGGTGTCGATGTCGGGGTAGATTTTTGAGGAGGTTTCTGTGGTAGGCGGGCATATGCATTGCTTAAAATCCTTGGTATATGCTTGCTTTGCTGAGCTAAGTGCTGAAGCAGTTTACTCGGTGAGTTCGCCGGAGAAATTTGTAAAGCTGGCGGTTTTTGAGGAGCAGGAAGAATTCTTCGAAGTTTAGCTAAATGCGAATTTGCGTTTGAAGCGACCAAGCTTGCATCATTAAAGAGTACTCCAGGAAAAGTAGTGTGATTAATTAGCGAAGGCCCAGGATGAGGAGCTATTTTTTTCAGTTTCTTTCCATAAGAACTGTTCAACAAATCATTGGATTTGTTGCTGACGCGAGGTTGAACAATGTCTTTAACATCTCCGTGCGATGATGGTAAGTGTTTGGTTGCCTTTTCCTTCTTTTTAATCTCTTCATGGGAAATAACTTTGTGTAAGTCTTGAAGGTCTTTTAACTCCTTTTCTTTTTCTGAGTGTGATTTCTTCGCAAATGTTTTCACTTTCTTCTCTTCAACTGTGCAATAATAACGGCACCGTTTGGTTGGATCCTTCACACTCCAGTATAGACGACTTGCTCTGAAAAACAACAACATCAACAAAGATAAGTAACAGCATACCTTATTCATATTCACAGTGCAGTAAAACCCATACATATAGACTACGCCTGAGCAGTTCCTTATTTTTCCCAGAGATCGTAAGGCGGGCGAACACGTGAACGGCTCGAAAATCGCCACCTACGAGGAAAAAATGTCACATGCGTGTCACCTTCCTCGCAGGTAACAATGTTCACGCACACTCACATATTTCGCTTACTTAACTATCCGTGAACGAATTAACCAATCTTACATTGCCCATAATACACCTCGACCCCTAGCACCTCCCTCCCCCCACTCCCACCCCACGCCAAAAGAAACTTTTTTTGCATAAGCATTGGTTTCAATACCCAAAAGAACTGTGGGGGAATGGGTATGCAATATATATATTTTTTTGGGGGGGGAGGGGGCGAGAGCGGAAGGGACAAGGTGTGAAAATGGCTAATGAGGGACTACTTGTTGTCCGACCTTCAAGAAGCTAGCGATATAGATCTTTATATATTTAATTCCCAATTATATAAGAACCTATTGAACCCCCAAAAAACGAGTCCAGGAGTCGGGTCTTGTTTGGAAAATCGGGAAAAAAAAAGAAGGGGGAATGGGGGGGGGGGGAGTCTAGAGACGGGCGTCTGTTCCCTTAGAATATAGCCCATAGTGCTTTCATTTTCAGGTACAATGATGTTTCTCGCAAATTAGGAAGGGACAACACCCGCGTGAGTTGCTTATTAACTCGCTCCCTAAAGAAAATGAGCTCACTCTCTCTGGTTAGCTCCATAAAAGCAATGGAAGGTGTGTTTTCAAAGCCAATGAAAATAAAGGTTTATTTACTAAAAGAGTTTCGTAGCTCCAACATTTAAACTAAGAGACATTACCGGCTAAAAGAAACAAAAGCCACATGACATGACTTTGATCGAGGTTTGCTAGCTCATCGTAGTTCGGAGCATGATCACGCTCCACTTCCTTATGAAAGAACTCCTTGGTTAAAAACTTTCACCATTTTAATTTAAATTTAGATATTCACGATCATATTTTTATAAAAATATACAAACCTGTAATTAATGGGATATAACGCCTGTTTTGTGTCTGAATATTCGCTCAGTTTGCCCATGTTTTCCATGGTGAGGGAGCCTTTAGAGAAGAAATAAAGAAAAAACCTTCAGATTCTTGAAAACTCATAATTTATTGCAAGAATTTAAGTCACCAAAGTGGCAAACGTAACCTTTCCTATAATTAGCACGCACGTTACCTTGCACAAGGTTAATAGAGCTAGGCTGGAAGCCTCTTGAAAATTTCTTAGTTGCTCGGATTTTGCTCATGTCCACGCAAACACGGCGCTCCACACAGAAATCATCATTTTCCATCAACAGCTACAAAAAGAGAAAAGAGATATTTTAAATCGCAAGACCCTCACCGGAAACAAAGTTCGCAACTCAAATAAATATCGTAAATGACCCAATAAACGACCGGGGCGTCTATTTTATTTAAGGGGTCTATGCGAGGGCTTTTAATACATGGGAGGAGTTTTAAAAAAGAGAGACACGTTTATTGTCATAACTGTGACAAGCTAAAAAACACGAAAAAAGAAAGAGAGTTTTAAAATGGCGGAATATCAACTCTGTCAATTGATACGTCTAGGCCGTCAAGAGATCCATATCGCTCTTTCAAATCCCAACATCGACAATCTTTGCTCAGGGTTATTGTGTTGCCATCATTAGTCTATCCTTACTTTGAACTTGAAATTAAACAAGATAAAATACGTAAAGCCTTGTTAATCAAGCAAGAAACTGAATGAATCGAATGAATTCCTAGTATTTTGGAGTAATTCTTATGGGGGCGTCTATTTGACAGGGGGTGTCTATTACAGAGAGGCGTCTAATACAATTTTAGCAGCGTAGAGGGGGCGTTTATTAGAAAAGAGGCGTTTATTTGGAAGTGGGCGTTCATTAGGTCATTTACGGTATAGAACATATCATAAATACGTCCCTCGCCCATGACAGCAAAAAAATATATATACATATTTGCTTGGCGCGACTGGCAAACCGATTTCCCGCGGTTTCAAGGGACACGATCTGATCATGTGCGAGTGTACAGATCCCTAGGGACATGGTTAGTGAGTTTTGTTCTCCCTAGGATTTAGGCTATGTTCACAGTATACCGGATGCCTTAAAATTGGTGTCGCCACACACACCGGACATCGTGCTGGAGCGGTTGGCCAAGAGAGTTTGGTTAACTAAATCCCAGTTATCACTCCTGAATATTTACTTCCGTCTTAGTGGACCCTTATTCATTGTGCACCAAAGTGAGGCTGCTCCACTTTCGAGATCGGCGCGACGCAGCTTCGGCTTCGTTACAGCGATCGCGTTGAGATCACCGTTCTTACGTCTGAACAGAAAGCCTTAGACTTACTACAAGTCGACCTACTTAGACTTGCTCAAGTCGAGCTTCAATACATGACTGACGTCGCGCAGCGACCAAGCGAGCGACGAAGTCTTGAGGTCGACTTGTTTCGCCTAAATGAATTTGAAACACATTATAAATTTACGCTGGAAAAAAATGATTGACATATGCTGTGTCGGGAGCGTCATATGCTATCCTATTGGTCAATTGTCATGACGTCACCGGTAGAATTTTCGACCAGTGAATTTCGCGCCTAAAAGGTGTGAAAAGTCCTTCAAAATGTCATAACCAACCAGGAAGAAAAGGGACTTTTAGAAAGTCTAAGAAGCCCTATCCAGAATGGTTTTCGTGCCGGCGTAGGAGGCATTCAGTAAAGTGTGAGCATAGCCTTAAAATCAACACCTTCATTTAGACATCAAGGAATCAATGAACATCATCCATTCTAGAAGAACCAACCTCTTTCTTTGTCCTAAAGGAATGCTGGGCGCAGTAAACTTTCTTGTCATCTTGAAACTGTGCTTCCGCCTTTCTTGCACACATGAAGTGATAATTCATAGGACATCTAGGCTCACAACACCCCACAGTAGCTCCTACCTCTCCACAGAATTCGCATTTCTAAAAACAGAACAAATCAGTTAGCAAATGTCGCCACTTGCATAGGCCCAAACACAGGAACAACAGTACTTGTAATATTGGTGCAATATATACACTGTAACATTAACGCCACATAGAACACCACTGTTTCAATATTGGGTGTAACACGTTTCACTCGACGTGGCTATGTTGTAGGTAAAATCTGTTCTCAGGTTTAACCAGAATTTCCTTTGCCTCCTATGAATAAATAGGGCTAGGAAACTGGAAATTTTAACTAAAACTAAGTTGAATACTGATTTAACCTGAAATCGATTTTAGCTACAACAGCTACACGATGCAACACTTAGAGTAACCACAAGGCCCGGACACATCAATATTGCTTTATTGTGAGCAACATATTCCACTTACACGCGGAAATGTTTTACACAGCATTTCGCACACTGCTTGCAATATTAGGCGCACTACGTTTGACTTAACGTGGCTACACGATGTAACACTTGAATCGCCTCAAATCACGGAATGGCGGGAACTATTTGATTTCCTACAGGAATTTCCGGAATTATCGGATTTCCCATGTAAATGGTACAAGTGTAAATACCCCCGGAATAGGTTACGACACCACAACAGCTTGGTCTCAAGATAAACAAAAACAGTCAAAAGCACTCTCACCATTTGTTTGCCTCTAGACAAAGCCGCTTGAACATTCTGCAATCGGCCCTCATCATCTTCAAACACTTCTGCAGACCAAAGTCCACAATTTACGTGCACCCACTCATCCAAACCACAGCAAATGAGGCGGCCAGGGCCGGAGGGTTCAGCATCTCTTGTAAGACCACACAGAAGACAACGTCTGGTGTCCTCCTGAAAATTTAGAACGAAGCTTGGGTAAAAGGATTGTGTTTAATGTCTTACTAATCTACGTTATTAACAACGTCAAGTCATCTACTTCGTCCCGCGTACGGTGAAAGTGAAACCTTGACTTTTACAACCATAAAATGCATTTGTTAGCCCTTTTGGGCCTTTTTACAGACAGAAATCACAGATTTCCCTCACCCTTTCGTATACTTCAACAAGTAAAATCCCTACGCTTTCATATACCTGAAGACCGAAAAAGGTACCCCTTTCGGGGGGGGGGGGTCCTCCCGTATAGGCCATTAGAGGGAGTACTCCTCCCCCCGTTTGTTACTGGATAAATCGCTATCGGATAAGCGTCTAGTTTATATGCACGGTTTATCCACTGGACGGTGATTTTTTGGTAGATACTTGACAATTATTCCTCGAGCCCGAGTGGGCTATTGACTTAGAGGCCATGAGGGGGAGAGGAAAAATTGTTTTAGTAAAATCCAACTAGTTGGTCAAAAATATCCAGACAAAACAACTTAAGCTAGTTAAAGCAAAACTTTAATCCTTGTTTGCCGCCGAAAAGCCGGCGCTTTTCCCTACCAGTGGGCTATAACATATAGCCTAATAGTAGCTCAACCAATCAGAACGTAGCATTGATAATAGACCACTAGTTTGATTTTACTAAATGTCATTAGTATTTACCAGAAACTCATAAGGGGTTGAAACTTGTAACTCGCGTTCAAGTTTCTTTTGTACATTTTTTTGCCGTCACTGCACGATTACAACGTGAGAGTGCCTAAATAGGGACTTTAAGATCCAACGACGCGGACGACAACGAGAACGTCAAAAAAACAATTGGTTTAATTAGCAAAACAACAACTTCCCACATGCATCACACTTTTTTGTACATTTCTTTCCCGTTTTTGCACGACTACGACGTGAAAATGCCTAATTTCGCGTTTTATGGAGGACGTAAACAAGCAACGACGAAATTTTATTTGTCTTTCTGAGCTTGAATTTGGTCCCTTGAAATTCAGCTTCAGGAGGGTTCGCCTACAATTGACAAAGTAATTGGGTAGGAATAATCGCTATAAAGACTGAAAGAACGCAAATTCACTTTTTACGCAACGTCCTTGTCGCCGTCGCGTCGTTGGATCTTAAAGTCCCTATTTTTTGAACTGTCGCGGGCGCGTGGACTAAAATTACGTCACGTCTTTTACGAAGTTGGATTGGTCAGTTATCTTTTCTTCTCGTTCCAAATACAGCACCTGCGAAAACGTATGAGATTTACACGTTTCAACCCCTTATGAGTTTCTGTATTTACCAAATCAGCTTCCATAACCTGGAATATCCCTGGCTATTTACTGTTTTTGGTTAGGGTCGAATCAAATGGTGTCTCCTAACATGATGGAACAAACTGTCTGACCGTTAAGCCCGGGTGCAAAATTGGACATAGTATCTGCTTTACCTCAATTAATGACTGCCTCTTTTCTTCACTGTTGCCGTCCAATTCCATTGGTTCTTCGTTTTTAATTGTTTTTTCTGCAACATTCTCATTGTCAATCTCCATCTTTTCTTCATTATCTGTAAATGGAAAGTACGGACAGTCTCTGAGCAAGTTTACTAGTGAAAAATTCACCTTTCAACAAAACCAAGCAACCAATTTAACACCCTCCCCCAAGGCTTCAAGCACCCATCATGTTCATACCGATAACCCCTCCACTCCCCACCCCTCTCCCCCCCTCAAGTCCCCCCCCCCCCACACACACACACCGGGGCCTAGTTTATGAAAAGTTGATTAGCACTAATCCAGGATTAAAATTTTGTTCAATTTTTGAATTTACCTTCCTATATATTTCTGGGAGAAACATTTTATGCTGCCATTACTGTATCTCAAATCTCAATGTTAAGTATGTAAGCTCGAGGTACCTGCTCATAGACAAGAAAACCTTGCTTAAAATTTGGCTTAATCCTGGGTTACACTAAACCGTCTTTTGAGGAACTGGGCCCTGCTGCTAATACAACTCGGTGTACCAGAAAGATGCATACATGTGTAAAACAATCCTACCTTTTGTTTCAGGGCAGTTGGATGTGGACTCCTGAGGGGGAGACTGGATTGTTATTGCAGGTTTAGGATCAGAATTTCTTTCGGAATCCTCCACACAGGCATATGCATGATCCCAGCTATCAAAGCAAATACTGGGTCCAATGAATCCACTGCGCAAGGTAAAATAGATGTCAATGAGAATCAAGGCAGTGAGGAAACAGTTCACATTAGTGATAACTGAAATTTGCATGATTATGTTGTCACATTCCACAGGTCAAGAGTACAGGTCACTGCTCCATCCATGAATTACCAAACCCTTCAGATTCCCCTCAATCTAATAGAGCATTTTGTTAAGAGTTTAGGGCTACGAGAAACTTTGAATGCTATTCATTTATCTGTATCATGGTGACCTGTACTCTGACCTGTGGAAAAGTGACCTGTATTTTACACCACCCGCTTCTTTTCTCTACTTCTTTTTAAACCACACTGGGATAATTAAATTGCTGTGAGTCATATTTTCATTTCTCTTCGCAGTGTTTGATCTTGTGATGAAACACTGTCTCAAGTTAGATATAAGGGTATCTATTATTAAAAGGTAGTTCCAACTCTTGAGTCTCCAGAAAAATTATGTGAGGCAAACTAACCACTTACACAACTTTGTTATTTTTATGCATAATCATATTCTGGTGTTGGAGTTAATACTTTGTTTTCACTTTGAATTTGACTACATTTGAGTAAGGGTGTAATGATTCGTATTCCCTGCGATTCAATTCGATTTCGATTATTTCGATTCGATAATGTAAATGTTTCTTAATAATATTCTTATAACATAACGTGATTTGAGAATAGTAACAGGAACAGGAGGATTCACAGTCGCTTGGTTTGTAGCCATGTTTGAGAACCTGACAAAGATGGTTTGCCTTATTTAGAAATTCTCAAGGGGTGGTTGAAGGACAGCATTTTTACCAGGCAACACAAAATGGCGCACGAACTACAATATAACAACTCACTGAGGGCACCCTGGAAAAGATATGGGAAAATCAAAGTAAAATTGAAATGTGGAAGCAAAGAATCGTGAATCGAACGGAATGGTCATAATCGTGATTAATCGAGAATTCGATTAATCGTTACACTACTACATTTGAGGTCTAAGATCAGAACTTGTTTAGCTTACTTGGGAGGAAGTACTGGTTGACTCTCACTGGTCTCCTTATTATCCTTCAGTGTATGCCAAGGAAACATCAATGCCAGTTCCTGAGTGTTAAAATATAGAACAAATAATGGTCGTAAATACATACATTGACAAGAACGATAAAAATAAAACAAAATTTCAAGCAACCACAACAAAACAATAGGGAACATTGCAGAAAAACAATATGTACCCTTGAACGATTTTGGAGTAATGCTTTTTTGTTTAGTTAATGTTTGTTTTCTCATTGAGCTTTTCAAACCTGGTGCCTAAAGAACTAGTAATGGTAGATGTTATTACAGTTAACATCATAGTAATCTATGTCCAAAATAATCACCTTGCAAAATGATGCAAAAAGAGAAGACCATTGTTTTGTTAGTTCAAGATCAGCCTCTACAAGTCGATACACTTTGTCTAAAATTCCCCTCAAGTCATGGCAAAAGCTTTCCTGCAAGAGAAAACACAGTTGGGTTTATAAGATGTCAGTAAATTTTGTGAGTATGTGTTCTTGTCTGTCCAGAAGAATTACAGGTTGCACTAACTTGGATTATGATAAACAGGAGTTTCAACATGAGAGTGAGTGCTTGCATTTGAACTGGAAGAAGATACTAGCACTAACAGCTACATGTGTGAAGAAGAAGGTTATGGGAAATGAGATTGCAAAAGCAATATGGTGAATAATGAGCAGAGAAAGATTTAAAATTTTAGTTGTAAACAACATTGCCTGGGAAGGTTAAGCATTCAATAGTAGATGCATTCCTTGACTGTGTCGACTGCAAGGTTAATAATGGATCTTTGACCCAATTTCTCTTCGACTCAGCAAAAAAGCTAATTAACCAAAGTGTCTACAGGCCAGTCTCTCTAAATTCCTGCAACCTTTTTAGGCCAAAGGCATATTTTAAAATTACGATCTAAAGAATCATTGTTAGAAAGTGTTGGCTCTAACCTCCAAACTGGTGCATTTTCTTTCATTATCTGAGCATAACTTAAATTGCATTGTATCATTTTCAGATCTTAATGTAAAGATAGCAAACTTAAAACAACCCTCTGGGCCCAGTAAATATTGGGATCTTTAAGAAATGGGCCCCAGATAAGGCAACACTTTTAACTTGTCAGAAACCTAACAATTCTAACAAAAGTTTAGATTTTACCTATATAATAAAGAAGAGCGTGCTGTCTCATTCATGCTTGCCAGCAATTAATTCAAGATTTCCCTGTACATGAAGAACATACATACCACAGTTATGTACTTTTTCTCTTTCACTTTTGCTGAAATACTGTCCAGATCTTTAGGATGCCCATTGTCCACTTGTAGCTGCAAGATGAAACAGGAGTAGGCAAAGCATGTTTCTTTTAGCAATGAAAGGCTCTGTACATAAGGTTCTGAGACAATTAGTTGCAATAACTTATGAGCAGGGCAATAACAATAATTATTTTTATTGATTGGCATACCTGTTCAAAGAGAGACTGGAAAAGACTATAAGCCTCGCAAGATTTTATTTCTTCCAAAATCTAAGAAAAAGAAAGAAAATTAAAAAATTAATTCAATCAAGGACAAAGTGTGCAACATTATCATCATCATCATCATCATTTTTAAGCCCATTTGGTCAGGCTGCTCTAACAACGATGTTATTCCAAGCATTCCACTCCAACTTCATGGTCAAGACGATTCTGGAATCACTTGAGAGCATATCTGGGAATGTCATTTCCATTGGGTAATGTAACAAAACCTGGCCTCCCTAAGCGTTGCTCCTAAATGTGGTGGGATATTTGTGTGCCTTGATGACCCTGGAAGCTATACCAGTTGGGCCTATGGTCCCTGGTGGGTTCAACTGTGCTGGCCAGGTTTTGGATAAAAGGCCAGACGAATTGCAACAACTGGCCCATCAGGTTGTGGGTTGGGCGATGGCTTAATGTCCTGTCCCCACGTAAAAATTTACTATTACTGAAAACAAACAAAGGAGAAGTGTGGAGGCCTTATGCATTATGGAGTGTGAAGATGTGAGGAGGGTAAGGTAATGTAACAAAACTAGACTTCCAATTGTTGGAAATAGATGGCATTGTACCATACAGAAAAAAATCGATTGACTTTTAAATGGTATTTCTACTGCTGATTTTCAAATTAACTTTAGGATGTTTCAGCTTGTCCAGTTGTTTATTTTGCTATCAAATTGCTTGTGTTAGTTGCTGTGTGTGTGTTTTATTTATTTATTTATTTTTGTTTTTCTTTTTGTTCTTTTGCTTTTTTTATGTGCATGTTCAATCCTGACATACATTAATTTTGTATTTTTGAAATATTTAAGGTAAACAGCATAAGCACTCTAGATTAGCCAATGTTGTAATAAATATTGTTTACAAAAAAAAAACTTGACTTTACCCGTTCATAACCAGCTTCCATCTCCTCCATGAGCTCTTTGTACCAGTTCAGCGTCTCCTGTTCTGAACAGCACTGCCTACAGATAAACTGTACTTCTTCTGGCAAGTCTGACAAACACTCGTACTGATCCAAGGTGATACCTTGACACTCAGCATGCACCCAGTGATCGCACTGAACACAGTGCACCATTTTAGATTCAAAGTCGTCATCAGAGTAGCACTTGTCGCAAAGGGGGCAGAAGTTGCCCTGTTGTCTTTGGAGGCCGCAGTCTTGGCAATGTGTAAACTCTAGCATCCACAAGGCCTCAGGGTTCTAAAAGAAAATGTTGTCAGTGTCACTAAATTTGACTATACATGTATAAGGCTGTGTTTCTTCATAGAAAATCTAAGACTTAATTGTAAAAAAAGGGTTAGATAGGGTTCCTGCTATTCTGGCTGGAAAATGGGCAGTTGTTTGATGTGATGCATTTTTTTCTACATTTTTCCTCCCTTCAGCTGATCTGGCTATATTTAATAGTGGTTAATCTCCCATAAGGTATTGGTTATATAGAATGATGATGACATGAATGGTGGGATTATAGATCTCAATTAAGGTAGGACCACCACATTGTAGTTGCAATTAAATTGCAATTAAAACTGCAATGGTCATATTTTCAATATTACATTTAAATTGCTAATGCACACTATTTTCAAACTGATGGTTTAAATAAATGGCAATAAGCACCCTAAGAGATTTCCAGCACAAGGGAAATTTCATTTCTGTCTCAGCAGAACACAACACTTTTTATCCAATCCACAAAATAATTTAGTTACAGTAAGCAGCTTACCTCTCCAGCAGTCCTCTTTCCACAATTCTCACACTGAACACAACGACCACATACCTAGTAAAACAACAAGACAGTAAGAATTACACTATGAAATTATTTAAAATATTCTGCCTGATGTACATAACAAGATAAACTATCTGTCGTAAAGGTTGCTTAAACCATCTGCATTATAACACCATCAATCAGTGACAAATTTTAAGACACTTTGTCCTCAAAGACATTTCTTACATTACTATATATATACTTAAAAACAGAAAAGTGAAGCTTTCCCTACCACACCTCTTCTTATCAACCATTTTTAATAGAGTAATATTTTGCTTACCAAGATAAACCTAATTATTGATGACAGTGTCTCGACAATTTTGTCATACCGTGTGTATCTCAAGGAAAATCAAAGACTAGATTCTTCGTCTCAGATGCTTTGCACCTTTGAGAGGCATACCATCTTCAAGAGGTGTACCCGTGATAGGTATTTGCTGTAACGTTGCTGACTTAAGTTTGAATTTTACAACAAAAAGAACCACTAACCCAAACGTCATCTTCTCCTTCTGGTTCTGTGGGGTAATGAGGACCTATACATTCCACATGATAGCCCCGCTGGCAGCGATCACACATCAGAAGCTGAGAATTAAGCAGTCAGAGAGTGTATGTTGAAATGATTGAATCATTTAATAACAATATCTAGAGGAAATCTCAAAGATTTTCATACATGTTGGTGCTTATGGGCATCCTGACAGGATTTGCTATCCTTGCAGAAGAAGTTGACAGTTAGAAATGCAGAGTATGTTTTCAGATAGCTTCCCAATGGCTGGTTTTTCACTAGCAACAGAGTCATAATTCATGGAATCACATTTGCAAGAAACAGATTTAAGTTTGCACTCTTTTCTGACTCCACTGATAACTCGACTGTTGCTTACAATCTATTGAAAACAGGCTTGTCAGAGTCAAGATATGAAGAGAAAGACTAAACCTTTAATTACATTTGCTGATTCCCCAAACCTTGACCTTGTGATTAGTTAAGTTCTTCTGCTTGTTGACTATCAACAGTCTAGTTTTCACTAGATTGTAAGCAATAGTAAGAGTGTTTTCACTTGATCATAAGTGCTCTAACTTTCTGATAATGAGTTTGACTCTGACTCCATTGTCAGTGAGAACCAAAGCCACTTTATATTGCAGGAAGAAGAAACGAAAAAAGAAAAAATAGAACATGAGTGGAGGACAAAAGAAACTGTCCCATTACTTCACCTTATCCTGATATCCACAAACAGAACAGCTGCTGCAGTTATCGCAGCACCATGTGCTCTCATCTATCGGAGTCTCATCAAGACAAAACCCATGAAAGGGCTCAGCACAAACTCTGCAGTAATACATCTACAAACAAGACAAAACAAGAATGTGACTCTCCTAGAATGGCTGAAATAAAAATGACAGAAAAAAAGCTGACTTTTACACAAAATAATCAGTCCACAGTGACATAAAACTTAGCGGCTTTTATTTGAACAGTCATACTTGAGTATTTCATCTGCATGCTCACAAGTTAAAATAACCTTGTGCAACATAGTTAATAATACAGTGGGGATGTTTTGATGGAAATGTTAATACTATGGATCTTGAAAGTTCACCAGGGCTAAGTTGTTCAAAGGCAGATTGGTGCTTAAATGGGGTTAAATTTTAATCCATGTTTCCTTTTCTGTTATTTTAAAGCACTTTCTCAGATAATTTTCCCTATTCTTTTTAGAGCATCCAATCACCAAATTATAGACCAAAAGAATTAAACTGAATTTGCTTTTTAAGCAAATTTCACACTGACCCTGGGTTATCTTAAACCAGCTTCGAACAATCCGGCCCAGGCTCATAACTTATCATTATCTCTTCATGCATATTATTATTCTAAAATCTCTTACACAGATTAACAGAGCATTTTCCTCAAACCTTTTCTGTGCCCTTGCTGCCGCAAAGGAAACAGAGTTCCTTTATTGCACTAGGAACACCAGCAGTAAAACAAATTCCAAATCCTTCCTTCCAGATCTCCTCCTCAGTACTGTTATCCTAATAAATGATAAAAATATATTGTTATTCTTTTAACATCCCAGATTTCATATTCCTACACAAAATGACTTTTACATCCCCAGGCCCTTTCAACATGACTGTTTATAGTCTTTGACTTTTTCACTCTACAAAATGTCACCTTTGCCATAGGGTCTCAGGTTGTAAAGGTCATGTTTTACAGGGTTCTCAATAGATTTTTAAATAGGAGGTGATCACTGATAAAGTAAGAGGCTCTTCAGCAAAGCCAGAGGTGTCAAAACAAAGCAAAGAAAAGCGACTTAAACACAAAGTAAGCGGCTATAAATCCCAAAGTAAGCGGCGATCAATCGCCGGGTGCCGCCTTCTATTGAGAACCCTGGTTTTAGCAAACCTATCCTGCACTTCTTCAAAGGTGATTCAGCATCAAAGTAGTGCAAAGTTCCAGTCATAAAATTATGGCTTAAACTTTCCTAAAGCTACCATGCCATGCACAAGACTGTCACAAGCTCCCAGTTAGAGTTTTGCACAATTCTGTAGGTTTGTTCAATCGATTTTACTCTTTACATGTATCTTATTTTGAGTGCCCAAGGCTGTGCTCTAAGAATAATTTAGCCAGTGCTCTCAATCTGTGAAATCTAGGGTGTCTAGCATTATGATTTCTGCGAAAAAAAAAAAAGATTTTCTAGTGGCCCAGGAGCAAAAGTTTGGCACCAAGAGCTACTGGGTACCACTAGAGCACAGCCTTAGTGCCACAAACCCGCTAAATCTGAAGCCAAGTGCTCAGATTCTGCCAGAGACAAAGAATTAATTTTAAAGTTTTTACAAAATCACAATCCTAGGTTTGTGTTATTATTATCCCTGGTATCCCCTGCGCACCTCAGCAGACAACAAGCCAGTGGATCTGTTCAGGCATCTTTAATGAGCAAACTGAGACCCAGGGAAGAGAAGCCCCCAGGGCTGGAGGGAAGAAAGAAAACAACCACTTGAACAACTGCGGGAGACGAGTGATCACATTACAACATAATGTCAGTCAACACTCAACTGGTGAAAAGGTGCGGGGTCCTGGGGCTAATCAGATTATTCCCTTGGAATATTGATGATTACTATCATTAACTTACGCTCCAAGGCAGCTTAACAAGGTTTTTATCATCCAGCACTGCCTGCCTCTTGCCAGCAGCTGGTGGTTTGACTTGAACACTTGACTTTTTCTTGGATTGTGGAACCTGACTCTGTTCTTTCCTGAAAATCTTTTTCATGGGAATGCCTTCTTTTTTAGGTGCCACCTTCGGTTTTGCTGATGATCAAAAAGCCCAGTTAGTTGTCAGTTTAAGGCCCATGTTCACCCAAGCGGCTTTTCGCTCATGTGTTTTTCTTTTCAAACACTCCTTGTGTCAAATTCAGTGTTTTGATGGGCAGAGTGTTTGCTTTTGACTCTACACACACTCAAGATAGCAATTTTCAACTACGCGAAATCATTTTTCTGGAATACAGGACTCGCAAAGCCGTTCAGTTGAATGTGAGCCTTAAAGCTCCAGTATCTAAATACAGATTCTCCAGACCGATATCCATACATTTCCTTCAAGAATAAGCTGAAAGAATCTAACAAAAGTTCAAAGCATTTAATTGCCTTTGGTGGTTATTAAATTAATTCTCATAACATTCTCCTTGACGATGTATTGACGCTGTTCAGAGAAAATAGGTGTTGGTCAATCTTGGGAATTAAAGGGTTTTGAACACAATGCATTGTTATGAATTCAAAACATTACTGCTGCAAGCGACAATCAGGGTTTACAAATATGTCATATTTGGTGTATTTTACACCAAAAAATTTATCACACAGTTACACCAAGAATGTTGAGCAGTATTTGAATTTCTACCAGCCAATAACATTCTCAAAACTGTGAGAATTCCAGGACGATTCTCAATAGAAGCCAGCAACTGGCAGACTTCAAACAGCTGTAAGCCATGAGCCTGTTCAGGCTACAAAATTTCCCCTGTGAATATAAGCTCCAAAAAGATATACATCTATGTATGACGATGAAAAGATCACATTTTCAGTAAAATAGTGACCTACTCGGTACTCATTCACGCCAGTTAACTGTAAAACAGTTCTTTGAATAACACTTTGAGGTTCTCAGATCAACCTCAACAAAAAGTTAAACGTAGCTGAACATGCATTTCTTTCATTAAGTAAAGTCAAGAACGAGAAATTTTTACACTGAATGAATCCTGCCTGTTACAGGTTTAGTAAATGGAGGTAGGAAGCATGTTTCTGAAGTTCAAGATAAGGGAAACTTTAGTAATTTATATAGTAGATCTTGTGTTCCATAAACAAATCATTTTGGGTGAGCCCAAAAATACCTTTCTCTGACTTCTTGGGTGCGGCATTGCCCAAAGGTTTTGGGGGCTGAGGATCAAGACACTTGCGTTCACTGAAATTTAAAAAAAAGATGATGAGTAATTCATTGGTTCTCCAGTAAAACTATTTTACATATCTTAACAATCATCATTACACCACAAACTACTTACACACAAGATTGCTTGCATATTCCTGGTCCTCCAAACTTTGGTTTGTCCCTGCAGTAAAAAAGTTGGGTGAAACACGTATAATCTATAATTCTCATTTTGCATCACACAATACCCCTTTCTTTAAAGATACAGGGCTGTCATTAAGTTCTGGGGAGTTAGGAATTTCCCCTGGTTACTATGAAGGTGTTGGTCCAGGATTGTCAGAAAGTTTTGACGTAGACAGCTGAGTTGTCAAAGTAAGCGGCCAGTTCAGGGATATTTTCATTTAAAAAAAAACGCAATCCATAAAGAAATGCCAAGCAGAGTAGCTGGCCGGTACTAACCAAGTAGGCAGTGATTTCTGCCGGCAGCTGGCTACTTTTGACAACCCTGTGTCTCCTGACGACTTTCATAAAAATAGAAGAAAATAGAATCAACGGAATCCCTAGCTGTTTATTTCCCCACCACTTGATATATCTACCAGTCAATTTCAAATCTTATTGATGCCTTCAAAATCATTCAGTTTTCAAAACATTTTGTCATGGTTTCAGAATATTTTCTCTGCCTAGCTGACCCATACTAAGGACATTTTTATGTTGTAGGTCAAAATGAAATTCAGGTAAAAATGGTTTCAGCCTGGTTTGACTTTCAGTTTCTTTTCTTTCATTTATGATCATGAAAAGTACTTACTTGCACCAACGGCAAACACCACAATCCTCCTCTATTTTACAACCCTCGCAGACTCCGCAACGTACTCTCCTGCGCCCACTGACTACAGCACATTTTTCCGTTGGCTTCTTTCTCACGCCCATTTTCTTAATAATTTTCACAACCTTTGTCTTGGTTTCACCACTCTTTGTTCGTACTTTCTTCACAACTTTGATGACTCTTTTCACCACCCTTTCTGTTTGTTCTTCAGGTGATTTCTCCATTTCTTTTTTGATTTCTGAAAGAGGTTTGCTACTTTCTTCATCTTCACTAGAGCTGGGAATTTCATTGTCACTTTTGATTACCTGAAGTCTCGAGGCAGCTGCCTTCTTCCCACTTGTTTTTCTTTTCTTCACTACCACCGGCCCTTTACGAGGCTGGCACTCACTATCAGAGTCCTTATGAACTCTCTTCTCTTCCTGACTCGACCGTCGAGATGATGCACGGCTACTCATTCCACCGTCAGAATCTACACAAGCATTTTCATTCCCACCCTGTTGTTCAATTTCTCCCAAGTTATCCCTGTTCACTACTGAATTATCTTCAATAAACTCATTCTCCACCTTTTCTTGCATCTCTTGTAGACGTTTTGATTTAAACACATATTTGTTTGTAGAATTGGGTGTACTTTTTTTAGATACATTACTACCTAAAGATGAAACCTCCGAAATGGATGATGAATCGCTAACTTGGTCCTCAGGATCTTCTTTTTCATGTTCTTGTTTGATACCAGAAACATCCAGTGTTCTTTTCCTTATTTTAATTCTCTCTGATCTCTTTATAGATGTTGAGTCTCCTTTACTGTTAATTTGTTTCCCTTCTTTTCTAAATCTTGAGCTAGGTAGCTCATCCCCTGAATTTGAAGTTCTACTATTCGCTCCTCCCTGTTTTTTACGACCAGGAAATTTTGCCTGTTGATAATGGTTTCTTTCAGTGAGTGCATTTTTAATCCTCTTTGCGTTCTTAATGCGAGTTTTCTTGGTAACAGTCTGATTCTCATCAGCTGAGGAATTGCTGGCAGTTTTGTCCTTGAAGTCAAACTTTGCATTCTGACAATAAAAAACAAAATAATCACAGCTGTATAAAGAACGGCCCGCGTTGCAGATGAAATTTAACCTCAGTAAGTAATGTCTGTGAAGCAGCACTGATATCCATATTCTGGGTCCCCAACGATTACTCAAATCCTGGTACACACATTGGGACCCAGAACAAAGATTTTGGTGTTGTTTCGCAGACGGACTTAACCACAGTTTGGTTTTTTCTGTGGTGAAGGCTATGCTACATAAATAACAAGAAAGAACACTGCACATAGCTGCTGTGGTTTAAACTGAAATTCAAGTTAACCATTTCAGACTACTTTGATTCTCAGTTGGCCCAAAAAATTCCATATCTGTACAGAATCCGGTTAGCAGCTCTGATTGGTTGACAAAGAAATAAAATATATTATACTCTTTCAGCTATTGTTCAATGTACAAGGGACTGAATCTACCTGAATCTAAGAAACACTCATTTTCTGGGGAATATTTTTGCGTCACTATAAGAAGTATTTTTACATTATGAGTACACAAGTTCTGAGGCCAAAACTCAGAAATCTCTCTCATAAAAATTTTCCCAGAATTGGGGAACAATGCAAGGTAGCTTTATATAATACAGGTAAAATTTAATTTCAGGTTAATTTTGATTTAACCTAGGTTGATTCTCAATTTCCTTTCCTTTCTACCCCTAGAAGACAAAGGAAACTGAGAGTCAACCCAGGTTAAAAAAATTTAACTTGAAATCAAATTTGACCCGCAATGTATACGTAGGCTAAAAAGGGACAATATATAGAAAGAAGTATACTGTAAATTTAACAGCACATATATCTTCATACCTTTCTACCATCACTCGCACCAAGAGGCCTGATGTCAAATCCCGTGGGAGATTCTATCGGAATGCAAAATGTGGCACTCAGACACAGATATTTAACATTTTATGGAGTGTAATAATAACAACATTAACAATGATGATGATGATGATTATTATTATTATCAGAAACTCATTATATATAATAACTAGTGATCAACCCATGTACACATGACAAAACATGGACGTTTGGGCAAATATGTTTATTGTTGATGACAGAGACCAAAGAATCGAAGCACGTGCAATAAACTAAAACAAAGGAAAGGAGGAAAGAGCTTATGTCTCCACTCTGCATCGGAACAAAGATGATACACTAAAGCTAAGTGCTCTCTTTATGGACCTTTAATAACAATGGCTAACTTTACAATAATAATTCCTGGCGACACAGCGTGCAAAGAATGTCATTTTTAAAGCTTGCCATTAGGGCAAGCTGAAACTAGCATATACTAACTCAAATGTCATTTCAACTAGCCCTAAAAACATTTTGATGAGCAGAATTGATTTCATAGTTCTTCTGTAATTTGAATTCCTCAAAAAACTTCACTTGCCTGTTGGGCAAGTTAAGAACAAAATTCACTAGCCCGATAGCAAAATCCACTAGCCCCGGGCTATCGGACACTACTTTCTTTGCACACTGCGACAAGAGGAGCCTACAATCCTAATTTCCAGGTAGTTATTATGCATGCATCACATGTACATAGCCAGCATTCATTTGGACTTCCACTAAGAATGAATGGAATCAACAAAACGCAGTTTGATCACACGCATTTCGTCTTTCTAACCCTTGTAACCTTATCATCCATGTTTTGATCATCTGTCACGTGAAACTTAAGCAGCGCATCATGTTAGAGCAAAAGACTTTGGACCTTCGATTGTTGTCGACACCACACTCTTGGTTAATACTGGTGCGGGCAAGTTTTAGGCTTCTGATCCGAGGTCAAAAGCTGGTGCTTTACATAAGTTTCATGTGTTATAAGGTCAAACTAGCATGATCACATTACATTATTGATACAAGGTCTAAATGCATAATCAGATTGCATTGCACATGCATGCATTCCGATCATTTTTCGTGGAAGTCTAAACAATTGCTGCCACCATGTACTTACCACATGCGAAATAGCTACCTGCAGATTAAAACTGTGGGCTCCTCTAGTTGCCAGTAATACTAATGATGATGATAATGATGATGATAACAATAATAATAATATTAATAATAATGCTAATAGTTTACCAAGAATACTAATGACCACTAACATTCAGAGCGGGGGCATCTGTAGTGTTAACTATTACTAGTAATAATAATGATGATGATAAAGATGATGATGGTGATGATAATAATAATAGTTTACTGACTGAGTATTTTGTTGCAGGCATAATTCACCCTCAGATCAAACCAGAATTTTCTCCATTTTTGTTTCTTATGAATAATTAGGGCTACATAACAAAGGTCATACTAGTTTAACCTGAGCAAAGATTTTACCTACAACACAGCCACCACAAAAGGCTCTTCGTAAGATGGCAGCAAAGGTTTGTAGTCCTATACTCATGTACATGTACAGAGTTGTCACTAAGATTTCAAGTAGCCGGGTAAACACAACAAGTGGGCGGGGAATCAAACGGCTAGAGATTTCTTTTGGTTCCATTTTTCTTCTATTTTCCAATAAAAGTAGCCGGGGGCCACTCTCTTAGTAGCCGGGGAAAATCCCCGGCCCTCGGCTCTTAATGACAACCCTGCATGTATCAATATTACTTATGTATTATTTTTCAAAAATAACTTTGAAGAGGAATATTTAAAAACTATGAAGCAGCATTGTAAGTGGAGAGCGAGTTGTATTGTTAGTAATGTAAACAATGCAGTTTTAAGGAAAACAATGTGGTGAACTCAATTCACCAATTTTTTTTTAACAGAACTGTACTGTGATGAAAGGACCTTAAAATGTTAATATTTTGCAACAAATTACGTTGCCATTAAACATTTATTAGTTGGCTATAGGTAATATTTCAAAAATACAAAACAATAAAAAAACATTAAAATCAAATTAGTATAAATAAAAACTTCATTAAAATATTATGAACAAGAGCTGCACAGAGAAATACAAAGAGAAAATCAGAAAATCAAGTATTTGTGGCAACCTCAAAGTAGAAAGTGCATAATTTTTAAAATCACTCATCTTGTAATATTTAATGATGTTTGATTTATATACGAATATCATTATTTTCTTACTTGCAATGCTAACCAGATAAAGCAACCCATACAAACACAAAATGCTCAAATAATCGATGGAGGTTTATTCATTAATGATTTTCTTTCCCAACATGCAGCCCAAAATATTAAATTTCCCTGACTCAACATTACCTTCAACAACCTTGCTGAAATGACACTTTAGGACTTGTTTAAAAAAATAGTTATTCCACATACTTTACAAGCCCTTTTCTGTACGCACATGATGATGAGAAATTAATTGCATGTCAAAAAAATAACCCCGGTCTGAAGCTTCTCTTTCTTTCATCACTGCATATTCGCTTAACAGTTTACTGACATTGAACTGAATCAAAGAAAGTTAGGGGTTTCGCGTCAAAGTAAACTTCCAGTCTTCATTACAAGTGGCTTCTAAATTAATACAACCTGCTCACAACTGTTGACAGAACTAGCTAATTCATGATAAACGATATAAATACCTGGATTAGGAACGTAGACGCTTTGATCGGCCGGTAGCTCCATTCTCTCCAACTTCACCTCTGCCAGTCGTAGCGATTTCTCAGGAGGACATTCGCCATCCTCAAGGGGCCTCTTTTGTCCTCGATTGATCTTGTTTGCTGCTTCAGATCTCGCTTCTTCTCTCTTTGCTTTGAATTTGGGTGACGTTACGTCGTCGTAATCCAATTTTTTACTCTTTACAACTCGCCCAAACCGCGATCGCACTTGGTCGCTATGTTTGTTTACCGATGAATTTTGCTTGCGAATCCTCTGTCCCTCCTTGGCCTTTGCCAACAACTGTTTCGCCAGTGGAACGGCTGCTTTCTTTTTTACACTCGCGAAGGGAAATAAATTCCTTTCGTATATTTTCATGCTTTTGGAAAGAACTACTTGAGGAGGTTTTGGGACTCGAGGTACAAAATTTGCCTTCACCTGAGTTGTTGATTTCACATTCGGTGACAAGCAAGTATTGTCGAATACAACCTCACGAACCACAGGACGCGCGAAGCGTCTCTCGTACGACTCTCTCTTCTTGTACTGTTTTGCGTATATGTTTTGGCTAGGCGATGTGGTCGTCTGCTTTTTCTCCGTCTCCTTAATATTGTTGTTATGATGGGAAGATTCTGGGGGCAATTTTGATGAATGGTCTGCTGAATGACGCGAATGGGTGTCTCGAACGCCATGATTATATCTCCTATAACTGACTCTCTCGCTGCCATCCAAATATCGGCTGACAGAAAAAGAGCGATATGCTTTGAGACCTAAATCCTCTGCTCGAAAGCCGTAAAATTCTTCTTCCTAGATAAAAAAGAAATCAACACTTGAGCCTAAAATCACTGACCATTGACAGAACTGAAAGGGTTTGAAAAACAAAACACTGAAATGTGCATGGCAAACAGAGACATCGAATCACCTCTTCATCGGAATCTCCAAAAATTTCGCGGTATCTTCGAAGACTAATTAAAACTGGCTTGATAACCGATCTCTTCTGTTTTTTAATCAACGTGTCCTTTCTCGTACGTCCAGACATATCCAAAGACTTTTCTTTCTCCGGTGAACGGCTCTTGTTAGATCCTGGGAACTTCATTCGCGCCATATTGCCTCCAAATGCGCATGACTGATAGGAAGCCACACGTGCTTTGACGACCGCACAAGATCATGGGACAAAATGGAATAAACAAGGTGTTTTGCAAACTTCTGCTTTATTTGATCGTTGCTACCGCTTTTAATGCGCTTGCTAGTCAAGTTTAGTCTATATTTCGTACAGCCTAAGACATCTTGTAGACGCTAAACATTTCAGAGAGCGCGAAATTTTCTGCACAACGATTGAGCGACCAGGCCTGGTGGGTATTCCCCAATGCGCTGATTTGTTTCCGGCGCATAGCATTCGCCAGAGCGTACATTTCGAGCTTTTTGAATATAATGTATAAATGTGCTAGGGTTTGAGTTTATTAGCTATTATAGGAGACTTAATGATATTTTGTTGAGATGACGCGAAAATAAGTGGTCTCCCGCTAACTCGGTCCTAAACATACGCGTCGCCGAGCGCGCCATGATCAAAGCGATCGTTCCCAAGGACTCCCAAGCACAGCTGGCGCTAAAGACGATCAAAATGCGATTAATTTATTCTGTTAGTTTTTTTGGCGGCATATGCCCCACTTTATTTTCAGTACTTCTAATCCAAATCACCCTTTCAATTCATTTGATGCCACACTCTCCGATTATTTGTTCATTACAGGACTTTGAGACAATTAGGCGCGGGGTTTTCCCTATCAGATCTTGTTGCTCCGCTTTCAAGGGACGAAGAAGTGTTTTCGATTTTACCGGTATATCTGTAGAGGCATAATCTTCTTCCTGTCTGCCCCCTGTTTCATTTTCTTGGAATCGTTACTTGCTAAAAAAATTATCATTTCTAAAAACACCTGGACCCGACCGTAAATCACGCGCACCGCGGCCGAGGCTAAAATTCACGCCACACATGAACGAGTCCGATTTTAAAAGTACCCGGTAATGATTTCTTTCTATTCCTTCTTTTCTTTCTGTGATCGTTATCCTTGATTCCAATCTACAATCGACTAGCTGGCTCTAAGCACTTCCAAGAGATTCAATCTGCATGTACAAGAAGTCAGTTCACTCATTTCACTAGCGAAAAGCAAACTTCATGATGGAAAGATTTCAGATAATACTTTTCAGGTTACACAATCTCTTGAAAGAAGAACAAAAAGTTATATGTATGGGCCACACACAGGGTGGCAAGTCTTTGGGTAGTCCCACGACATTTGTTGATCATCCTTGAATATGGGGCTGGACGCAGGATACGCCGAACGTGAGAGCTTATTTGAAAGGCATTCGTATAGGCGTTCAAAATTTGGATAAGCTTTAGAATCGAAATTTATTTGTTCAATCACTGACAATTTTCAAGAAATGACAGGGGTCTTTTACTAGGATGAGAACGCCGTTGCTGATTTCCATGCTCGAAGATCTTTCGATCCTTCTTGGCTGTGTTCAGGGTTTGGACCGAAGAGAAGAACTGGGGTAAACTAAAAAATTGACTTGTAAGCACAAATTAGCGCTTTCTTTATCTTTACTTTGACGATCATTTTTGCTAAAAAAGCACACCTAGAAGCTGTTTTTTTTCTTCAGTTTTTTTTTTAGATAAAAACCTTTCCCTGGGCACATTTTTTCCGCGATCTCGTCCGATTACCCCCGACAGCTGGTTACTAAGGAGTCTTGCTCCCGCGTTTCCGCGAAAGCGGGCCAAATTAAACTATGATCTCTTAAGTTAAGCGCTGTCTGCCGTGTCCTCCCTATGATATTGTTAACGGTTGTTAATGACTCTCCTGGCTCGCGAACCAACTTGCGAAGAGACTTCATGTTGAACAGAGATTGCTCAGTGATTGCTTCCAATTCCGATTCCCACCATGAAGTTTGTATTGTAAAATGCTCAAAATCTTATACGTCACGTACATACTGCTTATGACACGCCTATTAAACAATGATCGATTTCAATGGATCTCCGAGCACTTTGCTCGATTTTGGCGAAAATCGGGGGAAAATCGATTTGGAAATCGCGTGGGTATAATTCACGACGATGTATGAAGCAGCTATACTTCTGGCGATTTTTTTTCCGTCGAATACAGCCATATAAATAGACCTCTACGTGTAAACTGACTCGTTTAAATTGTCGTTAAAGTTTTAGTTACCATACCAGAAATTCGAAAAGTGTTAGCTGATCAAGTTGTGATTTCGGGCTGGATTTTTGTGTTAATCTGCGAGGGCCTGGGGACATTGTCTGACCTGTCGTGATTTTTCAAACGATTGTCGTACTTCATGTACACTGCACGAAAGATCCCTTACGGGGGTTAAAACTCGAGAGACCTTTTTCGCTTTTATGTTTAGTCTTGTCCGGGGTCCTTTCATCGCAGACCATGTGATGTTACCTCTAACAACTGTTTGTTTTTCTCCAAATGTAGTGCTATCCACGAACATATGCGTGCATAGCTAATAAAAATCCCTTGAGAACATCACGTGACCTGAAAAACGTACAAGTTATAAAGGTCTAAAGAGAGACTAAACGAACAAACATTCCTCAATAACGAGCAAAATAAGAGTACATGATTCATTTGTAACATACGCGTATAGCTGTCCATTTGCCTGCTGGAATTTTTCATTGTTTTTAAGCCTAAAAACAGTAAAAAGGGGGAGGAATCTGCTTATACTGGAGATCTTAAAGATCTGTTAACTCGTTTGCCTTCTAAACCCCATTATCAATATGAAAATCCCATTTCTCATTTTTTTCCTCTATTCAGTTCCTACAAAAGTAGCGGGGAGGATTTGTAAAATTATAAATTAAATTTCATCATGTGTGATCATGTAATTAATTCTCATCACCTCTTTGTTTATAAACCATTGATATAACAAAGAGAAATTTGATGCTAATCACTCTTAAGGTCTAAACAGTTAGGGAAACGTTTACGGAAAAGCTGCGGTTTAATAGCAATGACACAGTCAAAAGTTAAATCTTTAATCTAATATACAGATTATATACACGTTTTTCTCTTTTAAATATCTTTTCAAGGTCTGTGCGATCAGTAAATGGACTGAAATTAGGCAAGTAGTCCGTTAAGGAGAACTTCATCGGTGTTGTTGACTGGCCGACATTGTGCCCATTAGTTTACTAGGGAATCTGCCTCTTCCTGGAAAAAACCTCTAAGCAATGGCTCGAAATTCTCGTCACTTCGTGCGATTTGTCGCTCCAGGGCGGCACGGAAGTCTTCCTTGGCCCCCTTGTTTACCCCTCGGGTTACGGCTCTACTGTAAAAAGATAGATATGAAACAAACACATCATCATAAGTCAGGTCATATCTTAAACAAAACAATAGTTATTTGGTTTTTCAAACCCGCACCATTTTCTTAAAATGAGTAAGTTCGTAGCTGGTCACGTGACCAAAATGTGATTTTTAAAATTATGAATCACCTCTTTCTGAACGCAAATTTTGCACTTAAACTTCAAGGAAAATGTTGAAAAGATGACGTGGTAACGTTTACAGCACATCTGAGCGTAACTATCAAACGTTTAACAAAATGTATAAGCAAAAAGTAGTTTTGGCCGCCATGCTGGAGGGCAAGAGTATGCCCTCCAGCAGGGCGGCCAATACAAATCATACTACTTTGTTGAAAAATCAAAGTGCCATAAAATATCACCCCTAGACGCGTTTCCTCTCAAATTTCGGGTGTAAGATAATTTTTATGTGCTTTGTCAATTTTTGGCATCAGCAAGATTCCAACCCGTTGTTTAAAGGAAGCATTGGTCACGTGACCTCTTAGTGCAAGTGGCCTATAAGAGAGCTTTAGATTCTAGCTGATTCTGAGACGAGGACGACTACCAGTACGAGATTTTCTCAAGACTGAGTATTGCTCACGCGTGAACAAGCGTCATTTTGGCGGGAAAACGTGATAGCCGTCGTCATTCTGATCTACTACGAGTTTTAGCGTGTGGCGGGAACAAGTTATCAAATGTAAGAAGTTTTATCATTTTGCTATCTGGAGAGGGCTTAACCTTCTTCAGTATAAATAACCGTACTAACTTTTTTGGTGAAAAAAAGTAAAGTGAAGCTTTCCGGGGTGTCTTTGTTTAGAACACGCGCTCCTCAAATCTAAAGCTCTCCGCTATTGTCGCATATGCCGTAAACTGCCGCTAATACGCCCCCTACTCATGAATCCCCCAGTTATAGGCCCATGTACCTGTAAACAACAACAACAACAACAAAAACCGTCCGATTATAAGACCCGGATATAATCACTCTCCAAATGTATTGGAATAAATTCGATTTATTATGACATTTTGAAGCAGAAATAGACTCCAGCAAATGCAAAACGTATTTTGATCAGCACTGCCATAGCTGGTTTGCAAACGCATTTTCTTGTCCGGCCAAAGACCTCTTTAGCTTGTACGTTTTGTTTTCCTAATACAGGTCATGTGATAATACTCTAGGGAACTGTTTCTTTCAAATTTCGTCATATTCACGTGCATAAGTACGCATAATTATGACGAGACAAAGGGTCAAGTTTCCCCGGGACCTCTATTGGGAAAACAAAACATACAAGCTAAAGAGGTCTATAAGCCTCCTTGGATACAAGCCCCTCCGATGATAAGCCCTCCTAAACCCTTTATGAAGGCACATTAGCCCAAGTTTTATATGAGACAGTTGATCGTATGTGAAGAAAAACGAAGATCAGCAGAAAAATCTCAACAGTTTCCAAGAGAAAAGGATCAGTTTGATGTTGGCACAGTAGAAGCGTGCTCACCTTGAACCAGACGTAGCAACAGGAACAAGATCAAGATTATAGCTGTCGTCAGTGTAAAGATGAGCGAACTCTTCTAAAATATCGATATCTGGCAACAGTTAAAATGAACAACTCAATACCTTTACACCACCACCACCACCACCACTACCGTCATCATCATCATCATCAGCAGCAGCAGCAGCAGCATTATCACCATCATCATTATTATTGAGCTCAAGCAACGACAACGGGGACGTCAGCGAGAGAGGCAAAACAAGACTCGGTTTAGATTGGCCAAACAACAACTCTGCACGTGCACCACGCTTTTTTGTACATTCCCTTGCCGTCACTGCACGACTACGACGTGAAAATGCCTAATTTCACGTCTTGTGGAGGACGTGAACACAAAACAACGACTTTGTTTTTCTTTTCCTGAACTTCGTTACCCGCTTTCAGAATTTAACTCCAGAAAACATTGCCAGCATTTGACGAATTGAACGTGATGGAATAAGTGCGATGAAGATGGAAGCAGCGCGACTTTACTTTTCGAAGCCGTCACCGTCATTGTTGCTTAAGAGGGAGTTTAAGATCCGACAACGCGACGGCAACGAGAACGTCGCTTAAAAAGTGAATTTGCGTTCTTTTAGTCTTTACAGCGATTATTCCTACCACTTACTTTGTCAAATGTACTAGGCGAACCCTTCTGAAGCTGAATTTCAAGTGACCATATTCTAGCTCGGAAAGAGAAATAAAATTTCGTCGTTGCTTATTTACGTCCTCCTTAAAACGGGAAATAAGGCATTTTCACGTCGAAGTCGTGCAAAAACAGGAAAGAAATGTACAAAAAAACGTGATGCACGTGCAAAGTTGTTGTTTGCTTATAAAACCTTTTGTTTTTTTTTCACGTTCTCGTTGCCGTCCGCGTCGTTGGATCTTAAAGTCCCTGATATCATTCACCATCAACGTTATCATCATTATGAATATCATCTTTACCATTATCACTCTTCTCTCTTACAGCTAAGTTAACAGTATATTAACTTGAAACGAAAGACAAGAGTTGGTTGACGTAAGTAACAGTTTTGAGCCTAATTTCCAACCTCTTCCTCCACCATAAGCAAGGAGTAATTTGAGTGAATATGCAATGAAAATCCAGAGGAAACAAAATCCAAATTACTGTAATTAGTAATTACGCTGGTTTCGTTATACTCTGAGTCATGGTTTTGCATTTAAAACATATTGGACTTGTGTGGTTAAAAGCTCTGATTTACAATGGAAATCCACGTTGTCTTTGGAGTCACTTTCTGTCAGAACCTACTCAGTCAAACCATCTTAAAAGGAACACCAAAAGGGACAGAACCAAGTATCCGCATTACACAGGTGTTCGTATTATAGAAAATGAGATTGTCTGAAGTTTTGCATGTTAGGGGACCAAGGGAGCTATTCGTAAAAGAGCAGTTTTTTGTATTAAGTAGAGGTACAACAGTAATGTACTTCACGGCAAGGATTTTTGCGATTCGTGTAAAAGAATACCACACGTCATTTTTTAATAGGCTACTTCCGAGTTCCAAAAACCCTCACTTTCAAAATAAGGTCAAGTGCACCTTTCTTGTGTAAATGAGTTTTATTTGCACGACAATGAAAAATCATTTCCATATCAAAGGCTGAGCACTTACCCTTGTTTTGATACAGAGACCCGGGGAACTCGGAACGGCCTATTCATATTTTAGTCCCTTGCAGGGTTTAAAGGAAACAAAACAACCAAAAAGAAAGTACTGCAAAAGGATACTGCTTACATAGTTGAAAAACACTCTGTATTTCAGCCCGCCGTGATCACGGATCTTGTCGAGGAGTTCATAAAAAGTTGCTTCCTCTCTTGGCCAACCATACTGCAGAAGAACGATCACGTGACCTATGAGGGTGTCATTACGTCCTTCTGTCGCCAGCCTTTGCTGAAGAAGGAAGACGAAAAGAAAAGTTGGTGTCGTTTTTTATGCTGTACGCAATACTGTTGTTAGCTATTGTGTTGAAGGTTGGGTTTTGTTTAGAGGTTAAGAATGGTTTCACTACGGCCGCTACAGTGAAAATTTACCGATCTTTGCGATAACTGGTTCATATATAACCGCCTCGACAACCTCGTCCCCAGGGCTTTTCCCTTAGTTGGTTGCTAGCTTGAAAATGTGGCATAAGAATTACTCCTGGAAGCGATATATTCAGAGGAAAACGGTTTCCAAATAATAGCAAAGATGGCTCTAAATGATACGGAATGATCGTTGAAAAAGTGTTTTCAAATCATCGCTGCGATCACAGGGTTTTTTTTTTTTTAGCGATCTTACGATAAAACACGAGACGGGGTGTTTTATAACATATCAAACACCGAGAGGAGAGATGAAAATGAGACGCGTAGCCGAAAATTTTTCACGAACTACAAGGTGTTTAATTTGTGATGAGACACTTTTTAAAGTGTTTGATGTCACTAACTTCTCAATTAAAAAGATCTACAAGAATAACTTGGTAACAGAAAAACGAATAATCGTTGTTTCTCTATTGTTGTTGTTATTTGCACTTGAATTTGTAACTAATGTTTGGGAATGCCTTTTAGTCTTAGGTTCGATGTCATTAAGTGATTTCATGACTACATCATCAGCAACACAAAGACCTTGGCTTAGTCACCTTCTGATTCTTATCAGGGAGCTTTAGCAATTGAGCGACGTACGTTAACCGGAAATAAGGGCTTTTGCCTTTTAAAATAAGTTTCTTTACTCTTACAAAGACAATTTGGCAGAAAATGTGGGCAAAACCACTGCCCAAGATTGAAAAAAGTCCACTTCCGGTTAGTCTGCTACACAGCCGTTTTTAGTGTCGTCACGCAACGCTCCTCCCCATGGCTGTGTAGCAGAATAGCTTCCGGTGACTTGCGTCGCTCAAAACCGTCTTTGTTTTCGTTCCCCATTGTCACAATCGTTCGTTTAAAGTGACTTGATCACCTTGAGGGAAGACAGAAGTAAACGCACACAAAAGGACAGAACTTCCGCTTCACTGCACTGAATCAGCCGTAAAGTCCGACCTGGAAGTAAAGGCACAAGATTAGAAATCATGTGACGCACGCTCCTCCGTTGCTGATTGGTTTAAATCCTCTGGCAAATTCTTCATAACCAGCTATTCCTAAATTTAGACAATATTCGTCGATATCAATATCAATCGACGTCAATAATAGAAAAAGGACAAAAGGCGTGGCTTAGCTGTTTAACCAGTGCAAACCTCGTTCCTAGGGTTCTCCCTCTTGCCTCGAGAAAGAAAAGATAGAAAACCCCCGAACGAGGTTGGAGAAAATGGTGTCCGTGCGTCCTGACCGCTGCCCTCGGTCCGCACGCCCTAACCTCGAGCCAAATATTTTCCCGTTCGACCCTCCTATTCAATCAATAAGTACATAGAATGTATGAAAAAAAAATTACTGGATTCGGATGTCGCATGATGTGAAAAATTATGAAGATCTCACAGGGTGTTACCTCGATCTGCATAATTCTTCATATCAAAAGAAAGCCGAATCCAATGATTGCTAATTAATTCATCGGAACGAGGGCTTGTAATTTCTATTGTAACAGTTTTAATATTTAAAGTTCATCAATTCCACGCCATTTTTTTATGCTAAAAAAACCCTTTATCTTAATGCTATGCTTCGTTTGTGGAACAAATCCTAAATTACCAGAAGTAGAAGATGCTGCGGTTGCCGAGTCGTTTCCAGTTACGTCAAGTTTTCCTTGATGGACTGACGTCGATCGTTTCAGTGCCATGTTTTCTGTGGTCGAGCTTCTTGACGAAAAAAACTGAAGACCATAGAGAGCTTCTTCACATGCTCTCTGTGGAAAAGATAACAAGAAAAATCAAGAAAACAACACACAAACTTGAAAGCACCGTCAAACCTCTACTAAGCGGCGGCCTAGCAAGTTAGTCCAGTTCTCGCCCCCCTCTCTCTGTCACGCAACGCCGGGAGAGGGCGTTGCGTGACAGAGAGAGAGGGGCCAGAACTGGGCTTCCTACAATCACTTGTTGTTTTTACCTGTTGCTTCTTCTTTATTACTCTGTTTCTGGTAATGTTGCGAACTATTTTATGCATTTAAGTCGCCACTTGCCATCAATTAATTGCACTTTTTCTAGGGTTTAGTACCTTTCCGTAATCAGCCACTCAAAAACACAATCGAGAGAAGTCGACAACAACTTGTGTTTGCCGACGTGATTTTTTATTACCTTATGATCGTCAAGTTGAAAGTAACAACAGGATAATTGAATGGCGCCTCTTATCAATAACTGAAAGATAAAAGATACAAGGAGTTTGACCATGGTCTCAGAAATTGGCAGTGGCCAAATATCCGAGGGAAATTAAAGTGCTGGGCCCAGTTGCTCGAAGCATGGTTACCGTTAACCAGCGTTTAATACCTTGACAACGTATTGGTTTTGATACTGCTTAACCAGTGGTTAAAGCTAACCATGCTTTGAGAAACTCAGCCCTGGAAAATAGGTAGTCTCCCATCCACCCGTTTTGTCTCGTCACGCAACGCTCCTCCCCAAGAGGGGAGGGCTTCGTTGGGGAGGAACGACGCGTGGCAAGACAAAAACGTCTGCGCGCAAGGCTAGGAAATAGGTCGAAGTTGGATTAATAGGCCTCTAATAAGATGTCACGCAAAAAGGAACACCAAAATAAATAAAACAGCTTGAGAAATTTTAATTTCTACAAAGACTTACCTCTTGGTTGGATGAAGTATCTTGCTCCGAAGAAAGCCTCTGTTCTTGTAGAAACTCCACCGCCTTTTTGTATTTTCCCTAGCAAAAACATAAGGCCCGTTAGCCGTCAATTTTCAAACACATCTGCCTTGTACTCAGTCATTTCTTTGTTTTTACGAAGGGATTATGGGATTATAGGAAGGGTGAAGGATACAGTGAGCCTTTGCGTTTTTAAAGCTTTCCCATGATCCTCCTCACAGCACATTGAACATTCCCATGACCCCTTGCGAAAGAAACTTCATTTGTCTTAAAAGAATTTCCTTTGCTAACGTGAACTTTATGGCTCGTAATCAACAAAAATGAATGAAATTAACTAAAATGCTTCGACCTAGTGATTTTATCAAACGATAACTACCCTTCTAAGACAAGAACTGCTTTTTTACCTTATAAATAAGTCGGTCAACTTGAAACGTTCTCATCCAGTTCCACTGCCCAACCTCCCACTCATCCAATAGACGAACAAAATCTGACCAAAAGATATTCTTACGTTGGTGCGCATATAAACAACGACAACAACAACTGAGCAAAACCAAAACAATTCTACTTAACAATTAGTCTACGAGTTAGGGTTTTCTTCTACTTTGACGGCGATGGCAACAAAAAAGGTAAAAACCGAGGTTTAGCATTAAAAAGCTCTGTACACGCATCACACTTTCTTCGTACATTTCTTTGCCCTTGCTGCACAACGGGAGACTACTAATCAAGTTTTATGTAGCACGTCAACACAAGACAGAGATTTTCTGTTTCCTTTCCTGTAGAACCAACAGAATTAAGATTGAGTCCTTCAGAAATTGACTACAGAAAAATCCGCTAACATCTTATAAATTCTGTGGGATGGAATAAGAACGATAAAGTTTGAAATGGCGCGAATTCACAGTCATCGAGACACGAAGGCAAGCGCAAGAAGAGGGTGCCGCGCGAGTCACGCGTGCCTCCCGTTGCGTGTGACTCGCGCAGCGCGCTGTTTTTGTGCTTGCCTACGCTTGCCTGAAACGCAAAAAATAACATCTATTCTGCATTCTGCTAAGTCCCATGTGGGATTTCAGCCCATAACATTCCACTGTGAAAAAGACTGAAAAAAATGCGCAAATACAAAGTGAAAAAAGAATTCAAAACTAACCGTTTTTATAATCAACATGGGTGTTCAGAAGATGCCACGCCTCCACGGATACATGAAAGTCATCTGAAAGGCTTTGACTCACGGAACCACAATCTGACGCAAGGATTTAGAAATACATATTAGAACAGCGTCGTCTGCTGTACACAATTTGGACCCATGGCCACCACTCCACAGAAATACTGATGATGTCTCTATGTACCCCCTGTCCCCCCATAAAAAAATGCTGACTTATGTCTTGTACGGGGAAACAGTCAGTTTTGCCCCCCTTCGACCCATGATTTCGATCATGATTAGGGTTAAGCGCTGACTCAAAATGTTAAGCTTTTATTCACTGTTAGGTTTGTTGCTATATGAAAGCACGGAGCAAATTCAAAGGAGGAGATCTTGAATGGGGTGGGGGGGGGGAGAACATTTGGTTTTTACCACTTCCCTAGGGATTTCTTTTAGCTAAACCCAAGGAGTACACTTGAGTATGGCAGTAGGATCTAATTTTTTTTCAACATAGATGGGAGGCGGGGTCCTAAATTTCTAGTCTAATGAAATATTCAGGTTGCAAAAAGAAACTGAATTAATATCTTTGAAAGCTGCATCAGAGTAAAATCCCGATGATACAGGGATTAAGATTCACGTTTACGCCAAACGGCAAAAGTGAATTTGTACCACTTAACCAAATTTTCCCCGTATTTGTCGTTTGCTGTTTATTACTTCCACTCAAATATAAGTAGTTTCACGCCAGTTTTTTGTATAAGAGTTGTTCTGGACAGTTTTTATCTGCTTTTTTTCTATTCTGAGGAATTCTCAACTTGAATCTGACGTTTGCCGTTTGCCTTAAACGTGACTCATCTCTAATAATGTGGAAACCTGAACATACAATTCTCTCAATTTTTCATTGACTTTTACAAACACTCACAGTTTCTCATATTAGTGCCAAATTCCCAACTTTCCGCGACCTCAAGAAAATTTTATCTTGTCCTTATATTTTTCTCAACATAGCACCTCTGACCTGTCCGTTATTGCTTTTAAAAGTCAAACTAAACAGGACTACATTGCAGGCCGCCGGACTCACTTTTGTCTATTATTATGTGTGATGACTGCTTATTTTTGCCATCATCTGTGCCAGGGGAACCATGACTAACCTGCTAAAGAAGCTTATATGTTATTACAGCAAATCTGGTCAACATATTTCACACAAAGCAAAGTTTGTACAACCATAGTCAGTCAATTCACATTCTGTGGTGGGCAAGTTTAGTGGGTCTTAATTCACCATACAGCCTCGCACCATATTCATACCATCAAGAGATATAACATTATATTTATAATATTATATATTAATTATCTTAGTGATTTTGGTCTCATGGTCTAGTATAATGAAAGTTGTAGTACTTTTTTTTTTTTTTGCCTTTCCAATTATGTCCAACCAGATTGTGATTAATCCTCAAACAGTCCTCAAACTGGTTTGAAGGATGTGTGAAAGTGATTCCTGATGTAATATCAGTTAACAAGGGTGGATTTAGGGGTGAGCAGAGGGGGCTATGGCCACCCCTTTTTATTTGAAATTTTGTATTATTTGCATAAAATTCTCAGAAAAATCAAAAGTATCTATATAGCTGGCAAGTGGGCAAGTGTCCAGGGCACTCCTTTCTGAATTTTCTGGATCCACCCCTGTAATTCTCCCTCTTTAGCCAAGAAAACAGAAGGAAATTTGGAGCGACAACATTATTGATCAGAAGTTGCTTGTCGTTTTTTCGATCCTAGCTTTTATTTGATGATATTATGCAGTACAGACCATTTACAAACTTGAACTTTTACCTAGATCATATATTTTATTATGTACTGGTACGGTATCATACTTACAGATGCCAGTTTTCGCCTCTTCTTCTTTGGTGCCGGACTATAAAAAGCACAAAAAGCACAATTTATTATTATAAACACGTGCACATGTACCTGTTTATTTAGAACACTCCATGACATTTACATGATCTTATATGGTTTTCTCTCACAAGTTATTGATAGTAACTTATCTATAATCCTATAATCAACTTACTCTTTTGTATTCCGTTTTTGATGGAAAAGGTACCCCTTTCGTATACCTTTTATTGACAAATGGTACCCCTTTCACATATCTAGTTTAGAACACTCGATCCCTTAACTGCTGCAAATGCATTGTCTTTTAAATATAAATAAATCACACTAAACAAGAAAGATTTCTTGTCTTCTTCACAGCCATAAAATGCATCTGCTAGCCCTATTAGGTCCTCTCACAAACCACAACGACAGATTTTCCTACCCTTTCATATACTTCAATAATTAGTGTAATCCCTACCCTTTTATATACCTCAAGCCTGAGAAAGGTACCCCTCTCGGGCGGAGCCTCCCCATATAGGCCATTATAGGGAGTGCTCTTGCAGGTGATTTTAACACTCCTACCTACTGGCTCCTGCTGAGTTCATGGAATTTGGATTACTGCCCTCAATACTGTCCTCAACCAAGACCAAAGGATGAACTAAACCAGAGGAGGCTGTCAAAAAAACAACAACAACAAAACAAATTAATGCCACTGTTCCATTGAGAATATGGAAAGTACAGGTAGAGAAATTTTGTTTGAATGGCCACTCCATAAGATTTTGTCCTCAGACTCAAAAGTAAGAGCCACCTTAGAAAACTCCATTATTCACTCTGGCAGTAGAAAGGGATAAAGAAAGATAGAGAAACTGAAGAAAGGACCACTACACACCTTTGGCATTAATTACCTTTTGGCAATTAACATGACTGTCAACTTCCATTGAGTAACACCTCACCTCCCAGCTGGTACTATGAGTTGAAGCCAGGGCTGTCATAAAGAGGCGGGGACCAAGGATTTCCCCCAGCTACTATAAATGCGGCTCTGGGCTACTTTCACAGAAAAATAGAGCCAAAAGAAATCCCTAGCTGTTTGATTCCCTGCCTAATGTGGTATTTACCTGGCAACTTGAAAGCTTAGTGACATTCCTGTGATGCTTAGGCCAACAACACAACACAACAATGTCTGCAGTGGTAGCACACCCAGGCCAGCAACAAGCCTTTTCTGGCAGATCTGCCAGTCATGGCATTTATCACATTATAACAAAATTTACTCTATTAAGTGAATGAACTATCGCTACATTGGTCTTTACTCACAAACTGAATCAAGCCTGTTGACCACACGACAGTATTCCCAAACAGTTTGCAGGAACAAGATGGTGGCAGCATACATGAGTCCAGTTTTTTCTACAGTGTCATCACCAACCTCCTCTTCTGAACTGTGTTTTGTCATTTTCTTTAATTTCTGATGCAACTCAGAGATACTTGTCCAGTGATCATTGCTACTTCTGCAACATCAATGAAAAACCAAGTGAATAAGTAATTAAAAGTTGCTGTGGATACATGTATCTGGTACTGATCTACACCTGTTTCAGTTCCAGTAATATTATTGAAAAATGGATTAGGTTTTTTGACTGTAGAAAGTAAATCACACCCTTTTGAAGGCCCTTTTTTGAAATGGTTTTAAATTTTCTTTCAATCTTTTTTCAATTGTCCCAGTGTGCACACAGATTTTTAGGACCATTCTTCTGGACAGGGCACAGTGGTTTTGTGCCACATGAATGGCTGGGATCAAAAGATATACATAATCTGAAATGGTAATTTTCTTTGTTTGTCTTGGCCTATTCCTCCATATATCCTTGATCAAAGGGCCTATTCCTATACATCCTTGATCAAGCAACTTGCAATAGTTATTTCACTTCTACACTACCTGTACTTGTGAGAATCAAGCCTTTCTTGAATGCTACAGATCTCAATCCAACCGCACTTTTTGGCCGTCAAGTAAAACAATTCATGAAGGGCTATCCACGGACCTTTGCCATCAAGTACTTCTGCAATAATGCTAGTGTCTATGAGGCTGTTATACTGAGTATCAGAGTGTTCATTTACTGAATTATGTACAGTGGCACATGAGACATAGAACTGAATGGATAACTCTAGCCACTTGTACACCTGGGTTAGTGAGATGCCAGAAGGAAGGTCCTGAATGAGGAAAGTTAAAACTGTTAGTATAGTATAAATGGAGGGCACCTCACTTGGACATGATGAATCAAATCCTGTATTCTGATTCATGATATGAACAGTGGACAAAGAAAGTAGTGTCCAAAAGCCCAGAGCTAGTGGATTTTGCCTTAGGGCTAGTGAATTTTTTTGGGAAATTCAAATTACAGAAGAACTGAAATCAATGCTCAACAAAAATTTTAACTCTCAAGTTGAAATGACTTTTGGGGGAGCACATGCTAGCTACAGCATTCCCGAATGGCAAGCTGTAAAACTGACTTTCTTTGCACCCTGATGGGTGGGCAAACTGATGAAATTTATCTCTTTAGGATTGCCCTTTTTATTCCGACAAGAAAATAAAAAGCAGAGCCGCAAATTATCAAGAGAAATGTCTAAATGAAATTTGCCCAATGTGCGACAAAATCCTACTTGTGGTCAGACACAATGACCAGACAGATCAAATATTTAAGACTATCATAGCACCATTTCTGGCAGCATTTTTGCACACATTTCAACGCTGACAAAGACTATTTTCATCTTTACATTCATGGAAGCATTGGCTGATGTTCCACCCTTCATGTAAGACTATGTATAAAGTCCTGAGCTACATCCACAACTTGGTCTGGGAACTGGGTCAATTTGTGTGTATAGGAGGTATAGTGAGGTGGGTGATATTGGGAGAGGATTACTGCAAAAGAGACAGTCACCAGATTTCAGATCTCCCAGAGGTTGGCATCTCTGCCAAACTCTACTCCTTGTTCTTGTTCCTCGTGTTGTTTCAAAGTAACGACTTTATTTATGAGAATAATCATATCAACAAAGATTGATCAAAAGTCACCCTGTAGGAAATCACAAACCTCTTCATCTTGGCTACTGCTACTACTCACACGAGTAGCATGAACTGTCATGTTTTCACTGGCCAGTAAATGAGGCAGTACATCACAAACTGAAATGGGAAAAATAATAATTAATTATTAAACAATTAAATAATAATTAAAGTAATTAATTAATTAATTAAATAATAATTATTAATGGCTATTGTCAATGTACATCTACATATTTATTGATACTAAAAAGTGAAAGTAGAAAGGAGACATGGCCATGGCCATGGCCAAATGGTCAACACCTTAAACTTTGTATTCTTTAGGTCTGAGTTCAAGGCTAATTGCCATCGCAAAGTTTCCTTAGAGAAGAAGCTTTGCTCTATGTGTTGTCTCTCTTCACTCAGGTATACAAGGAGAACTGGCGACGTACTACTGGAGGAACCCTGCGATGGAATAGTATCCCATCCAGGGAGGGGAGGTGGCTATATTCCCAGTATTCTCAATTACACATTTCAGAGAAAACATATTTACTCAAAGTAGGGACAGACCTAGGATTTTGACAAGGGGCAGGGTTGGGGAAGGGTCATGAAAGATACTAATATTGTATCTAAAATGAAGAAGTAATAGCTGGGGTAAAAGAAGGTAAAAGGGCATGCAGGGAATCCCCCAGATCCACCCTTGCAGAGTCCTCTGAACATGGACACATTTGCTTGTAAATGTAGAATATCCAGACCAATTTAAATTTGATTTGTACCTAACAACTTCCTGTATGGGTTAACCGCAGTATCAGGATACTCAGACTTTTCAGCATTAATTAACATCTCGATCAAAGTCACCTTGGTTAAAAAGAAATGAAAACTGATCAGTCTTAATACACAGAATTCGCTCAAAAATTTCATATGCCACTATTTCACATAGGATTTGAAAAAAGATCAAAGCATAATTCCCTTTGGTGATCATTTTATTATTTCTCACAACCTTTACTTTTGATTACCATATTTCCTTGAATAAAAGCCGTCCCTTGATTAATTGCCTCCCTCGAATAATCACCCCCCCCTCCCATCCCTCTCGCCATCTTCTCTTTCTTTTACCCCCTCCCTGTCAAGTTGAAGGGGAATCTGATCCAGCAAAACTGATCAGTGATGATTCAAGCTTTAAAAATGAATCAACGAAAAACAAATTTGGAACACTTAAAAAAAGCTCATTCAATGTGATAATTTTTTGATTTAATGGGAAAATAAAACAAAATATTTAGGGCCCGACTTCCACTGAGCAATACTTCAAATAATCGCCTCCCTCGAATAATCGCCTTCCCTCAATATTATTAATCACCCCCTTTTGGTGCAAAAACAGAAATAACCAACCCCAACCCCGGCTATTATTCGAGGAAATACAGTATGTCTTTATATTGTTAGGAAAATATTGATGATTGTTACTCCTAGGGCCCAGGTTTGTGAAAGGTCAGTTAAGTGTTAATCCAGAATTAAATTTTTTCTGTTTTTGTTTTTTCTTGTTTCAAAAACACATTGCTCAGGATAAGTTTTTTGTATTATCATTTAGCTGTATCCCTAGTCAAAAGGGCAAACAGATTTAAACTGAATTTGAGTTGCATGTTCTTAGATTTGAGTTCAAATTTGGCTTAATCCTGGGTTAAACTTAGCCATCTTTCGAGGAACCGGGCCCTAGGTCTTCATGGTTTAAACAAGGTAAATGGGACGTGCATGCACCCCTGTATTTCATACACTACTTGTTCTTTGCTCTTTCTAGGGTTATTCAACATCATTCCCAAGATCACCCGTTCCCTTTAGCATTTTTATCCACTCTCCTTTTTGCATCAGCCACACAGGCGTTCATGATCTCTAGGAGCCAGAGGAGGGGACACTGTCAACAGGATGAAAGGCTAGTGGCAAAACTGTCTCTGTATTTGAAACAAGCCAATAAAAGACAAAAAACTACTGTTACATAATCATGTAACATTCAACTATACCCCATTTCTTGGGATCACGTCAGGGAACCTCCTCATCAGAAGTAGCATCATTCGACATTTTTCAATGCAATCTTTGCATCTCCCTGGAAAAACATAAAGTAAGGCTTAACAAAAACAATAAAACTTTATTTCAAGAATTTAACTTAAGTAATTAGGTTTATGAAGTAATTAGGTAATTAGGTTTATGAATAATGCAAATGGACCTTCAAATTTGTTGACAACTGAGCCATTTCAAAACCATTTTTTGTACTGATTCATTCATGCCAGAGAAGATTGGAGCTTTGCCTTAACAACTTGCAAACCCGCCCCAGGTTAAGAATGGACACATTATAATCATAATCAATCATTTTATCTCATACCAGGATCTCCCATGGCCAAGAGAGGTTGCCATTTTTAGTGTCAGATGGAGTGAAACCTGGATTTGAGATTAAACCATTCAGTCCTGTGAATTTTGCCAAAAAGGGACTATTGGATCTGCACAGGCAGCCTGATGCAGATGGGGCAGTGCAGAAAGCAAAAGGTTTCTGGTTTAAAAGTGACAAATCAGGGAGAATGGGTTCTTGCCTCAAATCCTTTGGGATTTAAGTTCATTTCAGTGGGAAAAGTTTCTGGGAAAGCCTTTTAAGATCTTAAAAGCGAAAAAACATAGTGGGACAAGATTTTCATGGGAGAAATATGGTTTTTTGCATAAACCTGGCCCCCTGACTAAATGCTGGCATGGCTTGAAAGAGAAGAAGTTTCTTCTTAAAATGGATGCTGCAGTAGAAGGACATGGATCTGAACATGGTTTCTGGAAAAATAAAATGGTCTTCTTGAGGTAATTTTGAATGAAAAACATTTGGGTGTTCATGAAGTTGCTGTGGAAGGATGAACATGTCTGAAAAATAATGGTCATTTTGAATGAAGTTGTTAAATAAAAAGTTCAAATAAAAGAAAAGAAATATTAAGTCCTTTTTCAAATTACTGGTCCGTTATATTGCTGGTGACAAAGTTTGAGAGTTAGCTGGAGAGATTTTGCAAACTAAGCCATATGGAATAATTTTCAGATCTGCCAGAAAAAAGCATCTGGACTTTTTTTTGCTTTTATTAAAGTATTAAAAATACATGTTATGCAGAGAAACAAATCAAGATATAAGGTTCATGGACATTCACCTGTCAGAAATTTGCTGTGTTGATTCATTACTTCACCCTCTAGAGCATCTGTGAAACTTGCGACTTCTTTCCAAAGCAAGTCACTGTCAGGAAACTGCTCAAACCTAATTTACAGTAATCAGAAAATTGATTAGAAAAAGTCTGGTACTTATATTGCTAGCATTTCTTATCACTTCGATCATGCAATTCTCTAGGAATGGGGTTTCACTGCTCACTGAATCACAGCTGCAATTTCATTTTGCTGGGCAGAGGAGTGTCCCCCCAAATACCTACAATAGTTGAGTTTCATACAGATGTTGAAACCTGAGTCACATTACATCTTCACCAATGTAGACTGCAAAACAGTTGGTTTTTTTCTCAAAATCAGTAAACAAATTAGTAGTCTCACGCGCGCACCTTATGGGCGTGTGTAGTGGCAAGAGAAAAATTAGCGCCTCTCCCCAGTCTCAATCTCTCCATTTTCATTTTGTTCCAGACCTTTTGTTTGCTCGTGGGTACTTGAATACACAAAATATGGATTGTTTTGCAGTCTATCACCAATATTGATTTAAAGATAAATTTGCTCATTTGCAAGCATCTCAACACTGGGGAAGAAGAGAAGGAGCAGACACACAGGAAGCTTAAATCATTTTGGTTGAAAAAGTGTGTCGTGAAAAACCCTCAGCTTTAGTTCTGTGCCATAGGAGGTGCCACTGCCCCCACCCCTACCCCCAACCCCCATGAGATAGAGGCCCAGACTTACATGTGGTAGAAGAGCTTAGCAGACTCCTGCACTCTCTCAGCATTTCTTTCAATACTGTATGCTTCATACTAAAAATAATATTGATATTCAAAAAAAGTGGTCAAGAAAATGGTGAAACATTGAATCATGATAAAATTGGGTTGCTTTTAGTATCCATATCCCATATCCCCCCCCCCCTCCTTGAGGACTTTCGTTTTCTTTTTGCCCCTGGAGATTTAATAAAATTGCATTCAGCACTGAAGACTTCCATAAAATATGGGTCTACCTCATGAAGAATATGGGTCTGAGGAATTTCATGAGAATTTATAAAGATCCACACCCAAAGAATTCCATATTTTTTTTTACTTTACCTCTAAAGAAATCCTCAATTTTTATAACTTACCCCTGAAGAATTCTATTGGTCCTCAACGGGGGGATACGTATATTCATTCATGCAATAACCTTTTCTTTAATTTAAATAAAGGAAACTTGGATTGCAAGAGACCTCACCTGAATACCAAAATCTTTCGGATACAAGGTCTTCGCAGTAATTAACCAAGCTTTTGCCTCGTAAGGATTATTTTCTCGTAAACTTTGCCTTGCTCTTTCAACTAACCAAGCAGTTGAAGAGTCCATTTCTGTCGTGCAAACATCTTCGGCGGCCATTTTGAATGGGCGACTTTTCACTTTACCTTACACAACAACGTGGACTATTCATTTTTGCTGAAAATATCGCAGGCGCATAAAACCCTTCTCATACTTTGCGGCCGCCCCGCATCGTTCCTTCTCTTCCACCAAGGACACGAGGTAAAATGGCGGACGATTTTGGCGATTAAATAAAACGCTACTGATGTCTCTTTCTAAATCAGTACCTAAGAAATAACAATATGAGAAAAATGAACTTTCTCCTTTCCTTTTTCAGATCATGCAGATCTTTGTGAAAACTCTTACGGGTAAAACCATTACCCTCGAGGTTGAACCTAGTGATTCCATCGAAAATGTAAAAACTAAAATTCAGGATAAGGAAGGTAAACTATTGTCTTGTTTTAACTTAAAAGTGCAGAAAAAAGCATTTGTTCGTTGTTTTCCCTTATACTGATAGGGATTTAATTTCTTGTATAAGTTAAGTTATTTGATGACTTTCTCAAAACGTGGAAATTTCTGTTCCTGATGGTGTTGAGTTGCTGGGATTTAATATAGCCACATCAGATTGGTGTTACAAATCAAAGCATTGCTTTGCCGTGGTGCCATTAATTGTTATTAACAAGGTAAGTTAAGGTGGCTTTAATATAAAATTGTAAATGTGGAAATCCCAAAGTCTAGTTCAATATGTCATGTCACACAGCTTGGGTTTGTTGATGACTGAGATCCTCAAATAAGACACTGTTAGTACCTCTGCTTCATTGTCTTAAATGATGTAATAATGATGAAACCATTGGCTTTTCAGGAATTCCCCCAGATCAACAGCGTCTTATATTTGCTGGTAAGCAGCTGGAAGATGGAAGAACACTTTCTGATTACAACATCCAGAAGGGTATGTCTGCCTATTCAGTTAACCGTCATTTCGCCTTTGAGTCATTTTGTTAAGTCCAGTCACTAAGGCCTTATGTCGTTCTGCTTAAGAAGTGAAACAAGCACTGTGCATGTGTCCACCTTTTCATCTCAGCCCTGATACAAAAAATGGTGATATGCATGAATATACACTAGATCTTTCAGCCACTGATCAGGCTAAGCATTTAGGGAATTGACCTAACAGCAACAGACATAGGTGAACAGGATCGATGTTGGTGAAATGACTGTTAACCTCCTATTCATATCTGTTAGCCTACGTTCGTTTACCAGTCACTTCTTTCTGAAAAAACACCTCTGTAAGGTCATACCACCCTTTGAGTAGTGTTGGGAATCAGCTGAGATTTCATTATCAATTATCAGCAACAATCAGGTTGAGCTAACTGATTGCTTATCAATTATAATTGGAAAATTCCTCCATAAGAATTCCATTTATTTTCCAGCAGTGTGGCAGTGAAAGTTATGCAGGCTTTTGATTTTTTTTTACTCTGTACCACTTTTACTAATTACAGTCATTTTGTGCCCTGTATTTGAACACATCAAAAATATACAAAAGGGTCATTAGATTACAGCGGCATAATTATTCCATGATAACTAGTAATAATCCAAGGTTACGGAATGCGGGCAACAACGATCGAAGGTCAAAACGCTTTTGCTCCAACGCTGTGCTTTGCTTAGGTTTCACGTGACAGATGGTCAAACATGCGTGGTCAGATGACATGAGATAGAAGATCCAAATGCGCGTGATCAAATTGCGTTCTGTGCATTCCATTCATTCTTAGTGGAAGTCCAAACAAAAGCTGGCTACATACATGCGACCCATGCGTAATAACAACCTGGAGATTAGGATCCCGCAATTAATTTAACATCATCCATATTCAATTTGTGTATCACATTTCTTAATGTTTTCAGTCAGTGTTCAATAATAGAACATTATTAGAATAATATTACTGATGGGCACAGCAACAATGAAGAATGTCTTATGATGGTGTTAAAGTATTGGTACTTTTCTGTCAACAGAGTCAACTCTTCACCTTGTGTTGAGGCTTCGTGGTGGAGTTATTGAGCCCAGTTTGCGTATTTTGGCTCAAAAGTACAACTGTGACAAGATGATCTGCCGAAAGTAGGTGTTTGATTTTAGTGATACTTAGAAAGTTGTAAAACCGTGAACACGAGAAGTACATCTGGAATGTTGTATTTCAAAGAGTCTCAATCAGTAATAATAAAACTAGCCTGTAAGGGGCAAGAGTAATCACTCCGAAGTTGTTGCTCGCTTGTGCAGTTCTGTGGTGGTCATCTACATGGGCCGTCCCACATTCATGAAATTTTTCAAGTGTTCACTCAGTTTTCCGAGTTTGACAGTGAACTGGCTCTTTTGTTGTTTTTCACATAAATGGCAAAAACTTACTTAACAATAGAATATTAGCCACTTCACTGAAAACTTTTGTTACACTTTTACCAGGTGTTATGCCCGTCTTCACCCTCGTGCGGTCAACTGTCGCAAGAAGAAGTGTGGACACAGCAATAACTTGAGGCCCAAGAAGAAGCTTAAAGGCTAACTCTTCCATCCAGTTTCTCTGCCATGGAATTTTGATGATGTTCATTAATACTCGGCAATAAATAAAATACTTTTAAAACTTGATAATTTGACTGAGGACTTTATTTTTCCACATTTTTCCAACCCTTTGTCATTTACCATAAAACCCCTTGCCATGACACAAGTCATCCGCAAATCTCTAGAAACTCAAACCATAAGGGGAAGAGACCACTGTGCTACCTGTGGAGGCATCTGTGTATCATGAGAAGGAGAGTAAAACCCTCCCATGGTTTTTTCAGCTTTTGACTGGCACCAGTTATTTGAAAGATTCATCTACACCGCTTGAAAGAATGCCTTAAAGTCATTGAAGTTACCAAGTTTAAAAGTGATTTGTTAAAAACTAACAGAGAGATAGCTCAGCAAAGGTGCAGAATTCTACAGACATTTGTAATGGAGGGGGTGGGGACAAGTTCATGCTTTCCCACCATACAAATGTCTGTAAAATCTTGCAGCTTTGTCAGCATGCAAAGAAAGTACTGTCCGATAGCCCGGGGCTAGTGGATTATGCTATTGGGCTAGTGAATTCTGTTTTTTACTTGCCCAACGGGTAAGTGATGTTTTTTGAGGAAATCAAATAACAGAAGAACTGAGAAATCAATTCTGCTCGTCAAAAAGTTTTTGGGGCTAGTTGAAATGACGTCTGGGCTAGTCAATGCTAGCGTCAGCTTCCCCGAATGGCAAGCTATAAAAATGATTTTCTTTGCACCCTGTTTGTGGAGTCATATGTTTGTTGGCTTTAGACATGTCACATTAAAACTTGGTAAGACTGCAAATTTTAAGATGCTTGTTCCGGCAGTGTGGATGGCCATTCACTAACTGGTCTTTATCAAAACTTGAAAAAACCCATACAGGTCACATGATATTATCGTTAAAACAACTGATTCTTGCTGGGACATGCAACATTTATAGCTGTGTCTTGCTACTGGAGGATTTTATATTGAATATGTTTAGTTGTAGTTGGTAGACGTGAAAGTGTTTCTCAAACATTGAAGTCTGGACACAATCCTGTGGTGTTACCATTTAAATGGAACCTAAAATCAAAGCTCAACTTTACATGGTGCCGTTGTTGCAGGTGTTTGGCGAAAAGTTCATTTCCTGGAAAACACAAGGGAAGCTCGATTAAAGTGATCATGTAATATATCAAACATGAGATGCAGTGTTTCATCACCAGATGAAACACCGAGAAGAGAGTTGAAAATACGACGCGCAAGGGAATTTTTGATTTTTTTCATCTGGTGATGGAATATTCAAACAAAATCATTTTTGAAGGAGAAACAGTTCAAGCAGTGTTTCATCCGATTTCCAAACACTCATTAAACATTAATTTTCTTTGTATTTTCTTAATGAATTATTAATGAGTTTGAGAAGGAGTATTCACTGACTCTTGGACGCGTAATAAAATAAATCTGCAGAATAAGGCCTTAAGTGCCAAATCATTGAATGTCCAAAACTCCCATTTATTTACGAGCATAATTTAAGGCAAACTGGAAGGAGGGTTAAGCAGTTTTAAGCAGAAGTGACAGGGCTTTCACTAAGATTTCAAGTTGCTGGGTAATTATAACAAGTGGGTGGGGAATCTAACAGCTAAGGAATTCATTTGCTTCTATTATTCTATTTCCCTGTAGAAGTAGCCTGGGACAATAGTCATAGTAACCGGGGGAAATCCCCAGCCGCCAGCCCTTAATGACACTCCCGAGTCACTTGGAACCTTATTCCAGAGGGGTGACTATTTTCCACACTGAGGAGGGGATAAGTCCCTCTTGCTATTTAACTAATACATTTTGTGATTAGCCTCGTCGCTGTCGCAGTTGCAACCCATCTCGGCCTCATGGGCTATTGACTCAGAGCCAGTTCGGGCTCGAGGAATAATTGTTAAATATTTTCGCAGGAAACATTGCGAAAATGTAGAAACCAGTCCCTCTCATGTGGAAACTTCGTCAAAAACCCGTCTACGTTCCGTCTAGATATAAATTTAGAGACGGATAATCCGTCTAAGACGAATTATCCGTCAGCGTCAGGCGAATTTTGCTTCATATAAATAATCGTCTCAGCACCGAATTTATACTAAAGGCGAATTATCCGTCTGAGACGGATAATCCGTCTAGACGAATAATTCGTCTCCAGTATAAATTCGTCCAATGCAACGAACTCTACGATCGCCTGAGAATCAAGCCTTCCTCAGGGGTTTTATAGAACCATGGCCATTAGTACTAAAATTTAAACAAGAACGCTCTTAGTAGCGTTGAGTTTCGCTTGCCTGAATATACGTTTCGTTGTCAAGGGCGACAGTGCTGTCATACTACTTTTTCGTTTGGAATACAAAACGAGTGTTATATGTCATAACGTGAATACTCAAAACGTGAAAATTGCAAGGAGAGACAGGCCGCTCATCTTGGCTTCAAACCGGTGTGAAACCCGGCTTGAAAACACTCTACATATTGACATTGCTCCACACCTCTTTCAGGGATTTTACACTCAAAAAATTGAATGATGATTTTTATTAGTATCAGGAGCCCATGACTCTGTCAGTATAAATAAATATAGCTTCTTTGTAGCTGACCAAGATACGGCTCGGTACAGTATATGTTCAGCACAGGAAAAACGTGTAAGTTTAGAAGAACGTTATACAACAGACAGTTAATCCAGTTCGTGCGTATTCCCGCTGAATTTGTTGCCCGCTTAAATTTAGTGTTCAGTACAGCGAACGGGGTTTATGTCCTGTGAAATTTATCTACAGTTTCTGGCCCATATTTTTCACAGTATCCTGGGATAAACCAGCGGAAAATTTTTTCAAAACAATCGCGTGCAGACTCAGAGTAGTTTACTTAAATTTTTTCGGTGTTTATGTCCTGTGAAATTTATCTTCAGTTTCTGGCCAATATTTCCCTGGGTACCAGCGGTTTTCCTCGCGTGCGGCGGGAATTTTCGGTGTCGGCTAAAGCCCTACACATCTTCGGGCGTAGGCCGAAGCCACGAGCGGCGAAGCGAGTCACTATAAAGACTTGACATAAAGACTTGACAGAAACCGGAAACCGCGCCAGAAAAGTCTCTGCCGCCCAGGGTAGGCCCACATCACCACGATCAACGATTTATTTATTTATTTTATTTTCAAGTTTTTTTGAACCGATCCTCGATCCCCGATTCTCCATACCAATCCTCGATCCTCGACCCTGACTTTCCAGTAAACTTCGAAGTTTTACTCATTAAGATCATTCTTTTTTTCTCGACCACTTAAGTAATCACTTGTTCCAAAGTAATGAACGCTTTCAAGCGATAGAATTCGTGGACCGACCCGTTCCGGAAAAGCTCGATATGGGATTTCTATGTGCTGAAACGGGGGCTGCACGTTGAGTGCGTGATAGTCAAGTACAAAGCTACCCATCCGTGACACAAACGTAACGTTCGAGCGCATTTCCGCTGACGCGTTTTTGGCCCCGCACATTAACGCACGTAAATAAAATAGAGAAAAGATATAAAGTGTTGAGATTAAACGTGAAGTTAATCGAGTTGCTACTTTTACGCTTACGTGCGACCTTTCATACATTGCGGCTCCATTATATTTGCGAACGTAAATTTCACGCACGTACGCACGTAAAAATTACACGACAGTGGAAATGAACCCTTAGACAAGTAGTTGAAGTTGCTTCCAGTGGTAAATACTTGATATCTCAAGTATTTGTAAAATGCAACAGGACTTCACATCTTAACAACTGCGAAAATTTATCTATTAAATACATACAACAAATTGAATCTATTCAACTGTAGAGTTCCAGTAATTGCGACAATATTCTGAGAAACGTAACGCCTCAATACACCACAAAACAGGATTTTCCCGGTATAATATTTTCTCATCCTACTGTCGGGGTATTTACTCTTTAATACCCGTGCATGTCGCGCATGATTACATATCAAGGACCTCGATTCCGGCAAAACTGCATCATTACCAAACTTACATGCGTCATTTCAGTCATCACCGAAAATAACGTAGTTACTAAAACATGGAACGACCTAAAACCACCTACAACCATCTACAGCCACCTACAACCACCTCAAAAAAATTCAACAACCACCTACAACCATCTACAGCCACCTCAAAAACATCTACAACCACTCGCAAACAATCTAAAACCATCTAAAACAAGGTATAAATGTCTGAAATAAGGCGAGACGACAACACTCACGTACATGAAATACGAGAATCGAACAAAACATCCACTTCCCCCATGATATATCGTTTTCACCAGTCTCTTTTACTTTCCAATCTTAGCCTCCGACCCAGGCCCACACTTTTCTCTACTAGCCTCTTTTTTTAGTCCTAGCCTTCCCCCCCCCCTCTCCTCCCCATTTTTTAGGGTGAACTAAAATGTAGTCCCGCAGAATCCTTTAGTCTAGTGTGAACGTGTCTCACTTGTAGAGCCTGATTTTATACAGCTATTAACCCGTTTACAGTTGCAAGAATTAGAAAACATTATATAATGATATCTGATTATTCTTTTCAGCAAAATGAATCAAAACGTTCTTACCAGTAACGGCCCTTGGCGGGGAGGGAACACCCCAATATGTGATCCAAATTTTTCGTTCCGTTTTAGCTCGTAAAGTTCCAGCTACTCTAGCCTGTGCCAGGCTCTCAGATAGTATAGTGTGGACGTATTTACAACGAGCAAAGCGAAAATAAGAAGCGCGCATATCCCATCACTCCCAAGAAGAGTTGGGTTCCGAAACAAAATTAGATCTAGCGTTTTATCTATAACTAGTTGGAATGAGAATGGTTTATCCGAAAATTTTTTTATGGGTAACAAATTATCAAATAGTGATTTTTTACGTTTTTTCAATCATTGTGATATAATTGTATTGACTGAAACTTGGAGGTCAGATGAAATTTCTTTGCCGGGTTATGAATTTTTCACAAACCCCAGTAAAAAACATCATCGAAAGAAAAATGGAAGATCTTCAGGTGGAATTGCTCTTGGTTTTAGAACTACCTTCAAGAAAGGCATCCAATTAATCTCATATCATACTAATTTTTTGTGGTGCAAAATTGATAAAAACTATTTTGCTATAGATCAGGATATATTTTTATGTGCCATTTACGTGCCCCCTCGGGACTCGCCCTATTTTAACCCTGACATTTTTGATGATCTCGAAAACGACATTGCTTATTATAGTGCAGAAGGCTTTATTATGTTGACAGGTGATTTCAATGCTAGAACAGGCTCTGCTCTAGATTTCGTTGACATTGATCAAAATAATCATATACCCGGCGATAACCTCTTTCCTAAGCGCAACCTAAGAAAAAGGAGAAATTACGACACCCATATAAATGAACACGGTAAATCATTACTAGACATTTGCAAGTCATGTGACTTACGAATCGTAAATGGGAGGACGACAGGGGACTCCTTTGGTAACATTACTTATCATTCTCCAAAAGGAATCAGCACCGTAGACTACTTCGTTGTTAGTCATGAAATATTAAGCTTGACGGAAAATTTTATTGTTAAAGAACCAACAATTTTCTCGGATCACTCTCAACTTATCTGTTGGCTGAATATTTCCCCATCAATTTCCCCTCAAACAAATACTCCTCCGCAAGCAAAAGCATTTGGTCTTCCTAAACAATTCATCTGGAATGAAACTTCAAGAGAACACTTTCTTAATATCTTAAAACAAGATAAATTCCTCCCACGATTAAATCTATTTGAAAATACTAATTTTGCCATGGACAGAGAAGGCATTGATTCTGCTACGGAACATTTTACAAACATTTTAAATGATATATGCGCCTGTTCTCTCAGATTAGCTTGTACACAAAAGAAACCAAAAAAGCATAAATTATGGTTTGATAAGGACTGTGCCCTTTTAAGGAAAAATTTAAGGGGACTATCTAACAAGAAACATAAAAAACCTTATGATGAAAGTCTCAGACACGACTATCACAGCATGCGTAAAAACTTTAAGAAATTGGTTAAACACAAAAAAGCAAAATTACTAGATTCTCAAGTTGAGGACCTCATACAAAACAAAGACAGTCAGAAATTCTGGACTTACCTCAAATCTTTAAAAGAAAAACAACGCTCCCCCTCTAACAAAAACGATATTCCAGCTGACAGTCTATTTAGCCATTTTAAACGCTTACATTCGGTTTCAGACCCCCCCCTTCTTTTTATACAGATCCTGTTTCCTTAAAGGAAGACATTTCCAGTTTAGAAGAAACGAAAAACATTCACAACTACTTAGATAGCCCTATTTCAATTAATGAAATAGAAACTACGGTCAAATCACTTAAGTCAAGGAAAGCTCCGGGACCTGACAAAATTCGTAATGAAATGTTGAAAGCCGGCGTACAATTCTTGAAAACCGCACTCCAAAAATTATTTAACCTTATACTCCAAAGTGGTTTTTACCCTAGCTCTTGGTGCGAAGGAATAATAACCCCTATTTATAAATCTGGAAACAAGCAAGACCCGGGAAATTATAGAGGTATATGTATAAATAGTTGTCTCGGAAAGCTTTTCACTTCAGTACTTAATACCAGACTGAAAAATTTTGTAATCGATCAAGACATATTGCATGAAGCTCAAATAGGTTTTTTACCGAATCATCGTACAACTGATCACATATTTACCTTAAGAACACTAATCGATAAATACGTCAATCAAACTACAAAAGGAAAATTATATACCTGCTTTATTGACTTCAAAAAGGCTTTTGATTCGGTTTGGCATGATGGCTTATTCTATAAACTCCTTCGGTGCAACATTGGGCGAAAATTTTATGATTTAATAAAGCACCTTTATTCAAAAACTAAATGCTCCATAAAGTTTTCCGATTGTCAACGAACGGAATTCTTTAACTATTGCAAAGGGGTTAGACAAGGTTGTATCCTTTCTCCTATGCTTTTCAACCTATATCTAAATGAAATCCCTTTTTTACTTGACCGACAAGACACAGACCCTATTATTTTACCAAATGGAACTCATCTGAACTGTTTATTTTATGCAGATGATCTTGTTCTAATTTCCCATTCAGCCGAAGGACTTCAAAAAGCGCTTTCTGTGCTCGCTGAATATTGTAACAAATGGTTGCTATCTGTTAATTTAAAGAAAACTAAAGTTCTGATTTTTCAAAAGAAATGTAGAAAATCAGTCCTTAACAAATATTGTTTTCAGATAAACAATGACAAAATAGAAATTGTTAACAATTATACATACCTCGGAATCAATTTAGCTACAAATGGGAACTTCAATGTGTGTAAAATAAACTTAAAAGAAAAAACACGAACACAAACACAAACCGCCCCCTGCCCCCTAAGTAGTTTTGACACTCACGCAAGATGGCAGCCCGAAACGCAAAGCGCTCGATCTCGACGATCTTACGGAAGAATAGAGGACTGTGAACAGTCTATTCGACTACGAGTTTGTTATTTTATCTTATTATTTTTTGTGACTTGATAGTTCATTTTGTAAAGTTCTTTAAGTCTTTTTAAAATATACTTAGCATGATCTCGCATTTCATTTCGTGACTTAAGCCAATGGTTGATGATACAAGGGACCAGGGAGAGTAAGATTTTGGGGGGAAGTGGATGTTTTGTTCCATTCTCGTATTTCATGTACGTGACATGTTGTCGTCTCGCCTTATTTCAGACATACCTTGTGTTAGATGGTTTTAGATTGTTTGCGAGTGGTTGTAGATGTTTTTGAGGTGGTTGTAGATGGTTGTAGGTGGTTGTTGAATTTTTTTGAGGTGGTTGTAGGTGGTTTTAGGTGGTTTTAGGTCGTTCCATGTTTTAGTAACTACGCCGAAAATAAACCGCATGCTCATCACGAAACTCATTTGCATACAATGAAAGTTGTCATGATTCTTATCCCCGGTTAGGAACTTGTGGCCTACAAACTAGGTCCCACGCACAAAAAAGAAAAAAGAGAAATGCCTGCACTTTTAGAGTCTCGCTCTGCTAAAGAAAGCTCGCCTAACAAATTTCAAGGTTCTGGTTTTTTTTACCAACTTGACCTGTGTAAACTTAGTGTGTATTTTTCAGTGGCCACGTTTGAGGTCATTGCACTGTTGTATTGTTGTCCATTTCACTCTTCATTTAACACCTATTAGGTTGAACGTTTTCAATTTTTTTTTATCTATTTCAAGGGATTTTTTCGTGAATTGTTTCTGTTATAATTGTGTCAATAAAACAATACTTAAATATGACTGGTTCTTAACAGCCCATAATTATTTTAAAGCTTAATTTTGCTATAGTAACTTTAAAACTGTCCAATTTGACCAGTCCAATTACCAGGAGCTTGTAATCAGACAGGTCAAAACCGACAGTTAAAGAACCAATGAAAATCAAGTAGCAAATGCCACTAGCCAATGAAGTTCAACTACATTGCACAGGATAACCAATCAAAATCAATGAAAAAATAGTGTTCATGTAAGCTGTCCAGCTTCAACTGGAAAAGAAAAGTGGATTAAACTAACTGGTCCAGTGACTTTTATTTACATTAATAATATTCCAGGACTGAGATTCTCATAAAATGTTATTGACACTATTTATTGGTAATAGGACTTCGTGCCGTACAATTCCAGGGTGATTTGGCTTGTAATTTCAAATCGGCCTCGCACTGGAATTACTCGCCCGATTACTCCCTGAATTGTACTCCACTCAGTCCTATTACCCTTACCTATTATTTCTTTGATAGGCTACTATTGACTAGTTTGGTTTTCCCTTTGCATGGAGCTTCAAAACAATCAAGACCAAGGGATGCTCCCAAAAAAGAAACCAATAATCTGCAATCATTGTAGCTTGGTAGACAGTACTTTGATTTATTTTTGTACTAAACACTTCCTGACTTACATCCTCTAACTCATACAATTTTCAAGAAAAAAATATTATTTTTATTTCTTCGCAGAGAAAACAAAACATTATGACAAAACTCAACAACAAAAAGAACCTTGGGTAGTTTGTGAGGAATTTCAACCACGACACTTTGAAGTTAACCTATTATTGAATGTGGCTTTGAATAACAAATTATGCAAAGATACAACAATCACTTCACCTTTATTAACGCTAAGGGTAGTAAACCAAAAAAGGGAAAGAACACCGTATATCTAAAATACATGGGACCCAATCATGCCTCTACTAGCAATCTGCTAGTAGTTTTAGCATGTTTAGCTGTCAAAAATCTTAAATAAAGATTCTATGGAGTTAATTGTCCTAAAGATTTTCAATGCATGTCCTACTTTCATAATTCTCATGTTTTTCATGTGCCATTGTCCATGGCAACATGTCACAGAATTTAATTTTTGCTTCTGTAAAATGTGCATTTTCTAATAGATGGAATTCCATGGCGTTAATCTGTCAGTGTTCAAGAATTAATAGTATTTTAATAATTATTATTACTGCTTATTGCAAGCCAATATCTTAAAAATAATTTAAACAGCTTAACCAACATGGTTCTAACTGAATTATTTGTCCTGAAGTACTTGACATTATTCATTAGCTCTCAAAAGAAAACAATATTGCTGACTGCCCAACATAGTTGTATTACCACAGTCAAGCCAGGTCAAGTGTACCCCAAAGATGCCATTAATGAATTTATTCTTCGAAAGTTAAATCCATTGGCAGTTGTAGATTTCAGACTCATCTCTGCATTCGTGCATGTGTAATGAACCGATAATGCACACGCAAGGTAGTCATGAAATTTCTACCAGCTCAGTTTTCCTAAATTTGATAGAAATGTCTTCAAAGTAATTTTCCATTCAAAGATTTTTAATCTGACCAAATACAGACAAGTTCTCGTAAAACATTCACTGCTCATTATACATGCAGGAATGCCGAATTGAATTTGACACGAGTTATGGGAATGACTAACAGATTCATTTTTTAAATCAGTTTATTAATAAAACCTTGGGGGGTATGCCTGACCTGCCTTGACTGTAATCCTGTTTCTTCATTGCTTTTCTTCGACGACCCTGAGAGCAAATGATCCACTGCAATAAGCCGTCTGATGATTGAAAGTGAAAATATTCATAACTTTCTGGTCCCTTGAGAAAATTCACGAAGTATCTTTCTGGCCATAGCAAAGTTGTTCTCAGCCACAATAAGAGCCCTGGTGATTTCCTCTCGAGAATAACCTTGGGCTTGAAGGATGGTAAAATCCTCTTCATAAAACTGCATTGCATCATTGTTCGAGTTGTCATCCGGAAGTCTGGGAAGTCTTCGGTGCCTGGCATCCTCGATGGCTTCTAACTTACTTGGGTCAAAATTCTCAGCAGTATATGTAGGGTTACTGAAGCTTTTGGCTTCTGCACCAGACCAGCTATTCCGTGAGACAAGTGAAGGACGAAAAGTGTTTGGGGGGTTAAATACAGCTGCAGAATTCCTGTTTTTTCCACGTTTATTAGCAGCGGTTTTTACGTTTGAATACGTAGGATCATCAAGTACATCATCTGTTGACCTTGCCTTAATAAAGGTCCTAGAAGACGATGGGCGTTTACCTTTATCATTGGTTCCGCGTGCCTCCCAAGTGTCAAAGCTTTGTGAACGCGGCGGAGGAAGTGCCACGACTAAAGGACCCTTTAAAAAGTCATTTTCAAACTCCTTGTCTTTGGACTCATCCCACTGTGCAAATGGATCATCAGCAAAGGGGTCAGCCACAGGTTCCAAGCTGCCAGCGCTATTAGACAAGCCATTCTGCTTAAAGGGTGTGTTATCTCCTTTGTCTGACAAAATTGGGAGCGGAAAATCATAGCAGGCTGCTTCATCATTGGTACAAATTTCAGCAAACATGTTTCCATTTGCGGTGCTTCTTTCAACACCGCTAGCACCCAAGTCATTGTTGGGAGCAGGATAGGCTAGCTGTGCATAATTTGTCCTATTCTGATGGGAAATTTGATTATGTGAATCACTAGGCACATTTGAAGTATCAATATCTGCGTACCCAATCGTATCCCTTCGGTTGTCCCCTCTTTCACGATTGACATCTCTGTTTTTATCTTTTTTCTCCACACTCCCCCTGCTTTTATAACTCCTCTCTGGTATAGCAGGAGGGCTGTCATTCTCATTGTCAATAATTGGTGGTGGTGGAGGTCTTCCTTTACGAATCTGTGCAGGTGAGTTTTGGGGTGAATTACAAGGTGATGCCTGGGGTGACGAATGAGGTGAAACGTTTGGAGATGCCAGCGGCGAACTTCTTGGAGAATTCCTAGGAGAGGTTCTTGGTGAGTTCCATGGAGAACTGTGTGGAGAGGACCTTGATGAGCTTCTCGGAGAACTAAATGGCGAAGCATGTGTTACTATGAGGGTGGGTGAAGTTGGTGACTGTACATTGAGCAGTTGGTTTCGTCTTTGAGGTAGGGGTGGCGGAGCATCCTCCAAATGTCTGTTCAGGTCATTACTTTCTTGAGGAGACTGCAATGTTATCCACTGACTTGGATCCTGAGAAGAGAAACAAAATACAGTATTATCATGGGTAATAACCAAATTGACATACCATCGGTTGCATCTAAGCGTGTACATGCGACAAAAAAAAATATTCTAATTGGGTGAAAGCATGACATCTTTTGCCACTAAATCGTTGAAGTTTGAGGTGGCGTTAGACGAACGTTCATGTGCAAAGTGGGCAGCTGTTTGTCGACTTGATTTGTTTTCTCTCAACAAAATATTCATCGCAAAACGTTTAGAAGAATTTCTGGGTTTTTGTAAGACTTCAAAGAAAAATTCTTAAAAGCAAGTGTGCTGTTTCTGATCGAGAAATATCACTCAAAATTGAGAAAAATGAAACATAAGTAGAACAAGCTGATCAAAAACATGCAAGCAACTTAACCTTTGCTGTGACAGTGTGCTTTAACGGCGGCCAAACTTCATGTCTGGCACCCTATTAGAACATGTTTTTTTGTCTCATGTCCACGCTCAGATGCAATCGACAGTAAATTTAAAAACATACATTAATTCAATTTAGTGCTTAGTTTAGGGTTATTGTTGCTTAAAAATTGCTGGGGTTGGAAAACCTTTTAACAAAGGGAAGACCACAAACAATAGTGTGGTATATGTAGTAAGATGATAACATTGTGATTCACAGACGGCCAATAACATCATGAAATAATAGACCAATCAAATCGATAACCAGCATTTAATACCATCAACTAGCATGATACAACTCATGCTGACTCTGAAGATGACTACGGGACAGGCTATTGAAACATCAGTCACCTTCAACAACAGTCCTATTCCAGGGTTCTCAATAGAAGGCGGCACCCGGCGATTGATCGCCGCTTACTTTCGGATTTATAGCCGCTTACTTTGTGTTTAAGTCGCTTTTCTTTGCTTTGTTTTGACACCTCTGGCTTTGCTGAAGAGCCTCTTACTTTATCAGTGATCACCTCCTACTTAAAAATCTATTGAGAACCCTGCTATTCAGGACTACACTGAACCCAATGATCATACCCTACCTACTTATGACAAGGTAATTAACTCTGCAATCAAGTCACTCATCAATCACTACTTTCTTATCTAAGTATTCTTTGTTCACTGTTCTGAAAATGGAGACTTTTGTTACACTATCCTGACCTCCATTACTTCCTCCTCATCAAATTCAACCTGATTCTCTTGGATCTCAGCTGGCATACTTGTACTTGATGGCTGTTCATGATGCGGAACAAAAGGGTCAACAACAATGGTTTGCATGTCTTTGATCTCAGAACGGCAAAACGGACATCCCTCCCCCCCAGTCTCCTGCCACTGCTCCAAGCAGAGGTGGCACATCAAGTGACCACAGGGCTCCAGGCGTACATCTTTGTTGTTTTCAGCGCAGATTTTGCAGAGTTGAAATGTGGAGCCCATCTCGCAGTACAGCTCATACTGCTCCTCGGTGACAGTAATATGTTCATCGGGCGGGGTTATCAAGTGGTGGCTAACATCAGGGTTGTCTGGTTTACCATCAGGATACAGATAACTAGAAAAATGCAGTTTATTTGAACGTCAATCAATTATAATATTTAGCACAAAAGTACTAACCGAGGGCAGGGCATGCTATATTTCCATCTCCTACAGGGGATGGGACCACCATTTTACATCATTGGTCATCCTAGCTACCCGAAGGAAGTGCCTTCATTTCTCAGTTATTTTAAGACCCTGAGTAGTGGATCAGCCCTAGGAATTGAACCCACAACTTCCTGCTCTGCAGTCAAGCATTCTACCAACTGAGCTAATCCTGTCTGGGTTAAACAATGTAAATATTATTTTAGATATATGAAATGAAACACCCCTAACAGTACTTTCACATATTACTATCTGTTCTTCTTCATTTTCAAAATTGAAATTTTGAATTTTCGTTTAAAATCGATTTAAGCCACGTGCGGAAGTAAAAGGGATTAGAGGAAGAAGACTTACTATCCTTCTCTGGCTCCGTCTATGAGCGCCTGGCACAGTGACTTGTTTTGAGGGATAGTCTGTAGAATACTGTGTTCCGGCGTCACATATCCTATGGCCCACTGGCCAAGTCTTGTACAACTTAATCTGAAGATATAGCTGTAATAAACCATATTACATGTTGAATATCAGAAAAGCTACAATTTACTAATCCCCTAATCTTCCAGACCCCAGTTGTTAACCCTTTAAGTCCCAATAGTGACCAAGATCAAATTTCTCCAAACTATATCCATACACTGTCAAGAGATAAGTTATGAGAATTAATAGAATGATCACTCAAGAGAAAATGCCTTGATCTATTATCAAATTCTCTCTACTTATTCTTTAAGGAAATGTATAGAGATCAGTTTGGAGAATTTGTTTGTGGATACTGGGGCTTAAAGGGTTAAAAAGGTGGAAAATGCTATCCACTGGATAAACCCCTATCCGGTGGATAACGTAATGGGTTTTCCTGATACCTATCCCCAGCTGAATAGTAATTTATCCGGTGGAGAGCACTATCCAGCATTTAAACAACTAGGGCCAGTGGGTAAACCCCTCAACTCATTTACAAAAGATGCTTTTCAAGATATTTGGAAGGACTGATATTAACTGCCACATCCTTTCAGCTTTTGTATGAAATAAAGAAATACCAATATGCAGATCTTAGAGGATGTTATGCACCTTGGCCAACACCCTCCTTGGTCTGCATAATTCTTCATATCACACACAGCCTCATGCAGTTATTTTACTGTGATTAATGTCTGATAGGTTCTTATTTTTTCACTTCCTCTTTTTTCCTGCTCCTCCCCTTTCATCTCCACCTAGATTTATGTAAAGCGACCACAAAGTAAACATTATTGTCTGAAAAACTGGTACCATTTAGTTATCACTATTATCATTAATGATAGCTGAAAGGAAGTCTTAAACATGCAAATTTCATCTATTCATCTGAAAAGTAAAGTAACTGGGTAATTAAAGTCCACCTGCCCTGACATCATCTAAAAAATTTATTAAAACGTCTGCTATCCATTGTATGTATCTACATATGTTGCAGTTAATTTTTTATTTCAGGTAATTTTTATTTTTCCTTTGTTTCATATTCATTAGCAAACATTACCATACCCAAAAAACAATATAAAAATAAGAATTAACTACAATATATTTATTAAGTATAAACTTGATACTATTATATCAAATATATCACAAATCAACAACCAACCTTCCAGGCTTGTCTAGATGTTTACAAAGGCGAGCCTTCACCTCATCATACGTCATGAATGCGCAATAACCAGGATGTGTTACAGCCAGAAGATTCCAGTTCTGAAGTAGATGTGACCATGGTTGAAATAATCTTGTGAAGACGTCATACTCGAAAATGGATATGTGGTCATTACAGGTCAGATCTATTGTTGATTTCAAGGCCATTGCCTCCAAACCAGAACTTATATGATGTACCGTTTGGAGAGTCTGACGGAACTGCTTCCATGATACAGTTGTTTTACTAAACGGTAGTAGAAATAATTTATTATTAACAGTTCAGGTCGCAAGAGTGACCAACATCAATTTTCTTCACACAATGTCATTACTTAATCAAGAGAAAAAGTTACGAGAATTAATAAAATAATCACCAGGGCTGGGTTGTTCAAACATGGGTTAAGATAACCCAGGGTTAGTGCAAAAGATTAAAAAGCAAATTCACTTTAATTCTTCTTACAATCTGATGATTGGATGCTCTAAAAAGAATAGAGAGAATTGTTCGAGAAAGTGCTTTTAAAAAAAGAAAAAGAAACTGGGATTAAAATTTAACCCCCGGTTAGCGCTTATCGGCCTTCGAACAACTAGGCCCTGAGGGAGAATGCTCTGATCTTTTATCAAATCCTCTTGAGTAATTCTTTAATGATATGTATGAACATCAGTTTGGAGAATTTGAGTCAGGAAAAAAGCACTGCTTTGTGGCTTTACAGTGAATACATGGCAGTACTAGGTCTACCTGAGATGAACAACACATCCCTGATTGAGTCTGTCTACAATTACCATTTTGTCAGGCCAAAATGGTGACTTAATCAGACATATATCCTTTCAAGAAATAAAAATTACTTGCAGTCCTGCTTCAGTTATTTTTCCTTGACTCTTTAGCAAGGGTAAATGCCCTGTTAATGTTATGGTATGTCAACTAAGAAATAACACAACACACAAGGCTTTGGTGAGCAAAATTTAGGCAAGAAGAGCCAGCTTGAACTTGCAGCAATAAAAAAAATGCTGACTAAGAGGGCACACGGCATAATATATTAGGCACAGTGCCAAGTAAGGAGATACCAAGTGGGCTAACACCGCAGTGATCCACAGGCTCACAGCTTTTCATATTGCTTGCCAACATAAAATTTTATTTTACGCTAAAATATCATGAATATTGTCTTTCTAACTGAAGAAGTGCCTTCTTCAAATATATATTACAGATCAAAATTAAATTCAGGTTAAAAATCTTTAACCTATGTTGATTCTCAATTTCCTTTGCTAGGAGACAGAGGAAATTGAGAATCAACTTCGGTAAAAAAAATTAAATCTGAATATAACTTTAATCTGTAACATACACACCCTTCTCCCTCTTTCACTTTTTCTTTCAAATATGTTTGACCTGTCAAAAAGTTTTACTTGCAAAACATGTTTCACTAAAGAAAAAATCTTGAATATCTGATTTGCAACTTATCTATGACACAACAGTCGCTGCTTTCCAATTCGAAAGGGCAAGTTCCACAACATGGAGACAAACAATGAACAAAAATAATCACTCATTTTTGGTTCCAGGACCTTCTAATAAAATTGTTTTAAGGTCAAGACTGAATTCAACGAATCAAACACTGACATGCACTTAATTATCATTTAAATGGCCAATACATAGCACTGAGTTGGATTTTTCAAAGATCATATTAATAAGCAGCCAACTGCAGTTAAGCCAGCTTGAAATGGTTGCTTTATAACATTATTTTGAGCCTGGATTTACTTGACTACACACACAGCTTCTTTCACACTGTAAGGATTGATGATGCTATTAATTTTATGTTGCTTGCTATTTTGAACAAAAGATGTTCAGATGAAACTTCCAAATATAATATACCTTTTAGAATTAATTTGCAGTGAAACAATTTTTGTTGCTATTTAAATGTATTTGCATGTATGACAAGTAATCCACATATGGCGACCAATAACATATTAAACAACGAAGATAATAGCTTGTGTTTACAACGTCAAACTGTAAAACACATTATCCATACTGTGAACACCTTCCTTGGAAATTATAACCTCAAAAGTGAATGCTCTTTATAAATTCATGCATCATTAAAATAAAGCAGACTTGGGGTCAAATAAATGCTCATTTTTTGTGCGAGGCTTGGCATCTGCAGCATATAAGAGGTTTTAAAATTAAGCTTCAATAGTGTACGAAAAACTACAGTTACAAGAAGGCCCGTTGGTGGAGAAGATTTTGTATCACCTGCATTTAATACAAAAGGAAAATTGTCCTGCCGATTGTGTTTCATTTCAATGGAAATATTTTCAAACAAAAGACTTGTTAAGCTTACTTAACCTGACTTTTCACGTCAAGCGAGCCACGCAATTTAGAAAATTAATCCTTTATCGTTTTCCGTTTTGACAAGCTCTAAATGCGTTGAAGACTAAAGCGCAATTGAACGAATAAAAAAGCTTCAAACTGATAAGGCCGGGCAAGGACCACCTGCAAAAAACCTCAATAATTCTGAAACGAGGAGTTTTTATGAGTTACACACTGAAACACAGCAAATCCATCCAGTGATCTCCTCGGTTTGAAGAACAATAACAATATCATCAACAAAAAATTAACATAAATTTCCTTACCCAACACCGAACGACTTTCTCCAGAATTCAGCTGCATCATATTTTGTAATCCTGAAGCCATCGCCTATATAAGTTCCTTGAGGAAATATTGCTTTGACTTCAGCAAGCATATGGCTGAAGACCAAGCTTAGTTTTGTTAAGCTTCGTCTGTAAGTCGAATCCTCATCGTACATTTTCTCCTTGCCTTCCTTAAAAAGCTTGATGGCGAGCTTCGACTGCTTAATAAGGTTCTCGATGTATATCCTAAAATACTCACAATCGTTCAAGATGTGCATACGATCCTCGTACTTCGAAATAATTAACTTCAAATGTTGATAAGTATCGGGGAGTATGTCTAGAATGTAAGGGGGACTGTTCTTCAACGACAGCCGTTGATTTTGGCATAGCTTCACCACTTTGTCCATCAGTTTCCATGTTTTCTCGATAGTCTTCCTGTCGATTTGCAATCGTGGTGTTACGGCGTGTGTTAGAGCATCGTGCAAACGAGAAAGAAATCGCGAACTTCGACTGCTTGGAGGTACTCCGGCCATTTTGATCCATTCGCTCGACTGCAATTTCCGTGTTCGACGACGACTCTTACCACGTGACGTTAGTAAACAGCCAATCATTGTGCGCAATAGTTCTGGAAGTGCGATAATTCTACGAATCTAACGTTTTGCCGGAATAATTTCTAGAGATCGAGGCTTCTTGCCTATTTATAAATCTGGCAGATGGTCACCAATAATCTTCAAACTTTGATAGCGGCAGATGATCTCGGGCGCTTCTCAGTTTATCTGCGTGTCCACCCTCGCCGTTTCTCACGACTATTCGATCAATGCGTTGGGTTCACACACTAAAATGTTGTCTTGAAAATTGATCTGTTTCCGGAGGCGGGCTGTATTAGATTCACTTTTTAGTTTCGCAGTGACGTAAACGTCTGAATAACTCTGAAAAATAAAACGGTACGATAACTGAATAAATCGAAACAACCCTTAATACCCTTGTACCCTAAAATAGGGAACTTTAAATATTAACAGGAAAAAAACGCGTGAATGTAATCAAAAATGCTTAAAAAAACAATTCGGTCGTTGTTTTTTCGAAATATGATTAGGATTAGCACCTTTCAAAGTTGTTTTTCAATCGATGGCCTTCATGGAGAGCTTACGAGCACTAAATTCTCCTTGAAATTTCTTTCGGCAGTACATTATTGAGGATAGTAAAATATGATGCAAATTTCCTGTCGCTACTCAGTTCTATATCGCCGCGGGCAGCTCGCCACTGACTCGCCCACGTGAGAAGTTCAGAAGTTGTACCACAACCGCAATTTCAAAGTTCTATTAACCTAAAATTTTCTCATTTTTCTCAAACATAGCAACCGGAAAGAAGCTATTGTTACAAAGACTTACCTCTGATAAAGCCACTTTTGTCTTCCTTTGGTGAAGGAAACGATAAAAGAACCTCTCATCTCCTCAAGGTACGAGGAAAATGATTTACTTGCTCCAGTTCGACGAAATAGTTTCCACTTACTTTCACTCACGCTATGATGGAATTGAAAGAAAATCTATGAGAACAACATAGACGCTAGTTTTCAGAAAAATAAAACATTCGATCGGCAGATTCCTTTAGGAGTGTCGGACAAATATTCATCGCGTTCTTTCTAAAGCACGAAGAGCTGGTGTTTGCAAAGTCAATTTAGGGTGTGTTGCTGTGTAAAGCTATCTATCCGGACACGCCTCGCGTGTCTATGCACGCGATCCACGTACATGTCACGCGTAGGAAAGCGAGCTGGAATAAAAGAACGTCACGTTCAAAATACGTGGAAACAGTTTGTTGCTTTGCTCAGTGATATTCAAAACAACAACCACTCACTTACATTGAGATCACTAGTTATAACAGCCTTGAAAAAAAGCCGCTTTCCATAAGATCCTTTTTACCGATAACATTTTGTGCTCTTAAATAGCTTAAGTGCTTTATTCTATAATTTGCCTTCTTAAATGCAAAAATCTCAAATTAAGGTACATCGAAATGAACAATGACTGGCATCAAAAATAAATAGTATCGGCTCTGTTTTCTATACCGATCCTTTTACAGTAACCGACGATGGGTGACGTGGATGACAAGTGATTAGATCGATTACCTCGAGACAAAGAGGACACTTCTCCGATGTATGGTACAATTACAAAGCGTTGTCCAGCTTTATATAGTTTGCTGATCAATTGTCAAGAAAATGTCAAAACTTAAAACGACATACGTAAATTTTATGCTAACAGGCATCGGCTGGCGGTGGAGCTCTTGTAGATAAAAATAGCTTTAAAGTTTACCCAAAATATAACCGAAAGTCAAATATACACGCCCAAAGAGGAAACAGTCGTCATAATAGTTCTTTGACAATACTTTATTTTCGTTCCAAGGATGACTACGCAATGAACGATGGAAATATGAAGGGAAACAAGATGAAACCGATATACCTTAGTTTCGTTTTCAGTGATAAAAGCAATCCTAAGGATCGCGCAAAAGGCAAAGCAAAATAAATTTTCATGGTAAGAAGAACTGTTTTCTACTTCCCAACCCAAAAATTGTTAAAAACTATTTTTGAGAGGGAATGAGTGAGTCTTGGAATATGAAAGCCCTGTACATGGAAGAGACGCATAAAAACACGCCACCAGACCGTCCACTTTTTTATGTCAACATAGTAATTTTAGCGCGACTCAACTTTTTCAGAGAAAATACGTCAACTTAGTTAAGCTCTTTTTAAACTTTTATTTTTGTTTGTATTCTAGGGAAAATCTACAAACATACTAAATAAAGATTAATTACGTACCAAATAAATTAAGAGATTCAACATCAGTCATTGTTCTCTTCAGAGTCAAACTAATTCCGTCAAATATCACAAGCTATTTTAACAATCAGTAATAAATACGTTCACTGTGAAAATATACAATAGCCCCCAAATGCTCTTGAAATTTACATCATACATATGTACAGCACAAAATCGCCGCGACTTCAGTAAATAGAAACTTATTTCTCAAATAGAAAAAACTGCTAGATAACTTTCCGTTGCGGCACCAAATTTCACCGGCAGATTCAAAAACAGTCAAAAAGTTAAAACCACATACAAAATACTCAATATCGCCGGAAAGTTGACAGCTCTCTAGCTTTTGCACGACCGTTTTCTTTAACCACTGCGATGCGTAAAAGAAAGTTACAGAAAAAAAAGCCTGGTTGCAAAGCCGCAACTGTAGATTGAATTAGCCTAAAGGTTGGGGCGGAACTTTGAGAACCTTTTGGGCTAAATAGTTTTTTTTTTTTGAAAGAAAAACCCTGATTGCAATCCGTTCTAATATCCATCAATTATTACCCATCCCTTCCTCTTTTAGCATTTGCCTTGTTATTCAAGCCATCCCTCTTTGTTATGGCTATTTTATGACTTGTTCAGGTGGTCAGTTCCGACTATCTGAATTTGGCAATGATTCACGAAACAGCTCCAAAGGAAATAAGTTCGTTGTCTCTAAGGCTACCTTAGTAAACTTGCCGAAGGATTTTAAGGTTAAAAATTTCGCGTTTTTGAAAGAATGATCGTGTTTGACAGCCGGGGTTGACAGTGAAAAGCTTATTTGTTTGTACGGTCGCGCTCGACAAAGTCTATGAAAGCTCTCCTTTTGATTCCACAACAACAACGTAAAATATGAATAATAAGTTCTTTAACGCGATTTTTTAAAATACCAGAGGAAAAAGATAAAGCCTGCTAGTCTCCGGTATGAAAGAGATCTAAAGACCACAAGAATAGATCTATCTTCGTCATTGAGGTGAACGAACCATAAATAAGTTGTTACAAAGTATAGGAAGTACAATATAGAACGCCAAAATAATTTACTCCGACGCATATGCACGTAACTTCGAAAGAAAGAGCCCGCGCGAAACTACAAGTGTCACTGTAAGCAAGAGAATTACCGACAAGGTTTTTGAAAGTTGCGTTGACTTATTTGTGTCATAAGACTTAGATATAAAGTTCCGTTTTTGAAGCATAATATCAATCAGACCCCAAACCGTCCACTAAGCAGCCAGCTGCTATAAAAGTTTCCAATACACGCCCCTAATGGAGTAGGCGTAGAACTTAATCACTCGTAAATCCAGACAAGCTGTAAAATTTAAGGCGAGGCGGGTAATGTAATCTAAAGCCCGCGCGCGATCAAGTTCTCCATTTGGAGGTTCGCGGGAGGTTACTCGAGAGCCGCACGCGAAAGGAAACAAATTGAGAGCTTGCTCGCATGGGCGAGATAGGGTCACTGCTAGTAAACTAACCGTCTTAAAACCCTTTACCCGTGAACGATGATCAGTGACTAATTTCTCATTTTTAAATCGGGTATTGATCAGGATAAGATGTCGTGAGAATTAAGAAAACGATCAACCAAATTTTGCATAACTTAACTTCTAGCTAAGCATGTCTGCTGTCAAAAATGTATGGCGATAAGAAAGGAGAATTTGTCCTTTGACTTTCGGGTTAAACGGGTCATCACTTACACTAAGCATCCTAAATCGAATTAATTTTCAGTATTATTGAGGAAACTACAAAATTCCACAACTCAATAAAAAATAAAATTCCACAGGAAACTTATAAATTAACTTCTCCCAAAATAAACGTTACGAGGAGGCAATTAGACAATGCGGCTTCGCTACTCTTTCGATCCACTCATTTAGTTAAGAGGGGGGAAATTCACTGGCATCCCGCCCTTTAAAAAGCTATTTCAATTGCGCGGAGTTTATAGCAGTCAGTGCTGAAATAACACGACTGAAGGCTAAACTCTGGAAAAAGCAATAGGGAAACCGCGCTAACATTCTCCTCGGTAACTGAGATAATAGGATTTACAACTTTCGGAAATGTCCTTAAGTCGCTATCAAAATGAAAGCGCGTAGGTGAAGTAATCCGGCGAGGATATCTTTAGCGGCTTCGTCGGTCAAGTAAATGTCGGAAAATTTTCCAACGCCTAATTTCACCCAGTGACAATTGTACTTCCGATGTTCCGGTGCCCTTTCCTATCGCTGCCCGTCAGTTCAGAAAGATTCCCTGGATTCTGCAACATTCTTTGGGTCGCGGAGGAAATCAAAGAAGATTTCATGTTATCCGCGCTTTTCGGTTGGGAATTAACATCTCGAAAAAGCATTCTGTCATTCGCTCAGCCTGTGAAAAAAAAAAAGAACGCATAGGTTAGAGCCATCATATTTAACTTGTTCTAATCAAAGGCGCAGTATTTATTGGCATATCTCGCGATTCAAATAAGGGTGCGTTTAATTGGTTGCATTCCACAGTAAATATGGACATGTAAAAAAAAGTTGTTGCCAATTCCTTTCATCAAAGCCATTAGAATGCTTCAACACGATTTTTTTTACTAGAGAGAGTAATTTCAGTTTCTGGATCAGAAATAGGGTGTTCCGTATAGGTGAGAATATGACCACACTAAAGAAGACGTAGAAAGACGCATCCTCATCGACGAAATTAAGGCTATCAAAGAAAAGTCTAGGTTAGAAAAAAAGCATTATTTAAAACACCCATTCAGAAAGATGTTGAAAGGGAAGGACGGCTCGAAAACGTAAGGTGGAAACTTTACACGCAATCAATGATATACGAAAATTAAATTGATGAAGCCAAGTCTGACAGTAAGTTATGGGTTAAAATACCTCACGTAGTGTAAGTAACCTAAGACGCCCATTTAAAAAGTTGCTACGCTCGGCAAAACCTATCGGGTGAAGCGAGAAAAGATTTTGCTGTCTATAATATTGGCTAGCAGGCTAAAAAAGGTATCCATGTTAAAACCTTTATCTATTTTCCACAACACATTTTCCGAGACTTCAGAGATAAAAGGCCTTTTTGTGGAGAACTTTTAAATTTTGTCGAAAAACAAAAACAGTCTCAAGTGGTTATACCCTATAGAGAAGGAGAAATATAAAGGAAACTTTGCAGAATGTTTCAACGCAAAAAAGTGCCTTTCATAGGAATTTCAAATGTTTCCTAAATTGACAACAGTGCAGCTGTGTTTCAGATGAAATTTTTCTATCTCGGTCTGGTAAATACGAAATTTTATCCGTTTGAGTATACAAAAACAATAATAGCTAAAGAACGAATGGAATTTTACTTGAGTAGTAATTCATAGAACAATTCATAGAACGTAACGCCTTAAAAAGGCAAGAAGCCAACAAATACCCCTAAAAAGTTTCACAGCTGCTGAAAATCAAACAACGGGAACGTAGGTTGTCTAATGAGCGACACACCCACTGATACCGCTGTATTTTAGGGTAATTGAAACTTTTCTAGCGGATGCCTCTGTGATATGGACACCTTTTTATAATGTTCCCTATTTTAATGGGTGGGGGGCGGGAAGTCCAAACCTCTTATCTGTCTGTTTAACCCTTCCTCTTTTAACATTGGCCAAAATGTTAAAAAAATCACAACTAAAATTTGTTTTGTAACATCCTGAGAAGCTCTTCGAAAAAATAGCACTATACCGAAGTTCTACCGAAAAGTTTCATTTAAATGGTACGTACTGAGCACCATAGAATTTCGTTCACAAATTCAAACGTCGCATTAACGAATCGCACCAGTATCATACAATATAAGGGCGGAAGGATTTTACAGTATTTGGTGAAGTTGTATAGTGAAACTTTAAATACCTCCCACTATAAGGTATTAACGGAAGTCCGAGATTAATACGCAACCAACCGCCAACCGACGAGAGAGTATACTGCTGAGAGACTGTTCGGAATATACATCTCCATGAACGTCGAACTGACAATCTAAAGAATTATTCCCGCTCACTGATCAAGAAACTACTTCCGACGTCTCCTAGTTTAGTTAATTATTTTTCGTGGTTTTAGCTTTCTGTGTGACTGTGTTTCTTTAAATTATTATTGTAACATTGACTCTGAAAAGCCCTGTGGGACAAGCCAATAAAATACTTATGTATGTATGTATGTAACTTTGAACATTCTCGTTATTCTTTTAAGTAAAAAGATTTAGATGCCTTTCCCAGTCCTGGACCCGCAGTGATGTATCATGCTCTGCTCATGGTAACCATCTAGTATGTCAGTCCTTTCAGTAGCCTCTCCGACTAGCCCTTTCCTTTGTAACATTATAGTATTCTTCAGTTGGTCCCTCATACCAATTTGTAACATCAGTTGCTCATAACAAATGAATACAAACACAACGGGCATTCGCACTTCTCTCGCAAAAAAAGGAAGAAACTCTGACAGCAGGTGAGAGCAAGCACCGATGGAAGTTGGTCATCTGGAACTTTTAAGATTACCTCTTTAAGCGTCCTCCCTGCCAACATGTAATTTCCGGACTTTTTCAATTTTGGAGAGCTGCAATTATAATAAAAATAAGGCGTGTTTTAGTAAAAGTGTTAAGTTTATTAAGTCTCTGTTTACTTCTTTTGTTTGTTGTTGTTGATGTTGTTGTTGCAGTTGCGCGGTTATTTTTATTAAACGAGAACTTCTAAAATTTGATAACTTAGTTCCGAAACCCGTAGTAGAATGCCGACGGCTACCACTTTTCCCGCCAAAATGACGCTTCACGCGTGCGCACTACTTAATAAACCATGAACCAACCCTTCCATCGATCTTGAACGGACAAAAGCTTCTAATTCTTAAGATCTCCTGAGTGCTTATACTACGTTAACAAATTAATATTACATTTTAAATCACAGTTACCCTGCCTTAGTATGTTCCTCCCTCTTTTTATTATATAGATTCGACGAATTGTATGCACTCACCTGTCACACAGTGTATCATAACATGTGACAGCACCGTCACGCAACACAGCCATGACAATACAAGACGTCTTGGAAAGCTGAGCAGCCTAAATTTTTTTTAAAAAATAGAGATATTATTGTAAACGTAATTACAACACTGTTAAAAAAGTCATACTTTGAAAAGAAAAAAGAGAAAGAAATATAAAAGCAAGAGTAGCAACGCAAATTACAGCAGATCACCAAGATATCAAGAAAAATTGATGATAACTCAGAAGTTTGGCGTGGTTACAATACACTAAATAATCTCCCCCTACAAATATGCATCAATCAATGGCGGGAATGATCAATCACAGTTATATCTGTTACAGTTTCGAGCTGATTTTAGAGGAATTTTCCACTGTTTTCTGCAGAAAGATCTGAGGCCTCACTTGTGACCACGTTTTGAGTGTCTCTATCATCTTCAGAGCTAGAGCGATTTTCGAAATGAAAACTCGCGAACAAAACAGAAACAACAAGCGAACGGAAATAAAGCGATTTGATTGGTTTATCGAACGGATACAAACACACCTGGCTTTTGGTTCGTTAAGCGAACGCTCGGCTGAAAAAACTTCATGCCCGAAGAACTTTCTAGAAATCGCTTTGACGTCATACTATAACACGATTGGTCAATCGAACAATGCCTTCTCCATATTAGGGTTTTCTTAGGCGGGAAAACGAAGAATCCATGTTTTGTTCTTTTCATCCATTGGCTGATAAAACAAATAACAAACACTTACCGAAACCATTTTTCAAGGAAATACGAAAATCACTCTATCGCCTAACTGAGAGCTAACTTAGCATTTTAAAATAAATAAATATATAAATATACTGGAGTGATGAACGACTAATAATAAAAATAATAATAACAGTTATTTCTATAGCGCCATTTCCATTGCTGTAAAATCCATATGGGTATTGACGTGTCTTACAATAAGTAGTACTGCACTACAACGATGCTGAACTGCAGAATTCATATTGTCTGTGGCAGGAAGTAACAGCGAATGCTTCAGGTTAACGAGGAAAGTAACTTCCGAGATGGCAAATATGCGTGCACACAAGAGTAACCTCAATATTAACAGGCGGTATAGTTTGTCAAGTCATTGAGCAGCGAAACAAGGCCTTTAAACGGGTTGGGTGATGGTATTTTCAATGCTTTACCTAATTATATTTTTTTTATCTGCGAGCTTTAAACTACAAATGGTTTTAAAAGAGAAACGTCTTTTATAAGAGGGCTGATTAAAGTAAAGGCGTTTTTGAGTGCAGCACGTCTACCGGAAGTGATGCATTTTAAGTTTTTAAATATCCCGTGACGCTAATAACTTTGTATTACTAAGTGTCCTTACTCTTACAGAGACGATTTGCCGAACGCAATTTATGGGCAAAACCATGAATGGCAAAAGTCCACTTCCGGTTGATCGACGTGCGTCGCTCAAAAACGTCTTTGCTTATGCTCCCCGTTGAAAAAAGTTGGTTCACTGTTTTTAAAGTTTATCTGGAAATAATCAGTTTTTAACTTCTTAAGTTTGCCTATCCTTGCTATTTTTTGACTTTTCTGTGCTTCTTCTTGTGATTTCCTACGGTTTCAAGTACTCATTTTGATGTTCAGGTTTCATGCCTGGGGCTCCCCTCCCCTCCTGTCCAGAGGCTCCTTCTTCCCCTTCCCATCTCCCAGAGTCTGTGCACGTACGGTCGTACCGTCACGAGTCTATCACGTGATTACCGAACGAAAAAGGCTGTCCATCTATAGAGCGTTTTCATTCACATGGCCAGCATCTATGCAAATTTATTGGAACAAAGGAAAGCGTTTGCATAAGAAAAGAGTTCAACTCTCACGGGACTGGTTTGGGACACCAACATGACCGCCGTTTCATTGTTTTGGGACACCAATATGGCCACCGTGACGTCATGTGAAAACACTCTATAAAAAGCTGTACTGATCCAAAGGGTTAGCATTAGGTAACATCGGCTGAAGTCAGCTTGTTTCTTTCAGTAAAATTACATGAAGAACAACTTAAGTCCAACTTTACTGTGTAATATAAAAGTGAAGTAGAAAAACTCCACTGTGATGCTTTGAACCCGGGTCACTTGCTTTATAGCCTACATCCATATCCACTACACCATCGAGGACTAGCTGCCAAATCCAGTAATTTTTAAAATTTACATGTTCTTATATATGCCGTACCCCATTACAATATTTGAAAGCTAACCGTTTTCAGTTCAGTGCTTAACCCTAATCACTGCAGATCACTGTGTTCTCTCCATAACTGGCGCTCTGTAGTTTTGGTTTCTTCAGCTATTCTAGCCTCATTCTACATTCCAGTCTCGTTCCATTATGAAAATAATGCGTTGTGTAAAATTCATAAGGTGTCCAATCTGGCTTCACTCGATGTGAAGCTAACCGACCCAAAGCAGCTATAATATGTGACTGATCCGTTATGGTCTGAAATTCCCTAAAAAGTGCCAATAGTGATGAATTTGTTAACGTTTTCCCAATTAATTTTCTCACAGGTTCCTTGACAAAAAACAACTTCTAAAAATGCAGTGCTTTGATTGAAGATTATGTTTAGTGACTTGACTTCTGCGATCACACAACATTCACCTGTCATTAAATGGAAGGTGAATTAGTGTGACTGAGAAATCAAACCCGTCCGTCACCGAGAGCTCACTAATTCTTAACTACAATGAACTGCAACTAGTAAAGCCTTGTTTTATATCTACCAACGCAAGTACAAGTGAAGCAAAAACCCAGGCACAGACAATTGCCAGACATGTTATAAAGACAAAAGCACCGATTACTGTATCTAGCAGGTTACTGTGACGCACAGCCTTAGACATGGAAAAGTTGTGCACTTGGCCTCATTTTGAAAGTGAGGGTTTTTGGAACTCAGAAGTGGCCTATTCGCCACAAAATTGAAGGAACCTGGACCGAGTTAAGTTTCGCAAAGGCATCGGGGACTGTTACTAGGGACATGGGAAAAATTGGCCAATTGCGGGACACATTTCGGCTCCAGTCCCTTTCTCTTTTCTAAAGTCGGTGCCCAATTGGCGGCTCTGCAATTGGTCAAGCCAGTTGTTTGATTATATTTGCGCGCGCCGTTGTCACTGCCGTCGTGTTATCTTTGCTAAATCTGCCTATTAGCGGTATGCATACAACCTAGATTACTTAAACACCAAGGCACTTCACTGAGATGAACACAACAGGCTACGCCCTTACCAGGTGGTGAGCTTTCCAACCAGCAGGCAAACAACCGCTGTACAACTTCGCACAATCTGCGGCCTCGGCCACTCCAAGCAGCAGACATCTGAGCCCAATGAAATGAAAGCCAGCGGTAAGTAGCGCTTCTATGATCTCTGCATAGCTGATACTAGCTCCCCGCCGACTGCTATGCTGAGCTCGGCAATCGAGCATTTGCGGCAGTAATAATAAACAGTTGATCTCGAGCAAGGAACTTGGCAATAACGTCATTCCTGGGCCAGTATCGACTTTGGCTTGTTCTTCAGCGGTTAGCTCCACCAGCTCTCTTTTGGCTGTGACGCTGAAAATATCGTCCAGTGCGAGGCATGGGATCTAGAGGCCGAAATTAAAACCGTTGAACACGCATGAAATGTAAAAGTAATCCTAGTTTATTGTGGCTTTTATGCTGCGAACTATACCGACATGGGAATTTTTGTGTGCACAATCCGTGACAATATATTTGGCTTCCTGTAACTATTTTCTTCTTCTACTGAATACACAACAGCTGACACGATTTGCTGATGTACAATCTGTTTGGCTAATGTTAACGTAAAAAGGTATTGGAGAGTACTTATAACCTGATCAATAAAAACAGCTAAGATACTAGACAGCGATTGCGCCTAATTGAAGCGAATTGGCTGACCGACATAAAAGCAAAATCCAGCAAGAAGAACACACCCTACACCAGCTCTACGGTATGAGTCCCACTCTTCCACTGTGATATAGCTGTGCGCATGCGCAGGTACTGGCCATAGCGCGAAAATCACGGAGTTGCTGCTTTCAAACCTTTTTGTTGAATTTTTTTTCGTTTTTTCTTACTGACATACCTCTTCCGCCTTGAGGTCGATGGAAGGTGGACAGCAAATGCCTTCAGCAAACAGAAGCTTCACATCTCTGATAGCTTCCTCGTATGTAGCAGATCCTGAGATAAAGTGACCGTGTAAGAAATTATGAGTATGAAAAAACCTTCAAATATGTTGAGTAGACTGGTAAACAAGTGCATTCAAGATTCGGAAACTCCTATTTTAGTTTCTTTTGTTGTTGTTGTTTTGTTTTAGAGGTTTTAGTATTTTAAAGCAAGGCTGAGGTCGAGCGAATCAAATACCAGGTGAAAGACTGGCTATCATTTCAAGTACAACAAAGATTGCCGGATAAAGGTACAATCTTGAACAAATATGTTAAAAAGAATGGAGGTTGCCATGTAGTCACTGGCAATTACAAATTCTAATCCCCCCCCCCCTACCCTTGCGAAAGAAACAAAGTCCCCCTGGATTATTCTCCCCCAACCAACTGAACAACATTGACCAAGGTGGGGTGGGGGAACGGGTCGTTACGAGACAAATTCCGCGGGATGGAGGCCCTCCGGGTAACAAAGGGTAAAATTTTTAACACTTTTTGTCAAAGATTGTAGCTTCTGAATATTACTGAAGAGAGAAATAAGACTCTATGCGTGACAAAAGGTGACAGAAACAGATAATACAGAGCTTAAACAAAGGCGTTTTTGAGCGACGCACGTCAACCGGAAGTGAGGTCTTTTTCATTTTAAAGCACCTTGACGCTACCAAATTTGTATTTCTAAGTGTCTTTACTACTAAAGAGACGATTTGTCCAAACATTTGGGCCAAACCACCGTCCAAAAATGAAAAAAAGACCACTTCCGGTTGACGTCTTTGCTTAAGCTCACTATTAAATCTTTTAGCCAAGAAAAATCAGCCTAAGATTTTCCCCATTTTCTGTCACGTACCGTAAAAGGCATTTCGAACAGAATCCTCTCCAAATGAACCTCGTAGAAAGAATTGGGACTGTCGCTTGGCCAGACGAGCATCACTGGGTCCCAGTACCTTTTGAAGACGCCCCACAGCGTTTTCACGCTGAAGACAGAGCGCCAAGACAGGACCGGAAGTCATGTAACTTACATGACGCTGAAGGTCTTTCTCCTGCAATGTCACATCATGTAATTCAGTGAAAAGGACGAGAGAATAAGGAGGTAAATTATTGTCCATTCAAAATATTTCGTTTCTGATTGGCTCACATCCCACGGCGCATTCTTCATAATCTGATAGCTTGACCAAATTTGGAAGACGTTTGCGATATTCCGAAAATGACGTCACTAGTACAGAATAATCACCAGACAAGGGGAGGGCAGCCGAGTAGCCCTGGGGACGAGGTTGCAATGTTTTGGTAGAGCAGTAAATGTTCGATTAAACGGAAACATAAACTCTGGTGATCTATGGTGAGATCCATATGGCCAAAATTTCCGATCTTTTGCAACTGTCGAAAAAATAAGCCAAAATCTAAATACAAAATGTGATAAAGCTTGCTGATTTCTTCCCATCTGTCTCATTCAACGTTGATTTTCAAGAAGTTGAAGCCCAAATACTCTTGTGGAACCAACATTGGGGAAGGTGGGGGGGAGGTAAGGTGTAGTACGTGTGCTCGTACAAAGCCCTCGTGTACTTCGTGTTTTGAGAAGTCTCTTTAGTTTGACTGACAGTGTAGTTCAGTTGAGCTTTCACTCCATTCCTAAACGAGTGACGACTAGAACATGTTACATCTTTATACAGTTTTCCTTTCCTTGTATCTAAGTTTTCAATGTCACAAGGGTCAACTAAATTGCTTAAGGAACAAGAAACTAACTCCATAACGCTTATAAAATTGGTTTGCAGAGAAATCGCCCACTCCTGGTGATGTTTCGTATAGAAATAAGAGGAAAGTTTGTCAGTCCATTCTCACCTGATTAGCCATCAAAGTGGATGCGTCTACAGACGACAGGATCATCATCTTCATGCCAGCCACGGAGAATCCCTCCTGACCAAGGCGTTTGAGCACTTTGCCAAGATGCTTACACGCGATGCCTGGCTTCAGAATACATACTGTGGGTATAACGCGGGGTTTTTCCAGCAAGCTCTGGAGTACTGGCATATCCTCATATCTTAGCGTCTCCACACTGCCAAAAGAGGCCTTCAATGGTAAATTGCTGAGACCCATTCTTCGGTTTCTCTGTTTCCTAGAACCGTCTGCTTCATTCAGGGACTCACTGCTACCACTAGAACCACTTCTAACTACTCTCCGGGGTGGGGGCAGGAGGTGAAGGTTCCTACGCGCTGATTGGTCGGAGAACAATTCCCTGTCAAAGAAAACGACTGACAGCTGCCGGCAAGCCAGTTCAGGCGTGCAGGACATGAGCATTTCCTGGGAAATGATTTCTTTAGAAAGTTTTGCTTTGGTCAGATCTGAATGCGATTTTACAAAGCGTTGCAGTCGCACAAAAGCATCGACTCCTCTCAGAGCTAAGACCAGTGCAGGGCCCGATGTGAGGCTTTGGAGGCTTCTTTTCCACAACGCATCACCAATCTTACAGGGGGTAAACTCTTTAGCCTGATGCATGGATAGCGAAGGGAGAAGTTTGAGACCTAAAAGTTCAAATCCACAACTGGAAGACAACTTTTCTTTCGTTGTCTCTACCCCTTCTCTTTCTAGAAGAAGCTCACTAAGAACCTCTCCAGCAGAGATGGTAGCTTTCTCCTTCAACAGCGTTACAACGCAGACTTGCTCTAGTTCAGGATTTGAGTGAAACGCATGCCTCAGAAGATCCACAGGGTAGGCAGCTGGGTCCGGAGAATGAGAAAAATCACCGCCAAGGTGTTTGAACATGGAGTCAGTATAAGGCACGCAGAGAAAACTCGACTGAGGCAATCCGATGGAGTCTGCAAGTGGTTTAAGAACTGATATGGGATGATGAATTGCGTTTTCACGTCTGAGTAAGAGAATTGTAGAAGACACTGGGAAAGGTGTCTTTGAGACGCCATTCGATTGCTTTTCACGTCTGGGACAAAACGTGGATAAAACTTCAGGCGCAAGACCCAATCCGCCAAAGTGATTGGGATTTAGTCGCAAGCGCTTAATACCTTGAGGACTAAAGCCTTTTTCAAAGCACATGCAGAGCACCTTTCCTAGATACCTAATGGGAACAGCCGGTGAAAGGACGAAGAAAATGCTTGTGTCAATGACTGAGGTCAAAAAGTGCGGTGGCGGTCTGCAAGTGGTGTAAAGGGAACTCGTAAGAAGTTCCTGGGCTTTGGCAGCATTCCGTCCCTTTCCACTAGGCGAAACTTTATTTTTCTGATCATGCACCTCCAAAAGGTCATTAGACCCGATGTTTACAACACCACTTTCCGGGACCCGACCTCCAAACCATCGTGCTAGAGAGGTCCCCGCACTCTGCGAATTTCTTGGGCACCAAAATAAGTGGTCTGCCTTTGCTCCGTTGCTGTACAGGGCTCGTAATGAGTTGGGGTCCGTTCGTTGTGCGAGTTTAGCATCCACAGGACCTACCTCGTCCTGCCACCTTGAGATGGCATGGGGACCACGAAGTGCAATCACCAAGACGGAAATCTCGGCTGGCGTTTGTTCAGGTAGCAATGAGATCGGAAGTGGAGACTCATTCGCTGTGAAAACAAAAACAGCCCTTAATTAACTTATTGATTGTGCTCGTTGTGTTGCAAAGCACGCAGGAACCGACTAGAGGACGAGAGAAGTGTGGGAGAAACACGAGAAGTCGTCGAATGTTTCTCTCTACTTCTTGAGTGCTTACGCCGCTTTTTAAGTGCTTTACAACACAACAGAGCACAGTCAAGGCTTCTTTATTTGCTTCATGATAAAGAATCCGTTAAATTCTCCAGGCATTACGTTCTTATTTTCAAAACAAACTTTAGCTCCGTGTTTTACACTCACATAAAGCACACTTTTTCAACCCATAAGAGTGCCTGTTATATCTGAACTTTATTAAAGTTTCTCTTATCCTCTGTTCGCTAATATATTTAATCGCTTACTTACAGTATGATTGTTTTGGACTTGTTCAGGCAAAAATCAATTCCAGGTCATAAGAAACTCGCTGTCACAAACAAAGATCTACGAAAAATGCGTCGTTCCAGAGGCTGATCAACTGCAAACAAGGGATCGCTTCCATGAAATATCTACCGTATATTTTAATCTAAGGTTTATTTCTAATTTATTTGAAACTGGCCTTCCTTTGCTTTAGCAACGACGACGGCGACGGCAAAAAGAACGTCTGAATACGCAATAATTTCCTTCAACATTTGCTGAATGGAAAGCAGTCTAAGTCGGTTTAATCGAGAAAATATGGCGCACGCAAAGACAAAATCTACAGTCTATTAATACCTGATTTTTCCTTGGGATATTCTCTGTGGTAAGCCAGCCTTAGACCAGAAATATCCAAAGCCTTGCTGCGTGCGCGCATCAGCACATCAACCAAACAGAACGGCGAATGAAACACCGCATGCTGTAGCAGCATCACCGTGTTCTGAATCTCGGGTCCCTCGCAAATTTTACCTCCGGTTTTCTCTTCAGTCGGGTAATCATCCAACTCCATTGTCTGCCAGAAGAATCCGGGCTTAGCTCCAAACACACGGTGCATGGCCTCGGGGTCCGAGTTCACAGTTAGCAGGGTGGATAAATTCCTCTTGCTTGTCATTATCTCTGTGAGGTATTCGGGAATGGGCGTGAATTCAGAAAAGCGAGCAAAGACAGTGTGTAGTGAATTGGTAGAGAGAAACTTGCTAACAGCCTGTCTAAAAGAGTTGTTTGCTTTGGATTTCTTTTGGTTTTCCCCTATCTCAGCACGACTGCAAATCCCAATGTCAATCTTGAGCTGCCCTTCATGCCAGCTTTGCTGGAAGCCTACGACATAGAAGGGTGCACCACACACCTCAGCATAATCTGTAGTGTTCACACTGGGAGTTACTAAACAGGCCAGAAAGGTTACAAGGTGTGAGAAGCAGTCTGTATCCGGAGTAGTCGCTCCTCTTGTTCCCTGCCGGATGACAGACAGCTCTCCGCAGCTTGATAGTTTGGTGCTTAACAGCAGATAAGAAGTATTTGCGTCATAATCTCGTAAACTGATAACATCCCTCTCGTATGAGGCTTCCTGAGAACAGAGAATGACGGTGCAAATATTACTGATTGAAAGGGATCTTGATGGATTCAACCATACTGATTCAATGAAGGCTGCTTTGGGCATTGGGAATTGCGCACTGCGAAGCTATTGTTTGGTGGTCTCTTACATGTACCAGGGTTCGTACACTTTTTCAGGCCAAAAATTCAAGGACTTTCAAGGACTTTTTTAATGACAATTTTACCTCAAAACCAAGAAAAGGGTTTGTGTTAACATCTACGTTTTGGGTTTACAGATAGTGCAGAACATTTTCGAACTTGTTCAATAAAAACTCAAGAACTTTCAAGGACCGAAAACGAAATTCAAGTACTTTCAAGGCCTTGAAATTGGACTCCTGAAATTCAAGGGTTTTCAAGGGTTTTCAAGACGCGTACGAACCCTGATGTACATTGTAAGCAGGTCATTGCAGTGAATTCTATCTGCCCAATGCTTAAAGCCCAATGGCCAATGACCTATTGCCAAAGCAACGTTTATTGAATTATAGCTGTCATGATTAGTAGTGCGTTAGAGACACATGATAGTATTTGGTTTGTTCTCATTAGGGTACATCTCAGACATCTTCATCTGAAAATTCCCCCGGAAGTCCCCACTATATAAGCCATACAGGTATGTGCCGCCCCAAAGGGTATGGTTTTTGCGACGTTTCCGTCTGAAAACGGATATAAATTAGCACATTTTGGTCTGGAAATGGGTATGGCTTTCGAGGAAACTACGGAAGTGTATAAACGTATTTATCGGTTCAATTCCAAATGAATCATAAAGAAAGAGTAATATGTGAATTCGGAATGGATTTTAATGAATCCTTTTTGATTGAGCTCTGGTCAAAGAATGATGACTTAGTTTCTACCTATACCAGGTCTGAAAACGGGTATGGATTTAAGACGCTGGGCCTGAAAACGGATGTGGAAAATGACATTTTTTTGTCTGAAGTAGGGTAGTATTTGAAGAACGGGGCGGCACAACCCCACCAAGAATTCCCAGGAATAGCCCCTGGGTTTTGTCAAAAGTGACTCCCTCCTAACCAAGTCATCAGGGACTTTACGAAACTATGATGGCGATAGTAACAGGAACGCTTAAAACTCAGTAGGTTTATGAAGCAAAACAACAACTCGTGGACTCGTGCACGTGGATCAAAGTTTTTTGTAAAATAATCTCTATGCCGCCCCAGCACAACTAGAACGTGAAAAGCAAAAATTGGTGGTTGAATTAGATTCTGATCAGTCATTTACAATACCTCATGGAAGAGAACAGGTGTTAAAGGAGCAGCTGGGTGGTGCCCATGGGAAGATCTCTGAGGTTTTAAGTTCTGGAGACTCCTTAGAAGTCTCTGCCTTTTCGACTTCTCCTCTTCTGTAAGTACTTGTTTATGTGTAACATTGGCCTTCCTTAACTCATGAGTCTTTGATGAGCTCAGATCCTTCCTGACAATGTCATTGATAGTCCTCAAATCATTTCTCTGACTCGGACTAACCTTGCTATCAACCGTCACCCTATTTTCGTTTTTTGTGAAAGGTGAAGGAGTCTGTTCCTCAACATGAACAAGATCATTTTTTGGCGCTTTCTTGTCTACAATTGCATTGTCTACATGCAGTTTGTCATTTTTAAGATCTGACTTATCCACCCAAGCCTGCTTTGTGCCATGAACTATTTCATCTTTTGACACTCCACATGTCTTTGACAAATTAATATCTACATTTTCTGACTTCTGTGATGTTCCAAGCTCCAGCACCTTCTTTTCATTTTCAACAACCACATGAACAGTCCTTTTGTCAGAAATTGGCTGCACATTTTTCATACGAAATCTTTCAAAAATCTCATTGTTGGCCGGTTTCCTTTGGTCAACCACATTTTGATGCTGAACTGCAGAATTTTTTGTGTGCCTCTCTTTCTGCCTTGCACAAGACAAAGAAGCCTCTTTTGCCCTTCGCCTCTGATCCTGCCAATGTTGAAGGTCTTCTTCCTCATCGGAGCTGCTTGACAAACTGAAAATGAAATAAAAGTCAAGATTATGTTATTAGCTGAAACTACCTTAATAGTGCAGCTTATTTCAAAGACATAGCTCTAACTAAACCCAAACAATCCTTAATAGCAAGCAAGACTTTACAAAAATCAATGCAACCAATGACCACTCTTTTTGATTAAAGAACCTGCTGAACAAATAAAGAAATGACATCCCTAGGGCGGAAAATGGAATTGCTTGAGAAAACGCAATCTTGAAATTTCCAGGGAACAAATTGGATCCTTCTACTCTCAAAAATTAAAACTGGAAAAACAAAGTATGTTACTTACTTGGTGGAATCATTGCTGATACCTAGTATCCTGCATATTGAAGATGGTAATGTCTGGTGACTCTTTATGAAAAAAAGATTAATAAACAGTTATTAATTTATGAGAAAAATATATGGTCAGATCACAGATGGCCCGTTTTTAGGTGAAACCTAATGTTCACACACATTTTTACCAAGACTGTAAATCAAATACAGAAAGATCCAACTTCAGCTAGATCTTATTCTTAGCTGTAGCTTGCGTACTGAAGAAGACAGTGCTAGGCAGCTGAAAGCTTCAATGCTTGGTATATTATTTTCATCTATACTTGTAAAATTCAATTTACTCATTAATAAAAAATATGACCAATCAATATTTATAGTATTTGGTAACTTGTAAAGGTTTGTAAACCGCTACACAATCAACTGTGTTCATGAATTATTTAAGAGTAAAATTCGCTTTTGATATAAACTTTCCTGAGCTTATATCTGGCATTCATTAACTTTTGATACAGACCACTACAGACTGTTCCATTTCACAAGTACAATATGTTCAGTCTGGATGGGCTTAACTATGTTTGGTTTCAGATACTAGGGAGGGGTGTGACATAAAGAAAGAAACAAAGAGGGGAGGAAGAACTGGGGAGAACAGTAAGGGTTGCTCCCTCCTCTTCTCTCTTTGCCTCGCTTGATTTCATTTTCTTTTTTTGCCCTTTTTACTTCAGGCAACTCCCTACTATCTGTATAAGTTTAGCATGACAAAAGATTACCGGTATGTACAGCACAAAACTTGGTCTGAAAACGTAACACAAATCTAAAAGTTTTTATCCTTGTCACTTAACCAGCAAAACTCCATAACAAATAGCATTGCACAACTATCAAGTTATAAAATTATTACATACATACATACACTGTATTACGACTCCTCTATATGGGGCTATTGTGTCATAATATACAATAATAACAAATATACAATAATAAACTTACAATGGGGCAAAAAAAATTTACATCTGTTATAACAAGAAATATTTACATGAGTTTATATACAGTCATAAAAATTTGATTCAATCTAAGCGGAGCTTGCAAGAAAGTGGGCGGCGACTTTCCTTTTAAAACTTTAAAGTCATGATCACTACCTGTGAAGAAGTATCTTCCTCAAGGCTTCTTAAGTCCAGGAACACAGTGTCATTAGATCTGCTTTGAGTGGAAGGATCTAACAATGCTGTGACTCCCACAGAGGCTACAGATGGACTACTCATCACACTAACATCATGCATCTTGTGGACAGCACTTTCCAAACTGTGTGGTGATAGGTGATCAATGGGACTGTTGGGTTCAGGAGCAGCGTCCTTCTGTTGCTTTCTACTGAGTCTTATAAGCTCTTCCATTAAGCTGTTGCCACTGCCTTCAGAATCACTGTTGTCACTGTCACTAAGGGTGGGTGGAAATACTGGCGAGACAGTAACCTCATTAGTACGCTGGAGAAAATCGCCAAGGTTCAAGTGCTCTATCAGATCAAATCTAAGCTCCACTTTATCAGGGTTATTGACATCTTGAGAAAGTGTTGAAGGAGATAAGCCTTTGGATTTAGAGGCTTCAGAAAACAGGTCAGTATCAGCTGGAACTGTCAGTTTTTCTAGAGTTGATGGCAACCCAGCAGATGAAGAGTCAATCAATTCAATACTATCCTAAAGTAGACAGTAAATGAATAAACTGTTAGAAAACTTAAATAAATGGCTAACAATAGGGAGTTTAAGAATCACGTATACGGCAGACGTCAGATTCCAGTTCAGAATTTCTCAAAGTAGAAAATAAGCAGATAAAAACAGCTCAATTATTGTTGTTGAAATAATGAACAGTAAATGACAAAAAGGCCCATATTCTGCCCAACTCTTTCCTTGAGAACAATGACAACTTTAGGCACTCATGAACAGCGAATATGAGTAGCACAGGCAGATTCAGATCTACAAGAAAGGGGGGGACCAGGCCAACTCATCTAATACCTACTATCAGAGGGAGGTCTGACCTCAAATTAAAATAATTTTTCTCTCCCCCGCAGGCTTCAGTTTGGCCTAAAAATAGTGATGGCATGGGCAACTTGGGCCTCTCCCATGAGAGCCTTATAACCATGTATAATGTTCTTTTTGCAGAGAATGTATTGAACTCAAAGGCCCATGGGCATACTTTTTCTGTGCCAGTAACCCCAGACTTACAAAGAGGGAATGGAGTATCATCATTGAATGTTATATATCACAGTTAAATTCAGACCTGGGTTGATTCTCAATTTTGCTTGTCTCCCTCATGAATTAGGGCTGGGAGACAAAGGAAATTGAGAGTCAACCTAGGTTAAAAATGTTTACTGAAAACATTTAATTTTGACCTGTAACATATACAGGGTAAGATTGTAGGGAGGAGAGTACCCAGAGAAGCAGATTGTTAAGGGACATTGCATATAAATTGGCAATCACCATGACCTAACTGGTTTGTAAACATGCAGGTCGTTATTACCAATATCAGGGCTTCTGATATTTCGCGGAAAAAAAAGCAAAGTTTCGCGGGATTTTCAGGGGCAAATTCGCGGAAAAATCGGCCGATTTCGCGGGATTTTCGCGGGAAAAAAGTCAAAATTCGCTAAAAAATCGGCCCAGTTCGAGTGATTTTCGCGGGAGTAAAGTCAAAATTTGCAGAAAAATCGGCCGATTTCGCGGGATTTTAGCGGAAAAAGTCAAATTTCGAAGGATTTTCGGGGCAAATTCTTAGAAAAATCGGCCTATTTCACGGGAAATTTTTGGGGGAAACTTCGCCAAGAAACAATCAGTAAAAAACAGCCGATTTCGCTGGATGTTTTTGGCAAATTTCGCTAAAATCGATCAATTTTGCGTCGATATGACCAGCATTGTTTAACGTTTTTTTAACAGGGATAATCACTTGCTCTTTCAACAACAGTTCGCTCAAGAAATGAGCGAATGCTAAAGCTGTTATCATTATGGTTAGTGCCCAGTTTTTCGCAACGTTCATCTAAGACGCCTGGTAGTTTATTTTGAGACGTTGTTTACTAGTTGCAGTGACGCAGTTTCAAGATAAATTTGGACGTTTGAGGTGAATAGAACAGGTCTAATAGCCAAGATAAGTATTAAATGTGTTTTGCCAACATGTATTTGGAAATATTTCTGGCGGATTTCGGGGTATTTCGTGTTTTCTGGGGAATTTCGCGGGATTTCGCGGGATTTCGCGGAAATACCTGAATTTCACGGGTCCGCGACCGCGCGAATTATCAGAAGCCCTGCAATATGTTGCACACCTTTCAAAAGATTTTACCACACAGTTTGGTGAGAAACTAAAAAATTTTTAACCTCCCCTTTATCGTACAGTTATAAAGAGGATACATGGCAGTGCGGAGATATGAAATTTCTCTTCGAGTTTTGAAAAATATTTCACGAGTGAACACAGCGAACGAGTGAAATATTAGTTTCAACGCGTCAGAAGAGAAATTTCGTATCTCCAAGCGACCATGTAATATTCTATTTATTATATAAACACCAATAAAATGCCAAACCATTTTACTTAAAAAAATTTTTGGTCTGAAAGGTGCGGTTTATTATAAAGCCATAGCAATGGTAATATTTTCACATGTGAAGATAACATGTTATTTTCACATGTGAAGAAGTTAATTTATTTCGTTGGTGTCTATGTAATAAAAAACCTTATCACCTTCAACTCTTAAGTATATCCCCCAAATTTTCAAAAAAGAAAATAAAGGAAAAGAAACCTGTTCACTATCTGAGAGTGACGAGCTGCTCTGTCCATCAGGGCTGACAAGGGACAAACCACTGTCTGAAGCATTGGCAAAAGGAGAAGAGACTTGTTCACTGTTTTTAAGGCTAGTTTGTGCCAAAATATCTGGGGACAGTGGCCATGCTTTTCTTGTATACAACACTGGTTCTTCACCGTCATTGCTCTCCTGCAAAGCAATTTTATTGTGAAGTTAAATTGGATTCTAAAAACTTTCCTTTTCACCTTACTTCTGTAGAGACTGTGTTGTTGAAGACAAAAACAGTCAATAAACAGACACTTTTATGATAAAGATCTAGACACACCATCCTAAAACAGACACCTAGAGTTGATCCCTACCTTTCTTTAGTCATTTGATTTTCTAAGAGGCAAAAAACCTCTTATAAGTTTGACACCTCTCTAAAATGGACATCTAGTATTGATTCTGGCTATTCTTAAAGTTTTCTCAGGGTAAGACGAAATTTTTTAAATTATCTTCCCTTTGGACAAGCTATTGGTGAAGTTTACTGGCTTGGAGCAGTCCTGAAGGCCTGTGAACCCCTTGTTCCCTTACATTTACTTTATTTTGCTTGCCTGTAGGACAACTCGTAATAATTTAACTTGTATTGGAACAAACTAACCCAGTGGGTTGCTCCACTAGCCCCAAGCTATTTAGTCTCCTTCATGTCACTTTAGGGTCATCACTTAACGCTCCTCCCTCCTCTTTTGGGAAGGACTATTGTGTGATGACCCTAAAATCCAGTGCTACTTCTATTTGAAATGACTCTCAATTTGACTCTCAATGCTGTGCACCGCTTTAAGCCTGAGTCCCAGTTTTCAGGGTTGTCTACTCTCAGTTGTTTTTTGTGAAAACGAGTCAAACATAATTTCCATGCAGCTGAATACATTATTTTTGCTTGCAGCAATTTCATATTATTTCACTCAAATAGTCAATACAATAGAGTCGAAACATGCATCCATAATAAACGCATGGGGTCGTGCGGAAATCTTACCAAGTAGGTTCTTTTGACGTGATTGAACCTTAGTTGTTTGATATCGACTGTTCGTTAAACCTTGAGAGTAAGTGTACATGTTGCCTAAGCAACAAAGATTGTCACAAGCTCTCTGGCGGTTCAATTTTTAACGTAACTTCAAGGAAAGCAACTTTAGTACAATATTGCATCTTGTTATTCCTTACCTCTGAAGAATCTTCTAAGTCCAAGGTAGGAATACTAGCTTGAATATCAGCGAAAATGTCATCAAACACAGGCTTCAATTTACACGCACCGGCGGCAGTTTCAAAACCTCCAGGAACCCCATGAGAAACTTCCTCCTCCAAACTTTCATCGCTGCTGGAGACAACCTCCTCTCTCTTCCACATAACTTGTTCAGAATTAAGGAACTTTAAAGAAACTACCTCTGGCTAGCTTGCATTTGCACAAAACAACAATAAACTAAAGAAAACGAAATGAAAGTGTTTATAGCTTGGACAAAGTCTGACGCCATCTTGTCAACCGCAAACTCTCGCCAGGCCTCTTCCATCACGCGGTATTCAAGATGGCGATTTTCAGTGTGTACATCTTGAATCGAGCCGGGGGACTTATTTATCATTACGATCACGTTACGCCAAAAAGCGAAGTGGAACAAGCATTTAGCTATCCTTTAGACATTGTGCTACGCGAAGATGATAAAATAACAGTGATTTTTGGTGAAAGAGATAATATAAAAGGTAAGTTTAAATTCAATGATCATGAGACATCTTATTTCCACTCAGTTTATAAAGTTTGTACAATGTAATTATATTAAAAACAATAAATTTCCTTTAAATTAGTTGGACATGCCTTGTTGGCGATTAATGGCGAGACCGTCACAGGAAGGCGTCTGTCTGATGGGAGAGAAGCTATGGAAGTTATCAGAGATCCGGCAAACTACCCACTTAACTTGAAGTTCGGTCGGCCAAAGCTCACAACCAACGAGCGCATTATGTTAGCAAGCATGTTTCATCCGTAAGTCAATCATGCTTGAGACTAAATTTAATGTTATAGTGCACCGACAAAGAAATAACACAATACACAAGGCTTTGAAGATGATGTGAACTGTGGAAATACCCGGAAATACAAATTTAAATGTAGATATGATCGCTGTAGTGGTAATCGCAAATATGGGGAATTGCAAATTAACCTAAGAAAAATTTGGGGACTTCAACGGGATTTGAACCTGTGGCCTCTGCGTTAGTGCTGCAGTGCTCTACCAGCTGAGCTATGAAGACCCATACATTGGGAGCAGGCAAATTTGTTGAGTTCATCTTAACCCGTGAGAGGAATGAAAAATAGAACGAAGATGATCTGGATGGCTTTGGTGGGAGAAATTGGGCAGGGAAAATGCAGCAAAGCATGGATAGAACCCACCAACTGGATAACCCATCGGATGAGGGGTCTCGGCACATGGCTCCAAGGGGGTGCCTCATGCCTGTACTGAAAGGCAAGCATGATTCACACATCCATGTGGCTGGAATTACTTGTATGTCCTTGGTTAAGTAAACCAAGTCCAGCAGTATTCCCATCTCTCCCCACCCCCTCACAGGGATTTAGCAGAAGGCTGAAGGGGTCCCGCAGGCAGCGATTCCCCGCCCAACCCCCCCAAAAATGCCAAGTAGAACAAAGGATTAAATTAACTGCAAGTAGAACAAGAAGTTCCAGTCCTAAAACAGGGGTTTCAATAAGTTTTTGCATAAGTGGGTACTTAAGAGTAACAGGCGGGTATATTTGCCGAAGGTCCCAAGGGCCTTCGACCATAGGGGGATCCGGGAGCATGCTCCCCCGGAAAATTTTGAAGTTCTAGACTCTCGCAGATGCATTTTCAGGTCTTTTTTTGTTGCTTTGTTTTTACATTTTTTTGCTCCTAAGTCAACTAATTTAAACAAATTGGAAGAGAATTATGTTACAATGAAGTAGTCATAGTCAAAACCTATTTTGCCAAATTTTTGGGCAAGAATTCGAAGCTGAGATGAAATTATCTGGTCTTAGTTGACGTTCATGTGAAGGCTCCAAGCGGGTAATCAGCCCGTTGCAAGCGGGTAGATCTACCCGCTTCCCGGCTAATATTGAAACCCCTGTAAAAGACCCTCTCTCCAGTTAAATGCAAGGGGGGGAGGTGGGGGTGGGTGGGTGCTTACTCCAGGTGGCTTGGTTTTGGTAAGATCAATGATAAGTGACTTAGAGGTAACCCCTGCTGACCCCGCTGAGGAATGGAATAGAGTGAAGCATTGGTGGAGAAAGGGGGAGCCAGGTAGCGAATACCTCATGGATTAGAGCAAGCTAACTGGGTGCATTTTATGTGAGTTATGCCCTAGCATAATCTTACCACTTTTATATGTAACTTGATTTGTTTGCAGGCTGTATGCAATCTCTGCTAAACTGTCTCCAGAACAAAGATCTTCTGGAATTGAAGTATTAGAAGCAGATTCCTTTAAACTTCATTGCTACCAAACACATACTGGTAGGTTCTAAAAAGATTTAAAGATGTTTTTTGTATAGTTTGTGAACGGATCAAGAAGATATCGGGGTCAGATAAAATATGGGAAAGGTCAATATAAATAGCTAATGGCCAAAATTCCTCTCTGTCATTTCCTGACAAAAAGAACTTATATACCATACTACTAAGAATGTAATTAAAGAGCATCAGTCGATATTATTTTAAAATCATGAGTGTATGCAAGAAAACTTAGGAATTTTGATGAAGAAGTTGTTCACTAGCCTGATAGATTTCTTACAGTTAAATTTTAATTTCAGACGATCTTTAAAGGATAAGCACCAAAATTTTCAAACTAGCTGAAATTGTTCCAGCTCATGTACAAGTTAAATAAAATGCCTTCTGATGTAAACAGTTCATCTTCTTGGTGAAATTTCTAATATATTAATAAATTCCATATCAGCCATATCTGCATATGAGTTCAAATTTACTCTCTTTGTGCTTGTTGAATTTCAACAGGATTAAAGTTCATAGTGCTAACAGACCCAAAACAACTTGGAATGGATATATTCTTAAAAAAGATTTATGAGCTTTATTCGGATTTTGCCCTGAAGAATCCATTTTACTCACTGGACATGCCCATAAGGTAACAACAAAATGATTTTACAAAACTTTATTTAACCAGGAATTGTTTGAGCTTAAATGAGGAGTAACTTTCAGATAAAATTATGTTGCCTTAAAATGCAGTTAGTGATGTCAGAATACTACTTACATATAACTATTATAAACTAAGAGTACATTTAACCCTTTAAGCCCTAAGAGTGATCAGCATCAAATTTCTCCTTGTAATATCAATGCTTTGTAAAACAGAGTGGTCATGAGAATTACAGACATGATCACACAAGATGAATTTGATTGATATTTTATCAACTTCTCCCCACTAATTCTGTAGGAAATGAAAAGGGGCAACAAATAAGATATAAATTTTTGATCTTAGGGTAGGGTAAATGTCAATGTATTGAGCATTGTTATCTATTGAGGACACTGCTTGTACATCTCCTATTAAAGATATTTGTTTACATGGTCATCCAAGCCACGTGAAGGTCTAGCCATTTGCAGGGCAAATGGATGGACCTTGATTTATAAAAAGGGTCTTTGCTAAATAGCAAAGTTATTGTTTTAAGCTTGAGAACAGGTGCTTAACTTGTATTTTTGGTTTGCAACCATGTGACAAGGTGGCCATGTTGGTAGACAAAGCAATACAAATTTTTGTTCGCAGAATTTGTATGAAAAAGGGGTTTAATTCCCAGCAGAGGGAAACACTGTTGTTCTTGTCAATTGACATGGCCGCTGTGACGTCAACAGTGAACCAGCAATAGTGCTGATTTAACTAGGCTTCTCTCTCTTTAGGTGTGAACTGTTTGACACAAACTTACAGAGAGCGTTGGATCAGGCTGAGAGGTCAAGCAATCCCTCTTTAGCTTAAACAAGGAAGCTACATTATGTGTGGAGGAACATGAACATGAAACCCCTAGCAATAATAATAAAAGTGACAATGATAATAGCAAAGGTCACAATGAAGAAAAAGCTTTTGTCAATCAATTCAAGATTTAATATGGAGTTTGGCATAACAAGCAGAGACACACTGCATACAAAAGATACCACATACAAGTAATAATGCAGGTTTTGGTTGAAGATCAGTCACATTTTTAGCATGCTTTCCAACAAAAGATGCAAGAAGGCGGAATGGTTAAGCTGTGTAAATACAAAAGAAGAAACGTTTACCTTAAAACTATGTATTGTTATCAAAAGTATCCACTCCTAAAACTGATCTTTTTCTCCTACCCAATGACAGTTTGCTTGGCTAGAACACACCTATACCTTAAGTGACCAAACTTTTGTGAAAAACAAAATGCTATCTGAATTTTCTTCTAGAGTGTTTTGACAATTAAGAATTTTAATATTATTTTAAGTGCATTTGTTTGGATAGAAAAGCAAAGTGGTAACTAGGGTCAAATTCTTTTGTATGCATGTAATAATAATCAGGAAATATTAATGTAAACATAAAATAACACTTCATGTACATAATAACTTTAAGAAAGTCACATTACAAATGAGAAAAACTGCTGAACGTCTTTGTGGATTGTTCATCAGAAAAACACTTTTCATTTTACTGTGACCAATTATTTAGGTGTAAGATACTAAGCAGTATGCTTATTGCGCTTGAAACTTGTTTGATTTTTACTTTTGTGTCAGTGGGCAAAATCCTAAAATGAAACAATTCAAAAAAAGCTTCTAAGCTGTATGCCAAAGAAATACTGTTGCCAGTGCCACAGAGGGAAATAAACTTCTGGTTAAGTCGGTCTGCAAAACAGCACTGAAATCTGTGTACAAGGAGTTGAGTATGTGCCACAATTGACCTGGTAAAAAGCCATTGTCATTTTGCCAGTCAGGTTGCAGGGAAATTCAAAACACATTTTCATAATTTGCTGAGCCATTGAAAGCCCAGAACAAGGATATTGGCTCTTCTTCACAGACATAACTAACAAGGGTTATATTACCCCTGTGACACATTAAAATCCTGAAGTCTTATCACAAAGTGAAAACTTCGGAATAGTGATTTTTCATGGTGCTGACAGTGCTGTTTTCTATCTATAGTTTAAGAATTCCTAAAATGGTCAAGTTTGTTCCTTAGTAGTCTCAGGGGCAGCCTTAGAAGCAGTGTTGACCGGGGTGGGCTTCTTTAAGTTTAACAGTTGAACAGGAACATTAAGGGGGTTTAAAGAGAACAACTGGGATTTGGGACGGCCAGAATTACTGCCTGCATCAGAACTGCCTTGTCCAGTGGTTCCTGCGGCTGTTGCCATGATTTCTTTGGACTTATTAACTACAAATTGAACTTGGCTGCTTATATCATGACCGGCAAGCCGTCTTTCTAGGTCATTTAATAAATCCAGAATGACTGATGCATCTGAAGCAAGAAATAAGGGAACAGATGAGGATTATGTAAAAAAAAAAAGACTCTTTATTTGAGTGTCAAAGTATTTAGCACAAAATTACTAATTGGGGACACTATTTTCACATCTCCAACTGGAGATGGGAATAGGACCACTATTTTATATGGTCATCTGAGCCACGTAAAGGTCCAGCCTCTTGCAGTGCAAAGGGAGTACCTTCATTTCTCAATCATTTTAAGACCCTGAGTATTGGTCTGGCCCCAGGAATCGAACCCACCACCTTCTGCTCTGCAGTCAAGCGCTCTACCGACTGAGCTGACACTGTCACAGTAAATTCATAACACTTAATTATAAATTATGGTAAAGACGTAAATTATAATATCAGACACAAGGAGTGTTACCCATCCAGGCAACTACACTGGGCCCATAGGTAGGATTTTAGTTAAGTAGGTGCTTAGGAGCCTTAAAAGTACAAACCAGTTAGTGGGGGTAGGGGGGTGGGTCCAGGAATATCTCAAGTTGCACATGGCATTAAGGTGGCCATATTAGTGTACCAAATCAATGAAATGGGGGTCAGTTTGGTTTACTAAAAAAGTCATATGGGTTGGGTCTCATTTCTCATGTAAAAGCCTCCTTTTGTTCCAAGACATTTGCATGACAGCTGACTATATGTGTGAAAATGATCTATTGTCCACCGCCAGATAAAAGATATCACTGGTAAAACATGAAACTCTTAGAGCACCTTTCAAAGACTTTGTCTGTGAACCTTGGGCTTACACTGCTGAGGCAGTTAATAGATTGCAATCTTTAGGAAAGTAAAACATTGCTACCACTTGATCTTGGCCAGATAGAGAATAGCTAAGTACGTGACGAGTTTGGAACCAACAGGGGGACCACAGCAGTCAATGCAGGGGGGAAACGATGAATGTGCACCTGTTGCATCCCTCTCCCTACAAGCTAGCAAACACTGAGAGACATTAAGTTGTCATAATGCATGATACCACTTACCAATTGGGGTAAGGTCAGGTGGTGGCTGTTCTCTCATGACTCTACTGAGCAGTGTGTATATCTGACTGTAGTCCGGTGCTGGGTTGCCTGTTGATCAACCACTTGATTATTTTGAATAAAGAAGTGGTCATTACTTTAAGTGTGAAGATATTTTTTATCAGCAATGGTGATGTTGTCAACCACTGCGGTACACATTGTCCTTCTCAGTAAATCAACACTATCGCGTGACGAAGGCCTGCAGTACGTGGCTGAAATGCTGCGATCAATATCTAATAATGTCTTATTTTGGTCCAAAAGTCACTGCTCATTATAGACACAAGAATGCTGATTTGAATTATTTAATACCATGCAGCAGCAACAATTCAACTTACACATTCAATTTTTAAAATAATCAATTCACTAAGGAGTATGCTTGACCTGGCTTGACTGTATTATTATTATATTATAATCACTGGTACATCTGACATCAAAACTAAGAAATATTTATATAATTTGGTTTTCTTACCGGGTTCTGACTGAACTGGTTCCATGGCAGCGATTGTCATAATCTATACAGTGAGCAGGAAGTAGTAACAATTTTTAACAAAGACTGCAAAAAGTACAATACACTTCCTTCCCACTGAGCATTTTCACAACTACACCTCAGCTCAAGTTGGTGTGACTACATGTGTGCAGGGACACAGTATTCATTTATGGGAAATCACTTGGCGTAAACAACATTATTAAAGAGTTTTCAGGGTATTATTTCTAGTGCCTGTTTTACTGATAAGGGTTGAAAATACAGCTGAACGTGCTCTGGTATAGGTAAACAAGGGTTTCGGGATTCCAGTGGCACCCACCCACCCTAAAATTCATGATCTAAGTACCCCTTGGGGAAGTAGCAAGCAGTCCTGAGCAGATAACATTCAGAAAGAGTAGGCCAGCAGGAGACTTGCCATCTATATAGATTGTGAAAGATGTGATAATCAGCACGTTGCAAGCATGGAAATAATTTGCTTTTTGGTTTAACAACACTGACAGCATCTGTGTCCAAAAATTAAGCTCAATCCAGACAGATAGATTTTAACAAGAATTCTTAAAAAGGTCCAATAGACCTTTGTCAAGGGGCAGCCATTTTGTCTCAAGAGATATAAAAAGCTTTGTTTATGCACGGCTAGCCTCAAAGAGAGAACTAGGCTAGCCGTGCATGAACAAAGCACTTTTAATCTCCTGAGACAAAATGGCTGCCGAGTGACAAAGGTCTATGGTGCGATAACATCTGCTATTGGTGAGAACTAGATGAAAGAGAATTTAAAGTAAAATTGTGTTGTCCATTTTCAACAAGATAAAGATTAGTTGAAGTTAGACCACAGGCCACCCAGCCTTTCAAAGCTGAAACATCCCTGATTGAAGTGGTTATTAGAGGAGTCACTGTTTTGGGTAACTTTGAAAATCCCTTCCAAATTTTATTAAGTTTCTGATGTTTTCACTTTACTATGGGAAGACAAAAGTCCTTGTTTTAATTCCAAAAGCATGTTCCTGGGTCATTTTTAAAATCATTTTTATTTTGCTTTGTTCCAGTTTTGAACTGAAAGTAACAATGTTACTGGAATAATAAAATTGCTGAATAAATAAAATGCATATGAACTTACAACATTCAGGTAAATCTAAATTAATAATTACTTTAAAGGGGAACAATTTACGTTCAAACCACTAAGAAAATAGCTGCTAGGGAGCACACAAAACCACAACATTGGCAACAATAAGAACATCGCTTAATACAGTAATATAAAGTGAATTGCATTCTTTAAAAGCTCCAAAAAATATAATTGCAGGCAAACTAAATTGCTTGAAAACTTTCTCTCATGAGTTCAATGTTGCCTTTGGAAAGTTTCATGTTGCAGTAGAAAACAAAGGCAAGCATTGTGAGTTTCGAAGAGTGTAATGCATGTCTGTCATTAAACTTATAGTTCTTTTCCAATGTTGTCATTACCCTTATTGTTCCGTGAGCTCCCTAACAAATGCAAGAGGTGGCCTTTTTGAGGTCCCGCATACACATACCCATAGGCAGAAACAGTGTTTAACACATACCTGCCTCCATGAGCGGGCAGGACCAAGCACATCCTTTTTCTGATTACTGGATTCTTCATATTGTTCCCCCATAAAGTTATTTTGCCATAATTTATAATAAATCCTTTATTGGCCAAGCTTGTTCAGCCAAGATGCCCGGATGTTAGCCTAGTTTTTGTTGTTGTTTTGTTTTTTCGTGTTTGTATAGACCTCAACAGGAATCAAATAAACGCGACAAAAAAGAACTCAGCTAATATCATCCCACCTTGGCCTCACCACAGGCTTGGTCAGTCACACATATATCTTAAGCCCGCCTTTGATAAACTGCAGATTCCAAGCTGTACTCTCTTCTCAAAAAGTTCCTAGCGTGAAGTATAATCAAATACTAGGGCTATAATAATTTTAAAATTCTTTTTTTCAAATGAGTAGTTATATTTACTGAGCTTAGTATGACTCTAGTACATCACAGTCAGGTGACTGCTACAGATGTACACACAACACATTCAAACAATTTTCTTTGCAAAATAAATTCTATCCAGGTCATACAGGACTTATTTGAGCATTTCTGTATCAATAATATATTATAAAAGTATAAGAAGAAGATTGACCTTTAGGTCTTCCTTTTACATTACATACACCACTACTGACAAATCTCTGTATTGATACACCCTCTTACAAGTACAAAGGTTGGGTCACCACTACTGGAAATGAATCTGGATAGATTTAAGTTTCTGAGCAACTTCCCACCTACCCCTCCCCGTAGCCAACATTTTGCCCTGAGTGAGAAGTGTTAAAGGGAACCTCCACTTCAACAAAAAGATAACTTTAAATCACAGGAAATAACTGTTACAGTCAAGTCAATCTAAAATATTTTTAAAGAAAGCGTTTGTATCCGAAAGAAATTCAGGAACCTAAATTGATCTATGAGTCCTTTGCTAGCTACAATGGGCAACAGAATTGTTGAGACACTCCTGAAAGTGAAAATAAGCGATTTTAAACTTCACTTTTCCTGATATAAACACTTTTTTTCAACACCATAATTTTATTCCATTTAAACCCATAGTTGAGTGGAGTTTTTTTTTCCCACAGGGGGTAGGAACCTAAATTGAACATGCAGCTACAATGGGCAACAGAATTGTTGAGACACTCCCTCAACACCTCCCACCCATAGTTGGAGAGTTTTTTTTTCCCCACAGGTAGCTTGAACAGCAGCACAACGTCCATGGAGAGGGTGGGGCAGGAAAGCTTCATTTTACCCCTTCTGAAATTGGCAAAATGTCAGAAAGGCCCTTTGGGGCAATTTTGTTGCTGATTGTAGCTTGTATTTATATTCAGAACACATTTACTCCCCTGAAAGACTGTCCACAAAATGTTCTACAAAAATCGCATTTTCTGCCAAAAGAAGGATGTTCATAGGAAATATTATTTGCCTTGGACATAACTAAAACCTCTTCTACATTACCACATAAAACCAAATAAAAATTATTAAATAAGAAAGATAAATCAAATTGCCAAAAACTAAAAACAGAAATGAAGCTATCTAGTGCCAGATTTATGTCACAATAAAACAAAATTTCTGAGAAACCTGTTACCTGTTACACTTTGTACAACATTGTGTTGGAAGAGCATGTGTTACTGTTTAGCTGCCTCTCTCACCATTACATTTTAAATGCCTTTCAAACATTTTCATCAAAATTTTTTGCATATTTACAAACCAATGTTTAATTGTTTAGCAACCCCATATTGTGCGTGACAAATACAATGTTGGACGAAAATGTTTGATTGTTTAGCTGGAGCCAAAACTACTTTCTCTAACATTTCACGATTTCATAGGCCAAATTAAAGCGAGATTGTTTGCCAATGACCTCAAAATCTGTGGACGAAATACAGTGGTGTTACCAATGAAATGGAACCTCTTCAGCAGTACTTTCACATGGTACTATTTATTTAGTATGTAGCTCTAACTTTTAAGCCTGTGGATGAAATCTTGTGGTGATACCATTCAAATGAAACCTCTTCAGGAGTACTTTCACATGGTACTATTTATTTAGTATGTTGTTCTGACTTTTGAGTCTGTGGATGAAATCCTATGGTGTTACCATTCAAATGAAACCTCTTCAGCAGTACTTTCACATGGTACTATTTATTTAGTATGTAGTTCTAACTTTTGAGTCTGAAGATGAAATGCTATAGTGTTACCATTCAAATGAAACCTCTTCAGCAGTACTTTCACATGGTACTATTTATTTAGTATGTTGTTCTGACTTTTGAGTCTGTGGATGAAATCCTATGGTGTTACCATTCAAATGAAACCTCTTCAGCAGTACTTTCACATGGTACTATTTATTTAGTATGTAGTTCTAACTTTTGAGTCTGTAGATGAAATCCTATAGTGTTACCATTCAAATGAAACCTCTTCAGCAGTACTTTCACATGGTACTATTTATTTAGTATGTAGTTCTAACTTTTGAGTCTGAGGATGAAATCCTATGGTGTTACCATTCAAATGAAACCTCTTCAGTAGTACTTTCACATGGTACTATTTATTTAGTATGTAGTTCTAACTTTTGAGTCTGTGGACGAAATCCTATGGTGTTACCATTCAAATCAAACCTCTTCAGCAGTACTTTCACACAGTACTATTTATTTAGTACGTAGTTCTAACTTTTGAGTCTGTGGATGAAATCTTATGGTGTTACCATTCAAATCAAACCTCTTCAGCAGTACTTTCACATGGAATCATTTATTTAGTATGTAGTTCTAACTTTTTGTTCTGTGGACGAAATCCTATGGTGTTACCATTCAAATGAAACCTCTTAGGCAAAACTTTTGCATAGTGCTGTTTAATTCTTAGGATTTTACAAAACATGAATTTTTTGCAAATGTTTTACTTTGACCACCACAAGGAGTGAACAGTTTAAAGAGGCCACCGTAAGGGTTAATTCCAACATACAACATGGGCTTGAAACACTAACATTGATACAAAGATAGATTGAAACTGTGACAGTAGTGGGGACAAGCACATACAGTCAAGTACTTAAGTAAAATTAACAACAGGGACATGGATTATTCCTCCTTACTAAATGAAAGCTGTGGCTTTCAATAAAACACCAACTCATAAGTTCAAAAGCCAACCAACATTTGTGTTCTTTGCTGCCATCAATCATCTTAGTGGACCTCTCAGAAAACAGAAGTCTACTTCAATCAGTTGAAAAGATCATGGTTTTTGATAAGTGACTGGTGGATTTCAGTCCATTTCGTGTTTTCTCTGCTTCGTAGTTTATTGCCTGTGACTGTACATGTGATTATTGTGGTTGATGGCAGCGGAAAATGCAATTATTGTGAAGTTGGCATCTAAACTTAAGACTTCTGGTAGTATTGAAAAGCACAGTAAAGAGAGTTGACCATACATAGCATTAGTTTGTTGAAAAACCCAGGTCACTCTGGAGAAACTTGGCTGGGATGGACTAACGTCCACTGGTTTTCAGAAGTCTTTGCTCTGTTATATCGCAGAGTTTTACACCTGGTAGCAATACTCGTGACACATTTACGCCACACAACATTTTGTTGTTCTGGATCAAGGGTCTTTAAAAATCTTTCTGTGACCTCCACTGTGGAATTAAAAAATTAAAAAATATATTAAAGCAATGAGCCACAAGCCTCAAGTAAAGGGGTTGGAGTTGAGGATGCTTGTCTTTAAAAGAGGAGCTTCCAAGAGAAAACTAACAATACCTGTAGCCATCATTTTTGTTGAAACACTACACACTACACAATGTACTTGTCTTGGTACATGTATGCCCTCCTCAAAGTCTGATAGCTGGCCAGGGCTAGTGGCTAAGGGGCGAGTGAAGTTTTTTCGGGGAAATTCAAAATTACAGAAGAACTGTAATCAATCTTCAATTTTTTGGGGGGGAAGGGGGGGCAGGGGCTGGTTGAAAGGGGGGGCTAGTATATGCTAGCTCACATCATTCTTGCCTAAATGGCAAGCTGTAAAACTGAATCTTTGCACCCTGCTGGTTAATTCATAAAAACCTTGCGGAAGGAGCACACAGAGAGAAAAGTTTGATGAGTCGGTTGAGAAGATGTTGGATGAAAATCCTCAGATTTTGTCTAATGTCTCGATGAAATTTGACAAACACTGAAGGATCATAGAAAATAGACAGTTTGCAAATTATTTGACCAACATAAACAAACTAACAGATTGTCAAACAGTTCTTTCCATTTAATTGCTATAATCTGTTGAGAACTTTTTTCTAGTGATAGAAATCATAATAGGGACCTTACGATCAGATGACGGTGACGGCAACAAGAACGTCATAAAAACAATAGTTATAACTAGCAAATCAACAACTTTGCACGTGCATCACAGTTTTTTTTGTCCATTTCTTGCCAATTTTACATGACTACGACATGAAAAAACCCAGTTCCACATTTTATAGAGGACGTAAACAAGCAACAACAAAATTTTCTTTCTCTTTTTTAACTTGGATAAGGTTTTTAGGAATTCAACGCCAGGAGAGTTTGCGTACATTCAACAAAGTAAGAAAGATGGAATAATCACGATGAAGATTGAAAATGAAAAACCACGATTTCACTTTTTAAGTGACGTTTTACCTGCTGTCGTCATCCTTGCATCTTATTAAGGTCCCTTATCTGACAGAAACCAGGCTTAACCCTCTAAAACGAGTATATACCCTTTCTCAGACAACAACTATATATGAAATGAAGTGAGTCTGCCTAAATAGTATTTTAGTATGCTCTTTTAACATACTTTGTATTGCTTTGATCATTATTGGATCCAGCTGCATTGTGCCACGTTTTCCTCCAGTCACTGTTGATGCCTCCAGCACATCATCTCCAAAAACCAACTCTGCCAGACGCACAGCAAAGTGTGTTGGTTGGCTTGACTTAGTGACAGCATCTAAATATTTCTGACGGGGTATGACTACATTTGGGTTTCCTCCGACTAATACGTGAAAGTCTGTTAGAGAAGGATTTCAGATACTGTTAATACAATAACAGTAAACTTACTATTAATAACGTCAACCCTATGTTTAAATGTCAATAAACAACGTACAAAAAACATTCCAGGCATTGCTCATGCAGTGTGCAAAGAAAGTAGTGTCCGGTAGCCCAGGGCTAGTGGATTTTTCTATTGGGCTAGTGAATTCTGTGGATAACTCGCCTTACAGGCAAGTGAAGTTTTTAGGGAAATTCAAATTACAGAAATGTAATCAATTCTGCTGGTCAGCAATTCTTTGGAGGCTAGTTGAAATGACGTTTGGGCTAGTACATTATAGCAAAAACTTGCCTGAATGGCAAGCGGTAAAACTGACTTTCTTTGCACCCTGTGATGATCAAAAGTTTAAATAGTCTGCATTAGAGTTTGAGAGCATCAAAGCTTGAAAGTTGACGCACAATCAAAAAGAAGTAAGGGAAAGAAAAGGAAAAGGAATGGAGTACTAGCCACTAAACCTTCCCCTACCCCCTCTCACCTTCTTTGGCTCTTGCTCTAACTTCCATACTAAGCTCTCAAGGGACCTTCCCCTACCCCCTCTCCCCTTCTTTGGCTCTTGCTCTAACTTCCATACTAAGCTCTCAAGGGACCTTCCCCTACCCCCTCTCACCTTCTTTGGCTCTTGCTCTAACTTCCATACTAAGCTCTCAAGGGACCCTTGCTATAATAGTAAGCATTTGAGCTAAACAATATGACACATGTACTTACAATCAGCAGTCATTCTTATGCCAGACACTGTGACGCTTTCTTTCGAGGCATTAGGATTGGGAAAACTTTGCACCATGTAATTCCCAGAAGAATTGCCAGCCAGAGGTGAACCTTTTTCTTTAGATTCATCATTATTTTCTCCCTCCCGACCACTAACACTCTGCTGTGTGTCTATCCTTGTGCGTTCTTCTCCTGAGACACTCCCACTGTTCCCACTACCTGCTGTCGCATGCCTTGTCGTCACAACAACTGAACTCTGCCTCTGAGCTGTTGATTTGACTTGCGGCTCAACCGAAGTCTGTAAGTTTGAAGGCAAGTGAACAACTGTGATATCTGGGTCAATGCCAGGTGGTATAGACCGTTCACCCTCAGTTCCATCATTTTTCTCCATAGAGGAATCAGCAACAGATTCAGGTCTCGCAGTGGAGTCTTTCACAGGTGTTATGCAGCCAGCATCATTGTAATCACCTTCCTCAGGACCATTCTTTGTGGGCGTTTTTTCGTCATCAGAGGGTATTCTGATTAGAGGCGGCGTACGCCTTGCTGCTAACTGATCCAAACTACCCATGTCACAGTCGTCGTCCTCCTCGTCTAACTCCCCTTGGGAGTCATCATTCTCATCAGGTTCACTAAGCTGTATTCCTCCACCAACTGCCATGGATGGTAGGCTTACGTCAACATTATTTGCTGATGCTCTCATTTGTGACCTGTCTTTACGTGGATTCCGTGCTCTCTTGCATCGCTGAGCTATACTGGTCACACAACTTTTCCATAACGCTATCTGCCCTTCATTTGACATGTCTGATGCAAACTGCCGCAACACTTCCACTGCAGGAGAATTCAGAGAACAGTATTTCAAAAGGTACTATAATTTATTACAGTAATACAAACTACCAATCATAGAGCTGTGCTTTCAGATTTTCTAGAAATCTCACGAATTAGCTAGCAGGGGCGGATCTAGGGGGAGGGTGCAGGGGTGCGCCCCCCACGAGATGACCTGCGGTTTTCTAACTACGACCGGTATTCTGCAAAAAAAAAAAAAAAACTATGTGGTTTATTGTTGAAGTAGAGCAAGAGACAAGTGCACCCCCTCCTAAAAAAAATCCTGGATCCACCCCTGGCTAGAAACCCATCACTACAGAGCATCCATCACTTACTACACATGTTAGACTCAGCCTGTTTTAAGCTTCTTCTAGAGCAAAATTTGTGTTGTTAAAAAATACTTGCACAATCAAATAAGGCAATTCAACTTCTAACTAAAACCCTTTAAGCATCTGCTGTCGTTATGGTTAAAATGTTTTATCCATTTTGTACAAAACGTTTCAACAACAAAAATCTGAGAAGTGTCCATCTGACAGACAAGTAAAAAAAAAGAGCTTTCATTTCTCCATCAAATGAAGAAAAAGGAATTTTAAAGTCACTAAGCATTACTCACAGTCATCATCATCATCATCATTATTATTAATAGTAAATCAAACAGACAAAGAAACACCTTTTTTGTGCATTGCCTTATTTATCTTGCCCACTACACACAATAAATTAAAATTAAAATACCTTTGATTGCATCCAATATGACTGGATGTAGGGCTGCTTTGCCTCCAATTCCATAGGGTGTGGATTTGATCAAGACGTCAATGCCGAAGAGCTTCTCTGCAAGGCGCAGAGCAAAGTATTTTGGGCGTCCTTTGGACTTATCCAGCATGTCTTCCAGGTCATATTGGGTGAGTACCACATAGGGATTGTAACCAATTGACACTATAAAAAATACAGGATTTTGTTAGTCTCTTCACAAACACTGTGCAGTCAAATCACTGTCTGTAATCTCTGTGTTGGTTTTGGTATCTCATTGAAATTAGGTATTTGGCAGAATAAAAATCCGTTAAAAATCGGCAATTATACCATTTTTTGGATGTTCGAAAATCCTAGGAGAGGCAGGCAAGCACTAAATTTTACAACAAATGTTCCGAAAATTCTAGATCTCAAATCGTCTTCCGAACAGATATTTTCCGAAAATTGATGTTGGATGCCCCTGACTACACAATGGATAAACAAACTTTTTTCCCCTACCAAGTTGTAAAGAGTCCCCTTTAGAAGGATCAAGGTTCTTGTGGTAATCTGTGACTATCGCAGAAAGGCAAGACTGCCACTGATCTTGATGCTCTGAGTTAGGATGATCTGTGATGTAGTTACTGATCAACATGGCTACAATAATAAAAAAAACAGCTTAAAATACACATGTAACGAATAACAAATGAATATAATATTGTTTCTCAATCCTACTGCTGCAGGATTAGCTCAGTCGTTAGAGCAATTGACTGCAGAGCGGGAGGTCACAGGTTCGATACCGGGGGCAGGACCAATTATAAGGGCCTTAAAATAACTGAGAAATAAAGACACTGCCTCCCCTGCAAATAATGGCTAGACCTTCACACGACTCAAATGACCACGTAAAATGGCGGTCCCGTCTCCAGTAGGAGACGTAAAAATAGTGTCGCTAATTAGTACTTTCATGCTAAATACACTGGCACAGTTTAAATAAAGTGCTTTTATTAAATAATAATAATAAGTTTTCATTTCTTGTTCTGTGGTTCACCAATAATTTTTGGTCAGTAACTTAATTTATAAAACAAATTTTAAACAGAATTAACCTTTAAAGGACTGTAAACTGTAAATGACACATCCTTGTTTTTTCCCATAAAAATAATATTATATTTTTTTATGGCCAAAAATTCTCACTTGGGCCAGAAAAAGCAACAAAAAATTTGTTCTGTAATATTAAGAATGAAACTGTCATTAAATTCACCTGCATTCAATAATTCTTTTGGTGAGGCTGCATCCATTCTTTGTTTATCACAGGCTTCAATGGCTGGAAAAACAAAAATGTTGGTTACCTACCAGAAATTGCTTCCACAAGAGTGCTCTCATTTACAATAATATTATTAATTTATAATTCAACACCAGACATGCCATCTTGCTGTTCCTGTTCTCAACTAGTTGTATTTGGGCAGGGACAGCAAAGAAATTTACAAAAAAGCTTGATGCATGGACAGAGTTGTTGTTTTTACAAAACCTAATACATTTAAATACAATTTACCCAGCAACTTGAAATCTTAATGACAGGACAGAGTCTTGTAACAAAGAGCAGTGACACAGGAAACCCATGGACCAGGACAGCCTTACATGTATAAAACACCAACAGCAGAACTTAAGATGTGCATGTCCTTTATAAAGGCATGTTTGTGATATACAACCCCCACCCCTTCCTTCCTAGACCAAAACAGAATGATTTGTCACTCTAAACAAAATAAAAAATATGTTTCTGAATTGTTTAAAACTGCAGTCACCATCAGATCAAGAAGAATGATAAAACATTTTAATGAAAATGACTGATATCGTCTAACTTGCAAATTAGAAGCCGAATCAGAAACCTACATGTAGTCTTACAACTAGTGCAGAGCCAATGAGTTCCAGTTAAAAAAAAAATGAGTCCTAAATTGATCATGCTCGGGCCTTTAAGTAACGAGACAGTTAATCTGAAGACAGACTCCAAAAGTCTTTGTTACAGTTTACAGAAATTAAAATATAGTCCTTCTATTTAAAGAGCAATCAATCAATCAATCTTTGCATCCTATGGGACGCATACCAGGAACAATTTTGCATCTTTGGGAATTTTTATGCATCAGGGATGCACGATGCAGAGGTAACAAAATCACTGACCTAAGGCCAAAAAATAATGAATCAATATGTACTTACTTGCCCTTCTTATAACTGACTCTGCGGCAGACAATGCATCAAGATCTTTTGCTTTCCCACTTGGAGGATTCCTTAAAGTTGTTTCACCAGTTTGTGCATGGGGCAGTGATAGTGGCACACCATAAGCCTTGCTGGTAGATGGCTTTACATTTGTGGTATGCGAAAGAGTGATATATCCAGGCGGAGGGCTTGTTTGAGCTGATGTGTTTGTTATACTCTGTACTGACTGCCTTGGCAAATGCCTGTTTTGTGAACTCGGTAGTGAGATGACAGGGATGGAGATGTTAGGTACAGGGGAAGCATGTTGGGGTAAATGACTGGAGACCACCTGTGAATTATTTCCAGGGACAAACCTTGCCGCAGGACTTCTCGCAACTGTGCTCAAAACTGGTGAGGTTGTCAAAGTGTTATGAAGGTCAATGTATGATGGAGGCAATGACGACACAGTAGTTTGGACTGAAGCGAAAGTATCTCTACTAGGTGTCACATATGGCCGTTGTGGTGCTGTAACATTCAATTGCTCAGACATTGGACCTCTTTGCTGCGATGAAGCCATTGAAACCACTGTAGTTTGAACTGAATTAGCAATGGCAGTTACAGCAATGCTAGGAGAAAGATTTATGACTGATGCAACAGAACTGGTTCTATTTGACAATGAATGACATTCTACGACCACTGGTAGACAAGGTTCTTGTCTTAAAGACTTTTCTTCACACCTTTCAGGTAGACGTTCTTTAGGAGGAATGGTGGTGGTCACTTTGGTTGGAGACTCAGAGAGAACATTTATTGATGATCCACAATTACTTGTAGACACTGATGAATCAGCTGTTAAGGGTGCACTAGCTGAACACAAAGTGACTTCAGGTGAGGATGTGCTGCTTTGTATTTCTTTTGATTGAGGCAAAGAATCTTTGTGACTGTCTATAATTAAATTTGCAGTACACGACTCACTGCTGCTTTTCCTAGATGATATGCTCTGCGAAATAGTGGATGAAGTTTGTACTAAAGTCCTGCTTAAAGAAACTGTAGCAATTGTGTCATTCTTCTCATTCATTGTACTGCTCTCTTTATCAGAAACAGGCATTGAACTTTCATGTCTTTTATCTTGTTCACCATCTCTACAAGAACTGCACGAACCCAGAACAGGCTGGTGTATAAGGTTTGCATGAGGAGTTGTTTGGATAATTACAGGTCCTCCACAACACCCATGAGGAGCATTATTACTAAGACAATCAAGTTTGCTGGCGATCTTTGTAAGCATATCCATAAGAGATGACTGAGTTGATGAACCATCAGATCGGAGATCATCAAGCGTGGACTCCAAAACGGAAATTTTCTGCATCATTTCCTTCTGATTATTGAGCAGATCCTCCTGAGAAAACATAATAATGAAAACAAATAATCATGCTTCAAAAAAAAGTTGCTAAGACGCAATCTTAGGTAATTGAGTTAGGCTTGAGTCAACGCATGTAGTTGTTCTTGTTGGTAGCACATGATGCAAGGGACAAGAGGAACTCTCGGCAGCTACCTTTTCCTGTATGTTTTGAACTGTTAATTGTGGGCGAACCTCATCCTCGAAGCTTTATTACCAGTGCTTTTCAGGAAAGAGAGCTGCAAAAAACTAGTCTACTCATCCTCTTGTCCCTCTTACCTTCCCATCAATGATTTCACTTGGTTCCAGGTTGGTGTAACTTTTACTGACTTAGCAGTGCAAAAGAGCCTTGGTGAGGCCATCTGTGTATGGAGGGGTGGGGTACCTCCCAGCTAACATAATGGATTTTAAATGAAAATGCCGTCCCCTCCCCCAATCAAACTTCAACTTTAACCAATTTGTCTAACTCCTGATAGTTCAACCAATCATTTCCTTTGCACCCTTCAGGTTAAAAAATTAGGATTCCACTATGTGACTATCTAACTTTGTTCCCTTACCATAAGAGAGTTAGTCCTTTGAAACTGTTCCTCTGTAACAATGTTTGGTGATAATGTATTTTTGTGATGATCAGAGTTGCTCGTGAGTTCAGGAACTTGCTGTTGTTCTTCCTCTTTCCCGTCGCCATTACAGTGCAGTTCCTCATGTGTACTTGTAGGAGCATTTTCACTTCCAGAATCTAAGTCTTGGCATTCTTCTTCTCTTGAAGTTTGTGTCTGCTATGAGAGGCACGAGGGATGCCACTCCAGATTGAATATTACTTTGATTTCATAGTTCGTACAACTTTTGTTACAGAAAAATCAAGGAAAACCCGAGACCTTTGTTAATACAAAATTTTAATATTCAGGCTGTACATTTCACGTGAAATTAGTGCAAAATTTTGGTCATTTTAGCTTTGGTACTTCAAAACATTGTACGAACCATGTAATCACCAAGGTTTGACAACGGGTTCAACACTGTATGGTTATTCTTTATCAGTAAATTTTACACAACATTAAATTAATCTAAGTTAAGCTAAGTACCAGTTAAAACCATAGTCTGCACTTTGTCTGACATTTCAGTAATATACAGGGGCCATATTATATCAAGAATAATGGTCTACAGTACACTATTAATTTTGTAATGAATCTGAATTAACCAGTTACATGGACCATAAATTTTACTGAGCGAGGGTCATGATTGACATTAATTATACTTTACAATAATTATTAATTTAATAACATTATTATTAATCTTCCAGAACATGCTTTTGGAATATAAAACAGCTAATTATCCAGGAATGAAAATATCTGAATAAAGAGCATACATTTACTACGAATTACATGTACTAGTAGTTGAGACAGTCACGACCAGGGTGGGGAAAACTTTGACAACACTAGCCCTTTTGATGGCAGTCTTAGCAATGAGTACCCTACAAATTATGTCCAAATTTTATTTCCTCAAAAAATGGCTGGGGTGCATATTGAAAAATTCTGAAACGACCATAGAAATAACCAGAAACTCACTCTGGTAGAGACATTTATATTCACGCATAATATTCTAAAACAAGAACTAGCAGGAACAACTACACCATTAGTTCCCATTAGCACTGAGTTCAAGACAACTCTGGTGATGGTCATTTTAGATCTCCGCACCCCACAATTTTTATCCCCTAAAAAATACAGTACGCATTTTCATAAGGGAGTCTCACAGAAGGAATTTAAAAATATTACATGCTTATTTAATAAAAACAGAATAACACATCTCTGATTGCGGGGAGAAACAAAACACATTTTGGAAATCCACACAGTTTATAGTTTTTCAAAACACAAACATGGTGTTGTATAATTTATCGTAGTCTTACCTGTGGTATGCATGTTCCATCTACATCATTATCCCCTCTTAATCTCTTCGTAGCATTTATCCACCCCTAAAAAACAAAGAGTCAGATAATTAGAGGATGTTACACAGTGGCAAGAAGATGTGAATTTTACATTTTCAGAGCAAGAAAGAAAAGTTTTCTTTGAAGAGAAGACGTCCATTCTATTATTATTGACTTGATGATGAAGACACTGAAACACACTCTAATTTTATCAATGTTATGTTTGCTTGTTCATCCACTACTAAACAGACAAGCACTACCAGCTATAAAATTATGTCTAAATACCTCTAAAGGTCCAGTATCTTTTGGTGCAATTGGCCGTTTGCTTGAAGCTGAAAAGAACAGATTGATGTTGATAAAAATATTGTCAAGTTTCAAACAAAGTACTATCAAGTCCTGAGGCCTTTTGCCAATACTTTGGTTGTTGAACATACTATTAGCAATGTTTCACTCTTTAAGGCAACAACTTTCTTATTGGGCACATACAAATGACAATTTTATCATTGGTGGTGATTGAATCATTGAATATTAAATATTCGACTCTTCTGGCCAAAATTGTATAGTAAGTAAACAACTAAAAAAATGGGCCAAAATTGATGACATTTCACAATTGCATGAGCATTTTGACAATTGTTGCACTAACACAGCATGAAATCGCTACAGTCAACTTCTGCTGACTCGAACCCTCACTAACTCAAACCTCGCACTAATTAACTCGAATCAAAATCGATTTCCCTGGATTTCCTTTATACACTTACTATAATTTTACCTTCGGTAACTCGAACCTCCCACTAACTGGAAGTAATTTTTGTTTCACTTCAGATCATTTCTATAAAAATTTACCCTCTATAACTCAAACCACACTTTAAGTACCTGCGAGTTGAAAAAAAGTGTGCAGCTGTCCGAATCAATGAAATTATTTTAACAACCATGAATCAGCATTCATTCCCCATCTCATTCCCTTATTTCTGGTTATTTGCTTGAAATTCCCAATAAATCAAATTCCTGTTGACTCAAATTTTTTTAATTTCCCTAGAAGGTTTGAGTTATCGGGAGTTGACCGTATAAGAAACAAAAGTCTATACTGATTGCATTGCACTGTCTGATTTTCAGCAACCTAAGAGTTCTACGACTGTTCCTGAATTCAAATTTTGCTAAAAACTTAACATACATGATGTCCTTCTTGCAGTTGTTGTTTGCTTCTCTGCCTTGAGTTTTTCAGCAAACTCTTTCACCTGCAAAAAAATTAACAACAATATTATTAATAATATATTAACACTTTAGGTTTGTCAACAGCAAGAGATTCACTTTTTTTAATATAATAGCCAGCGCCACAAGTGAGTGAACTCTGATTGGCTACCTTAGTCGGCACTACAGGTCTGTCTTGCCCACTTGGGATTTCCAGCTTTGTTCTTTGCTTGTTTGATCCGATGACCAAACTTGTTTAATCAAAATGGCTAAATACTGACCTCATTCTAAAAAACTGCAGCAAAAACCTTTCCCAGTATCCAATCAAACCGACTGAAAAAGCCTCATCAATAACACTATGTCTTCAGTATAGATTTAAAGTACACGTAGAGCAGTGTTCAGTGATCCCAAAGGACTACAATAAATGTGATTATTTATGATGACAGTCTACTGGGTGATCTGGGCAAGTCTTCCTTTCCAAGAATGCACATGGCCTATAGCTCTTACACTCCTTGTAATAGCAGCGTTTTAGCTACCTTTTCCCCCTTCTCCTGTTTTGGATTTCTGTGTGGTGGGCAGCATTAAAGTGAGCAGACTAAGGGTTACTAAGCGTTGTACAGCAAACATGGCACAAACCTTGTAGCTGACAAAATTTCCACATTTTCAAATGGATTAATATAAAACTACAATCAAGCACTTGCCTGGTTCATTGTCTTTGAGTTCACTTGCCTTGTAATCCAGCGCCAATTGTTTTTACCATCATCCCTAACAAAATTTTGTACAATGCAAATAATCTTAAAATGCAACTAGGCTTCAGTCTTTTTTTTGCAAAACAAAATGTTTTTCCTTGTGACCTGTACAAAGAAGTTATTGTGGTTGATAAAAACCCCTTGAACTTTGGTCTCTCAACTGAGCCTCCTTCTCCTCTTAACACTTTAAGTTCCAAGACTGACCAACATCAATCTTCTCCTAACAACATCAATACATCATCAAGAGAAAAGGTTATGAAAATTAATAAAAGATCACCTCAGGGAAAATGCTTTGATCTTTTATCAAATTCTTTCAACTATTTCTTTAAGAAAAAGTATGGAGATTAGTTTGGAGATTTTATAACTGGATATCAGGACATAAAGAAAACATTCAGCATGCATACATTTTCAAGGCTGTGCTCAAAACATTGAAGGGAGCCCTTTGCTTTGAGCCTGTGAAACTCAGGGTGCCCAGCTCAAGTTTTTTTTTTATTTTTAAATCTAGGTTCTTCTGGTTGTCCTGGAGCAAAAGCTATGTGCCAGGGGCCACCAGGTGCTACAAGAGCACAGCCTTGATTGTATCACTTCAGAATGGAATTTTATGGACCCTGATACCTCTTTGGAGATTGGTTGTAACTGTTACAACCATAAAGAACACAGGTACTGGGCATGTTTTCAGCTCTAGAGGAGAATATAAAGGCAAGACTTCATACAAAAGCAAATAATACCTTTTTAAAGCGTCCAGAAGTCTTTTCTTCTCCTCTTCACTCCATTCATCTGACTCTTGATCAGTAGCATTTTCTGATGATTTTTTCGCGCTTGATGCACTCTATAAATAAGAATAATATTTTTACATTTTGTGCTGAGAATGTTAGAGATATTTAACAGCAGGGCTGTCACTTAGACTTCAAGTTACAAGGTTTATGCAATTAGTAAGCAGGGAATTGAACTGCTAGAAAGTTCTTTTGGTTCAATTTTCCTTTTGTTTCGTACAAAAGAAGCCAGGGATCATGCTCATAATAGCCCAGGGAAATTCCCTGTCCCAGATGTTTACAGACAGCCCTGACCAGTGCCTTCAAGACTACACCTCGTGACAATGGAATTTTCCAGGGTTTACCCATAATTTCATGAAGAAAAAATGGCTTAACTACTGCCTTACAACATTGCAAGAACAGCAAGAATGCAATTCAGTGAATGACATCTGCCATTTGAAGAATATCTGTGAGACTAAACTGAACTTGCCAAGAAACAGGAAAATGAAGAAACAAATAATACAACAATTATTGGACTCGGCTTAGGCCTCAGTGGATAACATTCTCCAAGGCCTGCATAATATTTTTCAGATCATACCTAGCCTTATCCAATAAATGCTTTAATAATAGTTAAGAATAATGACAGTTAAATTAAAGATTTACAGTGAAACGGTAAATCGCATTTAATGGGCGTGATGCGTCAGAGTTCCCGAGGATTGATATTATTGTAAGTGGAGCAACTGATGCCATGCAACGTCAGCCATGAAGGTACAAGAGTATAATATGTTTGTCTCATCGTAATAAAATGGTACAGACAGGTACCAAGGTCAAAATGTTCCAACACTGTCTGATAGGTTTGTAACATTCATTCTGTATGGCTAGATTCAATACCTCTATTCATGTCTCGCTGTACGTACCGTGTATTGCTACAACACTATTGTATGCCATCATCCATTGGCTTAGCTTTAGACATATGTCTAACTATAAAAAGGTTATTTTATGCAACCTCCTTCTTTCGCTTAGCCTGCTTGCTTACTGAACAGTTTACTTGTAAATTTCGTACTTTTTTCCCCTCCCTCCCTCCCTTTGGAGGCATTTTTGTTGTAACACAAATAAAATGTGGTTCACCTCTTGTATCTACTATAGATCAGTTAAGTCTCCCAGCAACTTGACCCCAAGCTTCATGTTTTTGCACTATTTCAATAATATTGGGTTTAGCTTTAGCTCTGTTATATGCCAATGTTTAATCGTTTTCCAATTCAGCACTTGCCGGTGGTGGAGGCCTATTGCTGTTAATATATTGGCTTAAGCGAATTATGAACTGCCTACACTCATTCCATTAGGTTGCACAATGCTGAGCCGTAGGTTTTCAGCCCCAGGGGCCCCACTCACATATTTTAATGACAGGGGGGTCCGACAGAGGTTCATATTTTATACCCCAAAAAAATCCCACTTTCAGAATTTGTCTACCCAAAAAAATCCCTACTTTTTTCAGCATACCCAAAAAACTCCCTCAGTGTTTTTGTATCAGTAAATTTTATTATTTATCTTCTGGAAAGCTAAAACATGCCAACTTCAACTTTGGTTTTGGTCAAAACAAAACTATAAATTGCGCTTATGTTATTTTTTATTTGAGCTGATGAAAAGTACAATACCCAAAAAAATCCCTGTGTTGTTTTTGCGACCCAAAAAAATCCCAGCGTCTCTCATAGACCCAAAAAAATCCCTTTTGGCCAAAATTTCCGACCCAAAAAAATCCTTCGGACCCCCCCATCATTAAAATATGTGAGTGGGGCCCCTGGGTTTTCAGCTTTTAGTGCCTTGAAGAGTAAGGCTTTTAGATTGCGTGAGGTTTTGATCCAGCATGATACACTCCACTGGGGAGATAGGTTGGGCTGTATTCATGCTTTTGTCACGCGGGAAAGTTGAACATCACACCAATAGCAGAGCAGTTTCCCCCCTTTAACACCAACATGGAGTGTTATCTTTCTTTGTGTTTTAATTTAATATAGTATTGGAATTGCGTAGTCAATTAACGTTAACACAGGAGCAGTGACATCAAGGGAAATTTTGAACAAAGTGAAAACATCAAGGGAAAATTTATGGTAATTTTGTTTTTTGGTTTAGAATGTTTTCAATAAGCTTACAAAGGATTTATTTTATTGCATTACCTTTGGTTAAGAAATAGTCAGCTTATATTTTAAAAGCTAGATGTCAAAATTAGCAATAAAAACCAAAAAAAGTTATTCCTTCCAATTTGTTATCATATTTTTAGAGGCCATTTGGTGCTCATAACTGTAGGAAACAATTATGCAAAATTCTGCATAAATTTCTGTTAATTATTTCCCTAACGGCTGCAGATAATTGATTCCGATCACGCGATCGTTTCAAAATAGCTCACAAAATTCATCAGTTCTTATGTTAACCTAAAGAAAATGTGTCCGTTGGGGTGATGGCAAAAAGAGCTATCTAAAAATGACCTGTTTAGTCAGTATTTTGCGAATATCTTTACGTTTGGCTAAATGCCAAGGGAGAACTTCCCAAAAACAAAACGCTTAACTAAAACGTTTTAACACGCTCAAAACGCGTCAATGACTTTACCTTTCTTCTTCGTGACATGTTGGCCACCGTTTTAGAACCCCAATGCTTGAATTTTCAACGAAATAACAACGCAAACGGCGCCTTCGTAGTAAGAAACTCAAACAACACAACGCATCGCCTTCGCACGAAAACACGTCACGTCGCGCCAGCCGCGGCGCTCCAACGGTTGCGTGCGCAGCTTTCATGAAAATACCGCTGACGACATGCGAACGAAAGGTCGACGAGGGTCGGCGAAAGAAGTACGATAAGCACGGTGAAAGCAAGAAAAACAAAGTCTTCATAGAAAATAGACAATAATTTGCCTTTTCTTGTTAACTGGTGTTTTCAATGACATCACGAGTTTAAAAAGAACCCTGTGTTGTCGGGGAATTGCGCGAAAGAGAAGGCCATGAACCTTGAACTGCTTCGTAAGTACATTTTGCAGTTTTATATGTCGCTTATGAAAGGACGGTCCTTTGTTTACAACTGAGTTTGCTGGCTGCTAAATAGCAAAATGGTTACCTTGTGAATTTATAGTTAAATCTATTGTTCATGTAAATATACCAGTAAGTTGAGTTATCAAGTTAAGTCCGTTGTGTATTGGCGGGAATCTTTAAATTCGGTTCACACTTCTTTAAAGACCTACACGATGCTAAGGAATTGGGATAACACACATATGCAGGGTTGTCAAAAGTAGCCGGCTGCCGCTGAAAATCGCCGCCTACTTGGTTAGTAGCGGCCGGCTACTCTGCTTGGCATTTCTTTGCAAGTGGCGTTTATCAAATAAAATATCCCTAGACTGGCCGCTTACTTTGACAACGCAGCCGTCAACTTCAAAACCTTCTGACAACTTTGCATAAGACTTAAGCTTAAGTACACAAATGAACTTAATTCTGTTAAAATAATTGTTTTTAATTGCTCATTATTAACTGCAGAATTTACAGTCTAACCTCCCATAAGCAACCACCCACAATGCAAATATTTTGCGGTATCCCTTCACCATGCCACCAGGTTGAAGGTTCACGTGACAATACCATCCAACTTCCAAAAGAAAGGCTGTTGGATTTTAAACAAATCACACCTCTCGAGCAATGCCAATAAAAAGTCACTTGGAAAGTGAATTTGTGCTTCCTCAAACCATTCGCACTTCAAAAGAAAAAGTGAAAAGTACTTTGTGTCTCTCTAATTTCTATTATATTACTGCTTACTTTTTTTCAATAATTTTCTGGAGAATCCTAGCAAATAAGATAAGCATTTACTAATGCTTCTCACTTCTTACATTTTGATGTTGGTGTCTTTCCACATTTCAGAGTCTTTTGGACAGAGCTATCCCGAGGTGAGATTAGCACTTTCCTGCATGTTATTACAATAATGGTGTTAACCTTTAAGCCCCAATATCCACATACAAATTCTCCAAACTGATCTCTATACATTTTCTTAAAGAATAAGTTGAGAGAATTTGACAATAGATCAAGGCATTTTCTCTTGTGTGATCATTTTATTAATTCTCATAACTTATCTCTTGACAGTGTATGGATATTGTTTGGAGAAATTTGATCTTGGTCACTGTTGGCACTTAAAGGGTTAATGGTGATGGTAATTCAGGTTAAATACATGTTTTGTAACAAGCTATCTGTAAAAGGATCAAAATCAAGGTTTTATGTTCTGTCTTATCATCTTTTGAAACCATTAAGGCATCTTTGTCATGTGATTAAGCTGCTTTTTTACGGAAGAAGGAGATGGTCATTTGACAGAGTTTGCTGATAGATTCCTGGCAGATTGTATTAACCACAATCCACTATAAGAATTTAGCAGAGTAAAATTTGAGGTGTTGCACTAAAACTTTGTTCAACATATTTTGTAGACAGCTATCATCTCGGGTTAAAATTTTTTAACCTACATGTACAATTGATGACAAAATTAGTTGAGACACTTTACCCTTAAGGGGCTTTCTGATGTGTTACTGACTTCAAAAGGGGAAAATATAGCTTTTCCTCCCCCATCCCCTCCATGCAATGTTTTGTTGCTGTTCCCGTAACCTATAGAAAACAACAAAAACCCTAACTTTAAATGGAGGGGAGAGGAAGGGGTGTGGAAATTTTTTGTTCTTTGAAGTCACCCTATTTGAGTACAATGTCTCAACAATTTTGTCTCCGATTGTAGCTTCATTCTCAATTTCTTTGTCTTCTACAGCTAGGAGACGAAGGAAATTGAGAATCAACGTAGGTTACAGTACAATTTCCACACTGTAGTTAGCCAGTGAGATGTCTGACTTGTTTGATACTGGGGCAGTTCTCCCAAGCAAGTTGTCACTCGCAGATTAGACCGTGCTTCATACCATAAAAAACTGCTTATGAGCGCAGGGTGAACTAATCACAGTCAAGGATTTAGGATTCTGGAAAGCTGAGAAACTTCAAGTCAAGTTCAACTTAAGTTCCACATACCTGTTTAATACACTCAATAGACCTTTTTACCGATATGGCGGCCATATTGAATTAATTCGATTTAGGGAGTATTATAGGATGCCCAGGGGGCATGAGCACATTTAGTTTGTATTTTCGAGCACTTTTTGGGACATTTTTTCTTAAAGTTTTCTTAGAATAACATTGTAATGGGAAAAAAGATCCTTGTGCCGTGTTTGGGTGTAATAATGATCGCCTTTTTCTAAATTAGTATTAGAAATATGGTCTTTCACTGTATATTATCTCTCTGGAAAAAGGCGATCATTATTACATCGAAACACGGCACAGGGATCTTTTTCCCCATTACAATCTTATTCTAAGAAAACTTTAAGAAAAAATGTCCCGAAAAGCGCTCAAAAATGCAAACGAAATGTGCTCGTTTCCCCTGCGCATCCTATAATACTCCTCAAATCAAATTAATTCAATATAGCCATCGTATCGGTAAAAAGGTCTATTGCTTTCCATTTTATATCGAGTCACACATAAATCAATGAGCATTCATTCACAAGAGACTTAAAAGGAACATTTCATAATTATATGAATGAACTTTTAGTTACAAGTTTATGCATATGAGGAATACAAGTTACTGTATATTGAATTTCCTTTGTCCTTGATTTATAATATTTATGCCACAGAGGGTGGTCATACATTTACAGTTCATTCTATTTAGGACTGAAACTCTATTCCTAGAACTCTGAGAGCTTTAGACAGCTTTTCCCAATTTAAAAGAAGTCTGTTCAAACGATTATATTTTTAAATACACAGAAAAAGGACTTAGACATGTAAGTTTTTAACATATCTTATTTCTGCATCTTAATTTTCAATATATTCTTCAATCTGTTTCTACATCACTTTTAGTACATTTTTATGACTTAAGGTTTTGATAGACAGAATTAGTGTAAGTATTAATAATTTGTAATTTTTATTTTCATTTCAAATAATTATATTTTCTAGAATGCCATAGGGTTATCAAATTGTAAAAAAATTAAAATAAATTAAATTTTCCTAACTTTGATACAGTTCTTTAAAATTCAACTCCAAAAAAATTTGCAAACATTTGACGAATTAAACAAGATGTAATAAGCATGATTAAGTTTGAGGTAGCGTGATGTCACTTTTTAAGTGATGTTTTCGTACCCATCGCCGTCGTTTTTTGCTTAAACTTCCTAATATTTTATTTCAGGAATATGACGGTAGCTTGGATTCAGTAAGTGTCGCCGTCACAGCGTCATTCAATCGAAGAGGTTCTCTTTTAGCTGTGGGTTGCAATGATGGTCGAATTGTCATCTGGGATTTTCTAACCAGGGGAATTGCCAAAATAATCAGTGCTCATGTTCATCCAGTGACATCTTTAAGGTAAGAATACAGCATTTATGTTACAGGTTAAACCAGCAGGTTGATTCTCTGTTTCCTTTGTCTCCTAAGCCTAATTATCTGTGAGTTAGGGCTAGGAGACAAAGTATATTCAGAATCAACCTGGGTTGAAAGATTTTAACTTGAGTTTCATTCTAACCTGTAACATAGATGTCATAATAGCGTGCATATGTTTGTTAGAAATGCTTTTTTGGTTTGACAAGTCCATCATGCTGTATGTAAGATGGGTGCCTAGTCTTTGGGCCTCCACTGTGACTACCTCCAGACAGTGCATGAACTTCTTCCATGGCTTTCAATCCCCACAGCCCAGCTATGAGCCCCCATACAAGTCCTCTGCTCAACCGTCGCTCAGAGGAAAAGAAAAAGTGATTGTATGGACTGACTGGATGGATGAATGCTCTGCAGAAAAAAAATGTCACAACTACAGGACTTCAACGTGCTGAAATATATGGTGTACATGAACATTATTACTTTTAAGGGAGTAAAATTCTATAAAGTAGATTCACATTATTGGCCAGCTAAACAACATGAATTGAAGTGTTGATCCTGTCGTGAAATTGTATTCTCTTCTTTATGATTTTAAGCTGGAGTCGAAATGGTCGTAAGCTGTTAAGTGGTTCTAATGATTGGAATGTGTCAGTGTGGGATGTCCTTTCTGGAGAGTGTGATCAGAAATATCGTTTTCAGTCACATGTCACCAAAGTACAGTTCCATCCAAGAAACAAGTATGAAATTTATTTACAATATATTTAAGTCCAGACTGAAAGTTTCGGACAAAATAAACCAACACAATTTGAGTCAAATGGATCAGTAACCTCATTAACATGATAAAAATGTCCTTGTTCAGAGTAATTAATTGCGCAGAAATTTCAAATATTGTTTAATTTAATCGTTCTCTGTTAGGACGTTTTTCATGTAATATATCTTTGCCAGCGCTAGGAATTTGAAAGTGGCAAGTGGATTTTGCCTCAATGTCTCAACCTCCCTGTAATAAATAGTGCTTGGAAATGGCTGAGATTTCGTAATTGATCAGGTGTTTGACCCAATCAGTCGATCATCGATTAGTATAGGTAATAGCATGATTTGTATTGATATTTGGAATAAATACCACGAGTGATATTTCAAAATTGTTATACATAATTTCACAAGCCGTTAGGCGAGTGAAATTTGAGACAATTTTGAAATATCACGAGTGGTATTTATGCCAAATATCACGTACAAATCATGCTATTATTTGTTTATACTACTACCCACAAAAGGTTTGTAATTTTCACATGTGGGTATTTCAAATTAAGCTGAAATACCACTGCCCTAAGCCAATCAAATTGAAGAAATTTCTCATGTAGTAGTATAATAATGGAAATATCTGTTTATAAGAATTCTACTTTGGATTGCCACTCTGCCATGATGTTTTAAAACATGACAAGAGCATATAAAATGCACCAGAAAAGGGATATCAGTGTATTCGACCCTGTTTGCGATGGAGTTCCAGTAGCCAAGCAGAACTAGGAGGGTTGTGAAGTTAGATTCTCACCTGGAGTTCAGAGTTTTTCTGTACTTATAGGTGATCAAATTCTCTCTCTTCTTCAGTCATGAGATTATTAAAAGACAGCACTCAAGTCTTAAATATGTTTATTTGCCAACCAAAAAGAAATATTTTTCCCACAATAATTAATTGAACATTAAATTTTTCAATAATCAATTATCGTATTGTTTAAAGAGTTTGATCATTGATCGATTATAAGTGATGATCATCACGCCTTTAATGCATACACTCCAAATGTGAAACTTTACCTTCTCAATTCGATAAGTGTTTAATTGTTACTGATCTGTTCTTGTTGCAGTAAAGTGATCCTTGTCTGTCCTGGAAAACATGCACCAGTGCTTGTGAAACTGGATGGACAACATCATTCATTGCCAAATGGTGGAGAGGTAACTGAAGATGAGCAGTTTTAAAAGAAAGGTGTTGGCTATAGTGTTTTGTGAAAACACATCAAACTCAAATTGTTATTGCTGCACAACAGCTACAGCGACAAGAACATTAGGGCCTAGTTGTTCAAAGGCCAGTTAGTTCCAACCTGGGATTAAAATTTAATACTGGTTTTTTTTTTCTTTATTCTTTCTAGAGCATCCAGTCTTTAATTTGTTGACAAAAAGAATTAAACTGAATGTTCTTTTTGTGCTTTCCTATCTAAATGCAAATTTTACACTAACCCTGGATTTACCTAACACAGCTTTTCAAGACCAACCTGGTCCAGGAAAACAGAAAGTTTAAATAGGCAAACGAACAACTCTGAACATGAAACACAGTTTTTGGTACATTTCTTTGCTGTCCCTTAATGATGACGAAATGGAATTTGTTATTTTTGTGTTTTATAGAATAATATTATTAAAACTCGAGACAATGATTTTTTTTACTTGCATACAGAACTCAACTCCTTAAAAAATCTCTGAATTTAGAATAGTTAAATGAGATGGAATAATAACAATAAAGTTTAAAACGGCAAATTCATTTTTGTGTGTCCACTGTCCTAGGCTATTGTATCAGGTACCAATTTGGCGGCCATTTCATTAGAATAACAATGTACATTTTTTGTTTAGTCTGAACAGAATATTGTGGCATCATTTGACAGAAAGGGGGAATACATCTACACGGGGAATTCTAAAGGAAAGGTGAGAGGAAATTTTGATTTACCGTAATGCTATAATAATTTATTGTTGTGAGAAAGAAATTTGATGTCTGCTTATTCAAATAAACTCAATATTCTTTCTCTCTCCTTAGGTTTTGGTAATTGATGCCGAAACACATCAAGTAAGTTTTGTTGCAGCATGTAAACTAAGCACTGTCCAATAGCCACGGTTAGTGGATTTTGCTATCAGGCTAGTGAATTCGGTTCTTAACTTGCCCAACAGGCAAATGAAGTTTTTTAAAGGATTAAAATTACAGAAGAACTGTGATCAATCCTGCTGATCAAATTTTTTTCCGATTAGTTGAAATGACTTTTGGTACATGCTAGTTACAGCTTACCTGAATGGCAAGCTGTAAAACTGACCTTTGCACCTTGTGCATTGTGTTATTCAGCTATAACAAACAAAAAACAATCAGAAATTTCACTGGCTTGATTTTATTCCCATTCCAGGTGGTGACAGAGTTTAGAATACAAACAGGAACAAGTGCTAACACAGCTGTCAAGGCAATAGAATTTGCCAGAAGAGGAAGGTGTGATTAACATGTAGTACTGTTGAACCCCCCATAAACAACCAACCAATATGTGAAGATTTAGTGGTCCCTTATAACAATTGAACAACAGGTGGTTGTTTCTAAGAGGTTCCGCGTTTTAATTTCTTGGGATGATTTCAAAGTTATGATATATGTGTTTCAATGCCATTCCTTCAATCCTTTAAGCCCTAAGAGTGATCAGCATCAAATTTCTCCTTGTAATATCAATTCTTTGTAAAACAAGGTGGTCATGAGACTTACAGACATGATCACACAAGATGAATTTGATTGATATTTTATCAACTTTCCCTACTACTTCTGTAGGAAATGAATAGGGGCAACAAATGAGAATTCAAATTTTGATCTTAGGGCTTAAAGGGTTAAGTTCATTGTATAGTCTGAGCAGTGTGGTACATGCAGCAAACATAGAAATCAGAACATGCATCAAGCAGTCACTTACAAGAGGTTAAAGAAAATAGAAAGTGATAAAACTTTCACCACAAAAGGTGATTTCTGGTCCCTTATTAGAAGTGATTTTTTATGAGCGTTTCCAACTATTAGTCGTCTTCTCCTTACTAAGCAACACTTCTTACCACCTGCAACTGCTTGAAGGTTTACCAAAATGAAATACAATCTGATTCTCATGAGGAAATGAATGAATAAATGGGAAAGCACTAAATTATCAGGGTTGTCACTAAGATTTCAAGTTGCTGGGTAAAGACAACAAGTACGCGGGGAATGAAACAGCTAGAAACTTCTTTCGGTTCTATTTTTCTTTTATTTTCTTTTGAAAGTAGCTGGGGAAGACGTTCATCGTAGCCGGGGGAAATCCCCGGCCCCTGCCTCTTAATGACAGCCCTGAATTATACACTGCTTTTTTCTCTAGGCCACACATTTTGTAAAGAGAACATTGAAGACAGAGTAAAATTATTGGAATTAATTGTTGTCTAAAGATGAGGCCCTTCTCCACTTGCGGAAAGTTTTCGTTATTACATTATTACGGCAACTTTCTCTACTTAATGGACATTTCTCGTTATTACATTATTACGGAAAGTTTCTCTAGCTGGGGGCATTTTTCACGCTGGGTATGATATTTAAGACTTAGGCCAAATTAGGCAGCAGATCTTTATTATAGGCGGGGGAATAAAGCCAATCAGTGAATTTCCATAATAACTAACTTAATTTTCCTTTGTTTGTTATTGCGGCAAGATTATTTCTACCAATAAGAGAAACAACGAGGGAAAGGAGAAAGTAAAGAAGTTATCAAACAAAAACAAGAGAAAAAAAACTATTATGCTGTTACGAAGTAATAAGGAAAAAAAAGGAAATCATATCTTAGAACGCACATCATATGTATGTTGGGTCATTTGGCAACTGTTAAGGTAGAAAGAAACCTTTAAGTTTTTTGTTGTTGCTCTTGGTCAGTGGTAGAAGTCCCTAAAAAAGTCTTAACTCAAAAGTGACAAACCTATGGAGGGTACAAATTTAAGGGAAATCAGCACGCCTTCAAATATCTAATTCCTCTTTTTATCGTTACTTTAGTGCATTTCTCATAAACTCACAAGACAGAATAATCCGGGTATTTGACAGTCAGATTGTGCTGTCCTGTCAAGGAACTGTGGGCGCTGAACCTGAACCAATACAGAAACTTCAAGATCTTGTAAACAGGTGAAGACAACAAGTTATTCCGTTTGTAATCTGTGTTGGAGGAACTTTAAACATCCCAACCCACATAATGTTGTGACACTCAAAGTAATAGAGCTAAAATGTCTGAAGCAGGTTTTTTTTATATGTGTATTTATTATATATTTGGAAAGTTAGAATTTACAGTGGAGCATATTACCCAGCGTGCAGAGAAAGTAGTGTCCGATAGCCCAGGGCTAGTGGATTTTGCTATTGGGCTGGTGAATTCTGTTACTAACTTGCCCGACGGGCAAGTGAAGTTTTTTGAGAAAATCAAATTACAGAAGAACTGTGAAATTAATCTGCTCATGAAAACGTTTGGGGGGCTAGTTAAAATGATGTTTGGGCTAGTAAATGTTAGCTACAACTTGCCCGAATGGCAAGCTGTAAAGATGACTTTCTTTGCACCCTGTTACCTCAATAACCCCATTATCAACATTCGCCTCATCAACTCTCTCTTACATGTAACAGACACAGGGGTGTAAGGGTACTGCTGAGGTTAGAGTGCTTAGCTGCCTTTGGCGGGCCAAGTTTAAGTCCTGGATGTAACATCACAAGTGGGTTGAATTTGCCCCTGCTTCAAGATTTTACTGGTACTCTGGCCTACATTTATGAACAGAACTTACATTAAATTCGAGACATTTTTGCGTGAATGATTACTTCCTAAATTCATCCTGTGATAACCTCAGTCCACAGTGCTTATTATTGTTAATTTTTGCCTTACAGAACGTTGTGGAAGAAATGTTGTTTTTCTGGAGATGGAGAATACATCTGTGCAGGTAATCATGATTCTCCTAATTTTGATCTTTGAATCAAAATAGACGTTGCTCATTCTAGTAGCATGTTTGGAGGCATGTTACATATATGTAGGTCAGGGCTTTCATTATCTTTTTTAGCAGCTGTAGCAAGTGAAGATTTACAAAACTATAAAGCTTTCCACTTGATATCCTGTAAAATCAAGTGAGCTCAGCCATAACAGGTGGTGTCCCAGCCTGACATACGATCCCTCAACGGCACTTTCTCCCTTGAAATAACTAACTGAAAATTTTCCTTTTGTTAAGAACACAGTCATAAGAACAGCTTATCAACTGTAGTGCTTTGTTTTACCAGGATCATCTCGAACACATGCCCTTTACATATGGGAGAAAGGTGTAGGCAATCTTGTCAAGATTCTTCATGGAACAAAGGGCGAACTGCTGCTGGATGTAGTGGTGAGCTTTTGAGTAATATATCAAGCATGAGATCGGGCAAGACGCAGTGTTTCATCACCAGAAGAAACACTGAGAAGAGAGTTGAAAATACGATGTGCAGCAGAGTATTTTTGACAAACTTCAAAGTGTAACATTTGTTGATGAAACTCTGTGTCGATTGCTTGATAATACCTCTTAAACAAAATGATTTTGGAAGGAGAAATTAAGGATGCAAAATTGAGCAGTTTTTCCTCTGATTTCCTATCACTCATGAAACATTGATTTCATGCTGTTCATGACAATAAAATGGCCGGTATAATTTAGACAGTCAGTCTGAAGCTAGCCCACATCTCTGGCAGGATTTGTTGCAAATGACTGCCAACAAAGACTGCACAAAAACACCTGTAGAATGAATTTGTCTGTAAAGCTGCAAGAAGGATGGGGTTGAATCCTTCTGGGCTTCAAACTCACTAGGCATGGAATCATGCACTCCTGCATTATGACCCCACCAGCTACACGGGCTAACCTGAAACAAAAGCAAAACAGTCTTCCCATTGAACACTTCATGTGCTTTTGGGAGAAGGAGGGGGTATTATCGAACCTTATTCTGGTTTCACTTAATAAATTCATGTCTTTGGAAAGTATTTTTCTGTGGATAAATTGCTTTCCAGAGGACAAACAGTAACCAAACTGATCCAGTCTTCCTTACATTTATTTTGTCATCCTACAGTTCCACAAGAACCTAGGTAATGACAAATATTATTTCATCAACTGGAAAGAGATTTATCCAGTGGATATTTCGCCTAAAAGAAAGTTGGAAAAAATTGCCCTTTTCAAGTTACTATGCTAATGTATGGGCTACTTTTGTTTTTATAGAGTTATGTAAGCACTCACTTTTTTATCTTACCAGTGGCATCCAATCCGTCCAATAATAGCCTCGATTTCAAGTGGTGTTGTCTCAATCTGGGCTCAAAATCATGTGGTAAGGATCAAGAGAAGATCATTAGATTCTGAATAGGTCATTTCTGAGTTGCACCAAGCCTCTGTTTCAAAACGGGGCTAAGTTGGAAGCTCTTGATATTAAAATGATTTTTTTTATTCTCGTGCAAATGGAACTTATTATCACAAGAAAGGTCTTGCACTTCAGTAGCCTCGTTTTGAAAGTGAATGTTTTTGGAACTCGGTAATGGCCTATTTTATTGCAATGGACAATTATTGAAGCTGCTAAGTTTCGAAAAAGGTTGTCGGAAAAAGTGCACGCGACAATCCCGAAAGGTATTGTGGGTGGTTTTGAGATCGCTGCTCTTCGTAGAAATTTTGAAAGAATGGCACGAGAGGCCATGGACTTTGTTTCCGAGTGCTTACAGTGTCAGAAACAGTGTATTGATCATATCCCATATTACCTTTCGGGATTGTCGCGTGCACTTTTTTCCGACAACCTCTCTCGAAATAGCTGTATACTGGATAGCAAGAAACTCACTGGAAAAAACAGAAACAAAGAGCTGCAACTGCTGACCTACATGGTCTCGAATTGGAAGTGAAAATTGTAAAGGGAATGTGTCAGCACAATTTAATCCATTTGTTTAGTTTTGCCACCTACCGGCTATGAAAATTTTACTATAAAGCGTTAGTGAAGAAATTGCTACTAAAATGGGAAAATCACAGCTTCAGGATGTCTCCTGCAGCTTAAATCTCGAAGTTACACGCACTGAACCTTGACTGCAATCTATTTTAGGTCGTCACTTGTTTCCATCCGCCAATTTTAACCTTCTCTAATTTTGTCCGTTGGTGTCTTATTTTGTATTTATCTATTTAAAGCTTCCTTTACTTTTTAAGACATGAATTTGTATTTCACCTAATTTATTGGCTAGTTCCCAAATGGCTGAATTTTCCCATATAGTGTCTAAATAAGGTGCAATGTGACCATGGTGACCACGTGACATGCGACTTCATATATCATACTCAGTCCAATCAATGACCAGAAATTTTTTCGGAAATTACCGCGGAAATTACATCCTTGCATCCTAAATGCAGATTTAACATAGGCCATATCCGAGTTCCTAAAACTCACACTTTCAAAACGAGGCTATAGAAGTGCAAAACCTTTTTCGTGAAAATTAGTTTTATTTGCATGAAAATAAAAAATCATCTTCGTATCAATGGCTTCTCACTTAGCCTCGCTTTGAAACGGAGGCTTTGGGTTACTCGGAAATGATTTATTGTGAGAGATGTTAACTTCATTTGATTTTCTTTTAAAACAGGAAAACTGGAGCGCATTTGCACCAGATTTCAAAGAGCTGGATGAAAATGTAGAATATGAAGAAAAAGAAAATGAATTTGATATCGTAAGTATAGCACCGTCTATTGCGCTCAATAACCTATGTGCCAAGTCAAGCTTACGAAGCTGGGGCCCGTTTCTCGAAAGTCCCGACAATTAACGGGCCCGGTAAGCTGTCTCGGTTTCCATTAAAGATCGAGGTTTCAATAGTTTTGCATCTAACATGATAAAACTATCAGTTATAGAAACAAAATGGAGTAGTTTGCTTGCCAGGAGCAGCGCTCTAATTCTTTTTATTTCGATTTGAATATTTGATTTCGGGCCCGAAAAGTGACTGGGACTTTCGAGAAACGGGCCCCTAGCCTCGAAAGATAAAGTGTATGGACACGCGAGAACACAAAAAGCGCGCGAGGGACTGAAGAGGGAGAGAAGAGCCTATTAATAGTCTACGTTCGAAATATCAAAATTCTAACATGACTCCCATGCTTTAGGGACAAAATTGACCACTCCAGAAAATACCATAATATACCATAATGCTCTTTGTTTGTCACCCCAAAATTTTGCATAAGCATCGTCTTCAGTTTCTCTTAGGAGTTAAATGGCCCTAAGAGAAACTGAAAACAATGCTTACTGCAAAATTTTGGGGTGACAAACAAAGAGCATGATGGACCCAGATTCCCTCCGTTTCTAAAGTTAAGTTTCCCGCCATTTTCATTGTCAACCGATTTGGCAAGGGCCCATCTCAGTGTATGTTGCATGTTAGTTGAGAAGGCCTGTTGTTGTTTTATTTGGCTTTTTGTTTTGTTAAAAAGGAAGATGAAGATGAAGAAGCAGAGGTACCTTCTGAAACAGAGGCAGGAGAAGAAGGGGAAGTTGATGTGTGCACGGTGGAACGAATTCCCGCTCTGTGTAGCAGGTGCGAACTTTGAAACAAATGTAAATGCTCCATATATAAGAACGGCATTAGTGGTTAACTCACTTTGGATTAGAGACATCAGGGAGCTTCAGCATCGGCGACTGCTACAGCAGCGAAAACGTCACTTGCAAAACAAATCTGCGTTTTTTCAAACTTTGTCGCGTCTATTCCAGTTCGCTGAAAATGTCAGATGAAGGCGAATTTTCCTAGAGTTAATTTCTTTGGGGACCGTTTTCAAGATTAAAAAGAGAAAGAAAAAATCGTCGGCGCTTGTTTACGTCCTCTATAAAACGTGAAAATAGGGATTTTCACGTCGTAGTCGTGCAGTGACGACAACGAAATGTAGAGAAAAGCGTGATGCATGTGCAAAGTTGTTGTTTTGCTTACTACGCCTTTTTTTTTTTTGCCGATCTCGTTCCCGTCGCCGTCGTTGTTGCTAAAGCTTCGTATTTTAATAGATTCGAGGACGAGGGCAACTACAAGGACGAAATTTTCTCAATACTAAGTACTGCGCGTGCGTGAACCCGCGTCATTTTGGCGGGAAAAGTGGTAGCCGTCATCATTCTACCACAGGTTTTAGCGAGAATGTCGTAGTAGCCGAAACAAGTTGGCAAATGTTGGAACTTTTATCATTTTGTGATTGGAAGGGGGTTTAACCACTTTAAGTGTTAACTTTTCTGTGGAAGAAAAGGACCACAAGCTTTCCGGGTGTGTATTTTTTAAGAGTACGCGAAAAAACTAGGCGGACCGATCTAATACGATTCGGAAAACTGCCCACCTACGTCTTCTCTAACCCAACTTTAACACTAACTTCTCACTTTGGGAAAATGTTGGGTAAGGGGAGGGGTCGGTGGGGCAGTTTCCGAGAATCTATTTAACTCTGATCCTATCCACCCTGACTGTGAATTGTGATGTTGCAGCGATGAAGAGAATGACGAAGACATGGACTCAATATACTACCTTCCTGTCGCACCAGAAATTGATGATCCCGAAGAGACTGGCTGGACTCAGGAGGTATGTGGCAAAAAAATAGGACACTAGTGCGATCTTCCTAGACCCAATGTCCACATACAAATTCTCCATACATTTCCATGTAAAATAAGTTGAGAGAACTTGTTATAATAGGGAGCTTAAGCAACAACGACGGCTGCGAAAAATAATGTAAAGTCGGTCTGCTTCAAACTTTATCGCGCTTATTTCATCTCGTTCAGTTCGTCAAATGTTGGCAAATTTTTTTGGAGTTGAATTCTAAAAGACTTGTATCGAAGTTCAGGGAAAGAAAAATAAAGTTGTTGTCTTGTGTTAACGTTTTCCACAAAACGTGAAATTAGGCATTTCACGTCGTAGTCGTACAGTGACGGCAAAGAAATGTACAAAAAAGCGTGATGCACGTGCAAAGTTGTTGTTTTGCTAATCTAAACCTATTGCTTTTTTGACGTTCTCGTTGACGTCCCCGTCGTCGTTGCTTAAGCTCCCTAACATCAAAACATTTCCACTCACTGATCATTTTAGTAATTCTCCTGACCTTTTGTTTTGATTATGTATTGATATTTTTAAGAGGATGTTGGTCATTCTTGGAACTCACCTGGCCTAATTTTGAAAATGAGAGTTTTTAGGACTCGGAAGTGGCCTATTAACCTAATCGACCACAATTTTCGGATACCCACGCTTCTGTCTGATGTGAACCTTCGACTTTTTCAGTGTGGTAGGATTGTTAGTTTGAGGCTTTTAATTATCTTTGGTATTTCGCGGGTCTTAAATTTGTATAGGTAATAGCATGATTTGTAGTGATATTTGGCATTAATCATAACTATAACAAAATCCTCAAATCTGATTGGTTCTCAACTGCCCTGATTTCAGCCTTAATAGGACAGTGTAATAGGACAGTACGCGTCATGCCTAAGTAATTGGACAGTACGCGCCATCACGCGCGCGCTTAAATGGCTTTTTTTTCCTTGCTAGCGAAAAAATCTTGGAATTTCTAGTGTTTTGATTTAAAAAGAGCCCTATATATCACAAATTTTGTTAAAGTTATGATTAATTGGTAACAGAACTTCGTGTCGTCCAATTCGGTCTGTAATCATACTCGTGATTAAACAAATCGGACTCCCGCTATGCGGTCGTCCGATTTTGTTAATCACTCGTATGATTACAGACCGAATTGGACTCCACTCGGTCCTGTTACCATTACAAATACCACGAAAGATAATTCAAAATTGTTATACTTAATTTTACGAGCCGTTAGGCAAGTGGAATTTGAGACAATTTTGAAACATCACGAGTGGTATTTATGCCAAATATCAGGTACAAATCGTGCTATTATTTGTTTATACTACTACCCACGAAATGTTTGTAATTTTCACCTGTAGTTATTTCAAATTAAGCTGAAATACCACAGCTCTAAGCCAATCAAATTGTAGAAATTTCTCATGTGGTAGTATAAGGAGGCGATTTTTTTACAATCGCGAAAAACGCGAAATTGAGTACAAGTAAGATAGTTGTTTGTAGGTTGCAGTGTAATCAAGTTTGCGTTATTTAATTTGTTTTGTCAGACCGATCCACATACCCATGATTCCGAACGTAAAAGAGTCGCTTCGCAGGTGACTGGGAATGAGTCGCAGAAAAAGAAGGTCAAAGTGATTGACATTAGCCAACAGCAAAACGGAGAATCTGGTAAGAGAATCGCTAAACACGAGGAGGAAACACTGCTTTTCAGATACTGAAAGTTGAGTTGAAAAAAAAAAAAACAAGACATGGCCGACTTGTTTCAAAGACTGACGCCGAGGTGTCTGAGTATCATATGAAATACTCAATCGAATGTTTGAAACTACAGTACTTCTCAGATGAAGAGAGCAGTAATTCCAATTATTTATAACAATTAAGATCCGATATCCAAACTCCCTTTATGTGCCTGTTATTTCCTTTTGTTTTTTTGTTTACCGTAAATCCTCTATTAACCCCTCCCCCTCCTCCGCCCCCCGCCGGAGGCTTATTTGTTTCAAACCTATTTGAGGAAGGGGGGGGCTTAATAGAGACGGAGGGCTTATTTAATTAAGAAAAGACGATGGTATGAATATAAACTGGAAAAGCTCAAGTACAAGAAGTTTTAGGTGATGCAACAGAGGATCAAAAACAAATCTGAACTTCCAGATGGTGAACAAACCATCCCGGATCAGTCCACGCGAAGGTTTACAGTCGTGATTGAATAATACAGTCTATCATTTATTAATTAACAATTAATGAATGAGGCTGAGTATCTTTTGAAGAATTATGGAGAGCGAGGAGGGTGTTATCCGTCAAGGCCGTAGGCCGTGAGGGATAACACCTTCGAGATCTCCATAATTCTTCACATGATACGAAAGCTGAATTCAATAATTGTTTTATTATTCATTCAAAATAATTCCTAGTTTAAAAACATGGCTAAAACACGCTTATCTCCATCGATCCATCGATGTTAAGTTCATCTTCGGTAGTGCACGTTTAGGGTTGTTCAGCTCCGCAAATATTCTCCAAATAGCTGATGTCGTCCTTCGAGTTGTCTTCTTGCTGTTCTTGCCATGTTTTTAGCTATTATTTCGCCTAGTTGTTACTCTTTAACGAGTGAAATGTCTACCATTTTTGTTTTCACAACCAAAACAACTCAACCTCATCCCCAGGTCTTCTCGGTTAACGGTGCATTAACCTGCAAGAAAGCAGCACTTTTGACATCATCGGTTCATTAAACGCAAAATTTTTCCAAATTTGGTCATCAGAATCAGAATCGGGAAAATATTTTGAATGAATAATAATGAAGATTTATTTGGGGAGGGAAGGGGTGGGGCTTATAAAAGGGGGGGCTTATTAACTTTCTTCCCCTGAAAAGGAGGGCTTATTTGAGAGGGGTGGGGATGAACAGAGGTTTTACGGTATTTTGTTTTTACCATGGACTATTCAATTGTGTTTGAGAAGCGTCGACAAGGTCTGTTCAAAACTCGGAACCTTTCTTTAGGAACCAACGAAATTCAATTAATGATGCCATTATATGGGACGAGCTTCCTCACACTGCCGTTTTCTTTCAGAAAATCTAACCAACACTACACAAATGCATGTGGTTAGATAAAATATTGAAAGCCATTTTTTAAGGCAGCGAGTCTTATCTTTTAAAGGGTTTTTCTCCCTGAGTGTCAAGGTTTTTTGTGGCATAACAGTATGAGTAAACTGGTGAAAGACAGTTTGTGGAGAGCTGGGTTATAAAGAGAGAATTTTGTGATTAAAATTGCGTGTTCGATAATGCAGGGACTGTTCAGGTTAGTTGCCCAACGAGCTTTATCCTTCTCCTGTTTGTTTTATCGTAGGATTGCACAAGAATGTACCTTCTCACACGGAAGTAACGCCAGCCATAAACCCAGAAAGCGCTACAACAAAAACAAACGAGCTGGAGCAACCATTGAATTTAGATACGGACTCCGTATTCGAATAACGCCTTAAAAAAACGCTTTGGTGTTGTTCCATGTTGATCACTGGGTTTAGATCCAAAAATGCCCAATCAAATCAAAGAAACGTTAAAAACCAATCAGATCTCGATGCAAAGCCATGAGAACGTTCACTGTGCGCGGGAAAAAGAACTGACCAGGATTGTACGGTTGGTTGAACTCTCATCTGATTGGTTGATCAAACAGCGCGCTCACTCCGGCCTTAAAACAATTTGTTTTCAACAATTTTGACAACGAAGCAAAAGGTGTCATGGGTTCGTGTTTGGTAAAGGTTTATTCAGTATGTGTGTGTATGTGTGTGTGTCCTCCGTGTCGTCGAGTGATTCGATGCTATTTTTCTAAGATGTATGTGTTAAGTTATTTCAGTTATTTTATGGTATGTTAAGGCACATTGTGTGTCTCATATTGTACATAATAAACTCTTTTACTACCAGTAAGTTAGATTGTAATCAAAGGTTACTTTTACCGACATAAGCTTCGGTGTGACTTTTTATGTTTCGTCAAACTAGCTGCAAAAGTCAGCGGGTATGCTTGTCCCAGAATAACGCGAATTTCCCTTCGGCTTGCGAGGAAAGTTGGAGAGACCTAATCCGTCTTTGCGTTCGCCCTATTTCAAGCGTAAGGTCACACGCCCGAGATGCAAGGATGGCCAATCTCGTCACCAGAGCCCTCGTGGTCATGCGCAATAGAGAATGGCTTTGGGGTCGAGAATGCAAGGAAAACGAACCGCGGCCGGCTCTTTGCGCATGCTTCAAACTTGAAAGTACAACCTACTTTCTCGCAGGCTGCGTTCAGCCTCCATTTCGCTCCTGCCCCTCTCTCTCTCTCCTTTTCAGATAGGTACGAAAAGGACTGCAGTGCAGACGACAGCGGCGCTGATCAGCTCATAGCAGGGCGCACAAAGGCTTATCCGCCTTGGCTTATAGTCTCCGTACTAAATACGCTGCCGCGACTTCAATACTCCGAACTGCTCACAATTTGCTCCCGATTGGCTTCGTAGCTCAGTCGGATAGAATGCTGGTAGAACTAATCCAGCGATTGGGACTTCAATCCAAACCAGGGTCAAAAAAAATTTTCTTCGTTTCCTGGTTTATCTTTCTTTCCTTTCTAGAACTTGCAGTTCAGAAGCATTGATGGAGTTTCTCACTTTTTAGTTCTCAATAAACACAATGTGGAGTGCTACGCGGGTTACACACTTTAGTGAAATCCAACTAGTGGTCTATTATCAATGCTGCGTTCTGATCAGTTGAGCTACTACTAGGCTATATGTTATAGCCCACTAGTGGCGAAAAGCGCCGGCTTTGAAAGCCAAAACAATGCCGGCTGAATCGTGTTTTGCTAGCTAAAGTTGTTTTGTCGGCCTTCGGCCTCATGGAATATTGACTCAGAGCCCATTCGGGCTCGAGGAATAATTGCTAATGATACGCTACATATCAGTAAAAATGAACCAAATGTGATTTTCAAAGTGGTGTGCCTTAGTAAACTGGCAAGGTTTGTACCCAGCTTAACACAAGTGTGATTGGTATCAACTGGAACTGGTACCTACTACCAATAGTAGGCAGTTTTAGCGGTTGTCCGAAAAACGTTCACCTGCTGGCTTTTACTGATACACTTGCCTCATCTCCCACAAAAATCTAGCTCCGGCCCTGTTATAGGCAGCAAACGCCGGTTGTACGACAGTCCCAGTTTGCCTTAGATGACTTAGATTGGGGAAACGTCATTTGCCCTTTACCGGGAGAAACAATGGTCCTTGAGATATTCAATGTCTCAGGCAGGGTAGCATGTGTAGCAAGCGTTTCCGTGTTGTTTCTTAGCAAAGCCCGAGGAACGGGATGTTTGATTTTGGCTGCGCGAAACATGAATCAAGAGCCAAAAAATGGAAGAGGGGAGAAGGGGTGAGGCATTTGCACACTCTTTTTTAAACCACCCTGGGGTTTTGGTTTGAACCGCCCGCCCCACCGTGGGGCATTTGCGGCTCTTCCAAAAGAAAATGAGAAATGCCTGAGGGGATAGATACCCTTGGAATTGACTGAGCCATTGTTGAAGCGAATGTCATCACCTAAACGGCGAGAACAGTTTTCATTTTGCTTTTCGCAGTAACACGTCTTCGTCGTTTTTTATTAACTGGAGTTAAAAGATATTCTCCGCTCCTTTTTGCTCCGGCTTTTTTTGCTCCGATAAATGCTTGGAATCAGTGTGCTTAAGCGCACCGTGTTTTGAGAAGGACCTACTTCCGGGACAATCACTTTCACTTTTAAGCCGGTGAGCACTGTATCAGACTTGGCTGTTTCCCAGAAGTGAAGTCACGTGTCTTCGGGGTGAAATCCCGCATTCATTGTTATTGTCTTGCTCTTTGGAGAAAGCCAGCGAAAGGCAGAAGCCCGAAGGAAAGTTAGGACTGCAGTGACGAAGAAGAAATCTTTTTAAAGATGGGCAGCGGCGATTCAAAAATTGTAAGTACAATTTTGTACGAGGTCTTTGTAAGGCCCGGTTCAGACGCCAAAAACGTTTCATGAGCCGAACCTAATTCGACTTAAGGCCGACACAAATTATTAAGAACGGCAGAATTGATTCAGACGCTGATCTTAATTGCAGCTGAACTAAGCTCAAAAGGCGAAAAATGCTCATTTCGGTCAAACTTCCTACAAAATACGTTATAATAATTTATGCATTAGGTTCGGTACATGAAAAGTTCGGCGTCTGAATCAAAGTCGCTCTAAAGGAGAAATTCCCGGTCGGGCTAGGCGAAAAGAACGGCTGAGCCGTTGCAAATTGAAACAGGCATTCCTAATTGATTCAGACGCCGAACTTTTCATGTACTTAATTCAATGTGTTAGGTTCGGCTCATGAAAAGTTCGGCGTCTGAATCGGGCCTAACTTATTTTGTATTTTAGTAGTCCCTGATTTTTTAAAATTGGCTGCGTAAATTAAATGAATTTCCCCTCGATTCAATCCAGGGGCGAAGCGTCCTTTACGCAAATACGCACGTGAGTACTTGAGAAATTGATAGGATTTTTTTAAAGATTTTCTGTTACAAGTAAAAGCCATTTGTAGTTCCTGTCTGCCTCGCTATATTCAACATCGTTTGTACACGTATTAAAAATACAACAGTTTGAGTAGTGAAACGTGATAGATTCGAAACATTCTTGAAATGTTTGCCTACAGGCGATCCCACAATACATTGCGTATTCATAACAATAGGAAAAGAATCAACCCGGACTGATCATCATTCCCTTTAAGATTTGCCTGGAAAGTTTTCCCATTGAAAGGCCTTTCGTTTTTTTAGGTTTTTTTTTTTCTCTCTCTCCATAAATGTCGAACAAGTCTATCAAAAAATGCCTTATTGTCGCTCAACTTCACTTCACTTCACTTATTTATTTGATGTAACCTCGTTTATTAAATAAATGTATTATTTACATCTCGGGTCAGCGGATTCCTAGAGAATCGTAAATAACAATAATTTGCGGAACTTAGCATCGTCCGCAATTTCTACAACATTATGTAGTAGATTATTCCAATCTCTAATTGTGCTTGGCACAAAACTGAATTTGAAAATCTGGGTTCGAGCAAAAATTGTGGTGTAATATCTATTGTGCATATGTCTTGTCTTTCTGGCCGGCTTTGATAATTCATCCAGGGGCAGGATTGCGTTGTTATCTAATCCCTTTTTGATAAGACAGAGTCTGTCTACTTCTCTCCTGTTCTTTAGAGACTTCCAACCGAGATCCTTTAAAAGCGTAGTGACACTGCCAAGTTCATAATTTTGGTAATCAGATGTTAAAAAACGCGCAGCGCACCTCTGTATCTTTTCGATCTAGTTTGATAGTTTATCCGTATATACGAATCCCATGGTTCGCTCGCATACTCGAGTAATGGTCTTACTAGGCCAAGGTAAGTTGCCTCTTTTACTCTTCCGTCACATGTTGAAAGGTTCCGTCTAAGGAGTCCGAGTAGTTTGTTGGCATAGCATGGAAGTTCCATCTAAGGTCATCTGATATCGTTACTCCGAGATATTTCGTGTGCTGAACAGATTCCAGACTCGTGCGTTCCATAGTGTATTGATAAGTGATCTTGTAGGTGGTTTTTCGAGATATGCGCACTATCTTGTACTTGCTTGGCTCAAAGCACATGTACCATTTCTTGGCTCAAGACGTTAGGTGATCGATATCCTTTTGGAGTTGTTCACAATCTTGGACGTTCGCGATTGGCCTGTAACAGACACAGTCGTCTGTAAATAGTCGGATTTCCGATTCGACCTCATCCACTATGTCATTGATGAATATATTAAATAATACCGGTCCTAGGACTGTTCCTTGAGGAACACCTAATACGACTGGCGTCCAATCTGAAAACATTTGGAAAAACATGGACCAAACCATGCCGACGATAATCCACGTATTACGTGAAGCAAACTATTGGGTGAACGTGGTGCGGTATCAACAAGAATTTTGCAGGAAATTTACTCCTACCGAACAGATGTAGCTTTTTTTTTTTCAATGACAAACTTTAGAGATATTCATGCCGAAGAACTGGAAAGAAATATATGCTGACTATCAGTTGTTTGTTCCTTTCTCTTGCTCATGATAGAAATATTAAACGGAAAAACTAAAAAGGTCAGCAAACGACTAAGCGTGAGGAAAATTTCCACAAACCAGGGCCGCACCTAGGATTTTTTGTCTGCGGGGGCAAACTCGGTTTTCGTGAGATTTCGGACCAATATAGCTACAAGAAACAGCCCAGCAAAATCAGACACTATGTTAGAAAAAAAACATTTAGTTTTCCTGGCGGGGGCAACTGCCCCCTTCGCCCCCCCGCTAGGTACGGCCCTGCAAACATGAACGTGCTGGTAAACATTCCTGTAGCAGCTCAACGAAGAACGTTTTAAAAGCTTTTGTTGATATAACGTTCTACTGTAAACAAGCCCGTAGACCCTGTAAACCGTCAATTATGTATAACTAAAAGAAAGCAAAAACGTTATTTTGTGGGAAGTTTTTAAAACCATATGGACCTGTGTGCGTACTTGTCAAAATGGTTACGCTACGCCCCTGGATTCAAAGGGAAGAAGCAAGGGTCCTTTGGATTATTTTCTTGTGATTTTTATGTATACATATAACTTTTTTTCAATTTTTTCAATTTTAAAAACTTTTCTGGAAACCAAACTGATGATAATTTGTAATAAATTGTTACACATCAGCTGTAGATCGTGTTTTCTACTGAGGCATTACTTGTCACACCACATAGACCCACTTAAAACTGCAGGTTACACTGACTGTTCCTAGGTCCAAATAATCGTTAAAAGCAGATTTTTGTACTTAGAATTAATAAAGATACGCATGATAGAAAGAAAATTATCTGCACATTGCGTTTTGTGTGAATTGCATAGGGGCGTTTACGAGTGCTTCAAACTGTTATGTACTCCTTCCGATTAGAAGCGTAAAAAACGTCAAAATTTACAAATCGCCAAAAGTCCAAGAAATAAGTACGAGGAAATTATGACCCTTTTCCAAAAATAAAATGCAAAAGAGGCGAATTTAGGGCATACAAATGGGACGAAAAAGGTTCTTTTCCCATGCATATAATCTAAATTTCTGGGAAATATACTTTCGCTTGCGACCCTCCCAGTAACGAATTCCAGGAATTAGACAACTCTTTCATTCTATTTGTTTTCTTTTTCTATGTCGTAAATACCAATACCTTCTAAGAAATAAAGAAAAGTAATTCTAAGTAAATTCATTTGGACACTTTAGAAAGTTTTTTTTCTTTTCGTCAGCAAAGAACATATAACTTTTTTCGTCAGGCCATTTGTTACTTGCCAGTCACGCTATACGTTACTTTTCAATTAAAATAGTCACGCGATGTTTATAAAGAGTGCTACGATTCTGTTATATCTTCAGGAGTAGTTTGAAGGAGATCAAAACAAGTCGGTTAGTCCAACCATTCCAACTTCTCGGAAAGGAGAGCATTAAGTTTTTTATATGAAACAGCGGAGATGGTATTCGAAAGTTCTTTGTATCGGTCAGCTGGTAATCGTTAGTGCCCAAAGAGTAATTTTTCCAACGGACATCCCCGTCCCTTTCATATAAAGAACCCTCTGGGAATTAGCTACGTACTTTAACATTCCCCATAGTACACCTCCCTCACCCCCCACCCCACCCCTCCGCTCCTTCTCCCTACTCCCTACCTGCCTGTGGACATGCCAAATCGCCCGCGTAAACGGCAGTCTGGTGAGGGGGTGGGAGAAGGATAATTAAAACGATGTGCGCGAGGGACTCAAAGACCCGATTTCCGTAACTTCACAGAATGACAGCTCAATCCAGAAGTACATTGTTGACAGCCTTCTGTCTATTATCTATCGCGTAGTTTTATTATCCGATAAGCGCGCGATCTGGTTGCGTGTGTCAAAGCGGAGCGTGATGGGGTGGTATCAGTGACGGGAAAGAGAACCACAACTGTCTTTGATTTTGTTTTCTCTCTTGCCCACTCGCTGACCATATTCCCTCGCGTGTTGCGCTCTTTTTGCACGTTTGTGGCCTCTTCTGTTTCCAGATTGCGTTAAGTAAAGAGAGAAGCTGAGAAGAGTCTAAATACTGTCTATGAAAGAGGTAGGCATGTTTGCTTAATGACACTGCACGTCTCATCTGTACATTCGATCGATTCTGAAACCGACGATTAAAAGTTTTTCGCGTGTTAGTTAACCCAGTCAAAGCAATAAGGTAGTATTTATCTTTTTGTTTATTTACCTATTTGTTTGTTTGTAATTGGGACAATAGAATTATGAAACAGTGGACAGAACAGATCCAAATGCTGCACGACAAGGCCGACAAGAAGCCGAAGAGGAAAATCAAGAAAGGATGAGAAGACTCCAGATTGAGATGCAAAGAGATCGCGAAGAGGCGATTCGTGAAGCACAAGAAAGGGCCAGGTGTGAAGACGAGGAGCAGCGAAACCGATTAGAGCGTCAACGTCTTGAGAGAGAAGAAAGGGAGCGACAGCGAAAGGAGGAGGAATCATTTTGTCAGCTTAAAGATGCTCTGATGAATTACGACTTACAGCAATCCCCGAGGATTAAAAAGGAAAGTTTCCGTGATCTCGATATTGGAGATATGGATGGAGTGCGTATAGCTTTAATCGGGCCCGCGGGTTCGGGAAAAACATCGTTCATTGGTAAGAGTTTTCCTGTTCTTTTAAAATCAAAATCCAAACGAACAAACACCAAAAAATAGAGAATTATTCGCTAACACACTTATCGAACCATTTTGAAGTCAAAGCCTCGAGACTCGTTAGGCGTAAAGTCCCCACCCCGGAGTAGAGTATGGAATTTCTACACTCGTTCCTCAGACGCCTTTCCATAGGTGGTGTCACGAAATGTCGGCTGTTTTCTCAAACTCGAAAAAAAAAGTTACTTTTGAAAAGTTTTTTTTCAAGTACGGCAACTTTTAGCAAGACCGCGAGATTCTACCTTTTTCACTGTCTGGTCTTGTGTTTTTTTTAACGATATCATTCTCTATGCTTTCGTTGTTTTTCATTTAGAGGTCGTCCCTTATTCAAGACAGGGCATTTGATCCTCTCTCGGTTTGAATACTACATGTAAAGCGGTCGGACAGTCTTCTTACGACACTCGGTTACTCCTCGTGAGGTATTTGAATTTCTCGTTCGATTGTTCTACGACCACATGGCCTGTGCCTATAAGAGAAGGAAACTAGGCGGAGCAAAGACTTCCGGGATTGTTAATAGGGACAGGGAAAAAATTGGCCAATAGCTGACCGGCGCGTCCCCAGAAACAAATGCGGCACACATTTCGGCTCCAGTCCCTTCTCGTTTCCATAAAAGTGGTGAATGATCCCACACCACCCTCCATTAAATCATATACATCTGTTCCTTTAACTATAGGTACTCTACAGCGATCTCTAAGGGGGGACATCCATTGGCAGACTGTCTTCGATCCGGCAGGCGAAACAACTATCATTCTGGAAGAATACAAGTTGCATCCACAAATAAGTGTCTTGGATACAAGAGGATTTTTTGACAGCGATGAAAAGCTTTTGGAGGAATGCCTCAACATTATGTCGGGAAGGTAATTAGTGTTCTAACCCTGGGGGCGGGTTGGGTGTTCTACCCCTTTCCTATCGAGAGCGACGTTTGATACGTAAATGAAACGAGTGACTCAGAAGATTATCTGAGTACCCCCAAATAGTTTCGTACCTATGACCCTTCACACCATACAAGATGGATTTTGCGCCGGCACGAAAACCATACTGGATAGGGCTTCTGTTCCCAACACACATAAGAATGGTGATTTCGGCGCCATGTCTGTAACGGAACGAAGCTGCGCCGCGCCGATCTCTAAAGTGGAGAGTCACATATCGGATAGGTGTTCACACTATAGCGGATAGTTTTTCGTGTCGGCACGAAAACCTTAACCTTAGTGGTTCAGACTCTCCACCACACAGCTAGAGGAAACTTGAAGCTACAGCTGAAGCTAAACTAGCCTCCCTCGCAGATGTTGTTAGGGGTTCGCCACGCGTTCCTGCCCCACAAACGTCTGATGAAACGAGAGGAAAAAAACGTTGACCATTCACAGCACACTTCCAGATCTAGGAAGTGCACTTTGGACCTTAAGAAATTTCGTGTGAGACTTCAAAAAAGATCAGAAAGGTTTCATGAAAGATAAAGAACTTACACTTTTAGAACAAACTACTCAGTTAACTCACACGTCTTCGCACAGAGAGAAATATACAAAAAGCCAACCCTTATCTCCTACATTCTTGTGCAGAGCAAAACTCTGTGGTCACGTATCGCTCTCGTCTCTGCCGCGCTTGTAGGTCGTGTTTGGCTTGTCAACACTTTGACTTCAACGCCGCGGATTAGTTCTCCGATAGTCAGTAGGTAAGCTCCAGCTGATATTTGCTAACAATAAAAAAATGAGAATGGAATCTAACCTCTCGTTTCGTTTCAGTGGGACAGGGACGCATGACGAACCCCTAAGAACGTCTGCGTAGGAGGCTAAACAAAGCTAAACATCATGCACACTGCTAGGACTGAAATGTTGTAGTCCGTACTAAAGAGTATCTTCTTTGAAATCTAGTGCCTTGTTTAAACCTGGGTCTGACACCAAAGCTTTCTTTCCAGCGGTGTCGATGGATTTTCGCTACCAGTTCATGTCTAGCCTGCCTTGCCGCCGGAGACCTAGATAGCAAAGTGGATAAAGTCCAATATACTAGATATATCTGGAATTTAGAGTATCCGCGACGCAAGCTAGTTTATGTCACAAGTTGAAAAAACCATGAATGGACTATTATTCTATTAAACAAGTGAATCTAATAGTCGCTCCGGGCTTTTGTAAGTTAATGTTAGGGATTGCAAGACAGTCTTAGATTCTGCATTGCACGCCATGGTTTCCGGATTCCAGGTACTAGATTCCAGTCTTTATCAGTGGAACTGGGACTCTGGATCAGTCCAATCGTTAGAAGGATTCCGGATTCCTTGAGCTATATTCCGGATTCCAAAGCCCAGGATTCCGGATTCCACAAGCAAATAAACCGAATTCCGAAATCCAAATTCTCTTACATGAGGGGACATTTACCATAAATAAATTTTCGCATACTTCTCAATTTTAGAATTCGTCCAGGTGAAGAGATCGAACGATGCTATGACGGAAGTAAAGACAAGGGTAAAGTTGGTAATCCTCAGACAGGAAGAAAAGCTCCATATCTCTCCAAATATGCTCATGCAGTCATCTTTGTAGTGAAGGCAAATGATCCGCGGTTGAGGGACGGCAAGTACGAAAACACTTTGCAGAAAATGCGAGAGCATTTCAGAGAAGACGGTAAGATTAACGTTTTTTGCAATCTGTAACTTTAAAGTCTGATCACTAACATACACTAACACAATGATCCACATACGCGCAAGAGTGGTTCGGCTTTTTGTTTTCTTCGCAAAGCGACTGAAATCACCCATCTTTTCTCCAGGACCCCCCAGCTCAAACAAAAATAGCTGAGGTTCTACAATTGCTTTTTCAAGACAATTGGCGTCAACAGGTCATTTCCGAGGCCATTCGCGAACCCCTCAAACTTCTGAGAATCAGGCTAGGTCCCCAACAGATTCAACGAGTTACCTGAAGTCCTTTCATTCTGATTCGCAAATCGACAATGGCTTCTTTAACTGGCCAATCATAGCGCGAACTCAAATCCTGGTGAACAGGTGGGGCCCAGAACAAGGATTTCGGCGCTATTTTGCAGACGAACTTAACAACAAAGTTTAGTTTCGTCTATGGCGCAGGTTAGTTCACAATAGCAGATTCAGAATATTTAACATCTGTTGGGGGGGCGGGGAGGTTGGGTAAGGTGTCTAAATTTATTTCGACGGTTATCTGAAGCTTTTCGATGGCAAGGCAAGCTACCCACATAAGACTTAACCTTCAGAGCATTATTAGAGAAGGGCAAATCTCCACCCTCAGCGAACACAGCAACCGATAGGCGGCGCTGAGAAAACAGCACCAAAAGGCACAATTGTAGCCTACGAGCTTATACGGCCGCCTCCATGCTCCGTGCTAGAGAAACACGAAACGTCTCTACCGGCGAAAAACAATTAGGAGAGGCGGCTGCATTCGCTGGCTAGCACCAACAATGCTAAAGATCGAAATCCACCAACCATAAAAGAGGTTCGAAATGCACCTGTCACATGACTAAATGCCTCATTTTCGATTGAAATGATAATTTAAATTCTTATTCTTTCAATTCATTTGTTCGCTTCGGATTGGCTTAAATTCCCCACCTAATTCTTTCCATCAGCTGCCGTTGACCAAATTTGGAAGAGTTCTGCCGCTAACAACACAACAGGTCATTTCCGAATTCTAAAACCCCTCACTATCAAATCGAGACTAAGTGCAAAACCTTTTTTATTATAATGAGTTTTATTTGCTTGAGAATAAAAGATCATTTTGTATGGAAAGCGTAGGTCACGTGGTGAGAAGTTAAACAGAGTTTTAGTTATGCACCCATCAATGTAAATCCCGGTGGGTGGGGAGGCGGGCAAGGGGGGGATTTGATGCCTGAGACTATCCCCATGTTGGGCTTTTGATCGTGAAGCGACCCCGGGGTCGGGACATTTGACTTTGACCGATAGAAGCCCGGTATCAATTCAGAAGCGGTTACCAAGTCCGTCCCTCGAGGCTTTCTGAAAGTCACGCTGTTGGAGAAAGGTATGAAGTTTTCATTTGTCTTAATCGCCATAATCCGATACTTTAGACTGTCATCTAAACAGATAATGTGTAGTTTTTATCTTCAAGTTCCTATCTGATTGTAAACCTCGATTGAAATCGAATTTTACCATGAAAGTCAGAGGATTTTTTACGGGTCACTGATCCGACCTGTTCCCACATGTTGAGCAGATGTTATAAAGCATTTTACGTTTCATTAATATAATAGCACGGTCAATCTTCCTGGAGCGATTATGTTGTTCAAAATAAGAGATGCTAGTGGAGAGAGAAAATACTTAATTACAGCAAGTAATTTAACGGAACTTACGTTAACCTTAAATAAAAGTAGTAAGAACGTACTTTTGAAATGTTCTTTTATTCGTTTTAAATAGTATTATGGTATTGTTTGTTTAGATTTTTCCCCCGGGGTGGGGGCTATTTTGACTCCACTACACAACATCAACAGACAAAACGTAATGGCAAATAAGTTTATTTTGGGACGGCTTGGCGAGAACCAACCCTACAAAGTATTTATGTAAATACAATAATAGGTGAATACTGGTGAATACCTAATGTACAACACTTGTAAACTAGCTTTCACAAAAAGATAAAACTCGTGCGACAAATGGTCGCTCTTGACCTGAATCTCCCATTTAAGCAGGCAGGCTTAGTGCCAGGTAGGCTGCCAGTCGTTCTGGGGAAACTAATTAATAAAACTCAGACAACGCATAACTGGCACACGGAACACGGTAGTAGCACAGAGGCTAAACAAAAAAAAAAAACTCCTCACAACTGGTCGATCTCGACCTGAATCCCCAAATAAGCACACAGGCTTAGTGCCAGTTAGGCTGCCAGTTAGGCTGGGGAAACTAATTGATAAAACTCAGAAAACGCATAACTGGCACGAGGAACACGGTAGGAGCACAGAGGCTAAGCAAAAAGAAAAAAACTGCTACAACTGGTCGATCTCGACCTGAATCCCCAAATAAGCACACAGGCTTAGTGCCAGTTAGGCTGCCAGTTAGGCTGGAGAAACTAATTAATAAAACTCAGACAACGCATAACTGGCACGAGGAACACGGTAGGAGCACAGAGGCTAAGCAAAAAAAAAAACTGCTACAACTGGTCGATCTCGACCTTAATCCCCCAAATAAGCACACAGGCTTAGTGCCAGTTAGGCTGCCAGTTAGGCTGGAGAAACTAATTAATAAAACTCAGACAACGCATAACTGGCACGAGGAACACGGTAGGAGCACAGAGGCTAAGCAAAAAAAAAAACTGCTACAACTGGTCGATCTCGACCTGAATCCCCAAATAAGCACGCAGGCTTAGTGCCAGTTAGGCCGGGGAAATTTAATAAAACTGTGATCAACGTATAACTGGGACCGGGAACACTTCAGGAGCACAGAGGCTGAGTGCCAGGAAAACTGGGAATTATCTCCACTAATGTACCCAACAAGGCACGTAGCCCAATAACCAGTAAGACTGCCATAAAAGGCTAGGGCGGGACATTGAGGGTAAACAATGAATAACGACCCTGGCTAGAGGTCTGTAACATTGCCTGCAACCTAACTGCGTCAAACGAGACTTACGTCGCCTCCTAAAAAGAGCGGTTCCGGGACAGCTGACCTAAGCATACATGGAAACTAAATATATCAAGTAAAGGAGCAGGTGCAAAACTGAGATAACTAGTGTACAAGTACATAAAATAAGAAACGGGAAAAAGGCTGAAAACTAGCAGAGCTGAGCTACCGCTTACAAACTGAAGTAAATGCGGTCAGACGGAGGCCAGAAAAAACCTGCCCAAAAAAAACCCCGAAGAAAAAAAAATGCGGGCAGGAAATCTGGGTAGGAACCAAGGCTCAAGCTTAAAGCCCTTCCTACGGGACTTTACAATGTAATCGAGAATATGTTGCTCCTAAAAATAAATAAAACAAAAATTTAAGAAAAACCAAGGAGAGGTTGGTCCGTAAGCCTAGATGACGAACACGTGATATACGCAGCCTTATATACCCCCGATATGGCTACCCATGGTGCACCCGGCCTAGTACCCAGGCCCTGTTGTATCTCGTGCCGTCAAAATATTTATTTCTGCCTTCTTCGCGGGCTCGTTCGTCAGAAATAACATATTTTGACTCCACTACACAACATCAACAGACAAAACGTAATGGCAAATAAGTTTATTTTGGGACGGCTTGGCGAGAACCAACCCTACAAAGTACGTAGAGTGACAAAGTATTGGGCGAAATGACAAATGAAAGCTCCTAGAGCCCAAGAAACTTGGAAACTGAAAGCCTTTTTTCTAGGTCATCATCGGTAGGCGCCCTTGGCTAGAACGGACTTTCAGCGGCCGAGCCACTGAAACACACTGTCACAAACCCCATGATAAGCAGCGAAGGTGGCCCCTCACGAACGCAAGGAATATAAACCAAAAGTGGAAGAGTCAACCCCGACAATTCTCAGGTCCTTGCGAAAAGCCTCTCTAATTGTGGTATAGCTGATAGGCTCGTTCTGGGAAACTAACTAAAAAGAGTTGTTCCCGCGAAACATGGGGCAAAAATGAGATCCCCAGAGCTAAAGGGGATGGAAAAAAGAGCAAGGTACCTCTTTAGAAGCTTGACAGGACAAGCAGGGCCAAACATTTCCGAAAAAATCACTTCGAGTCATCGTCCTTACAAAGTTGGTCGTTCTTGCTTTTGAGAACCTTAATGATCATGAAACCCTCACAAAGAAAATATAATACCCCCTAATTATGGAGACCTCATCAAACCTAAAATCGTTTTGAAAACACACCTAGCCCCTTCAATAATCGAGTTATCCCTGGGAGAGGGGAAACCCGCCATGGTATGAACCCATTTAATACCATAAACATCCGAGTCTACGACGCACGGGGAGTGCGACTCTTCAATGAGGTGTTGCAAATACAAGGCAACATGGCAGGGACTGGCAGGACAGGCCCAGGAATGAAGCTTACTGGCAGCAAAACATTTTTACTTGCGAGAAGCACGAAGGTACACCACTGTCGTACTAACTGCCTTTATAACATAGCTAGAAAATTCGCCTAATCAAATTCAATAGCGCGAGCGTGCTTCATATTCCTATTGAGCACGCTGATGACGTCAATAAACTATTCGTAATTCCTCGAGTTGTTGTGAGCTTAGCAATCCTGAGTCTCTTGAGTGCATCCATAACTCAGCAATAGACAATGAAGCGTTTACCATGTGTTTTGTAAAGAAATTTAAGAGGAAACGTTTGAATTTGTTAACCGATAGTAAGGAAAAGAGGTGAGTGTTGTTGTTGTTGTTGTCATCTCCGCGAGCTGTGCGGGCTATGGCGTGAGCTCATTCTTTGCAAAGTTGTTTTCTCTCAATAACAATTTTTCGGTAAATTAATAGTTTTCCGGCACCTAAATATGGATTTTACAATCATTTTAGAGTACACTTTCTCTCAGTTTCAGGATAAAAACATAAGATTAACTGTGAGGAAAAAAGATATATTCACGTAAACATTGACGCGTACTGCTTTGAGCGCGCCCTTCAATAATAAAATTTTCAGTTAACTGCTGCATTGATCGCTTTGATAATGTTATAAAACAATTAGTTCATGCTGCAGCTGTGCGTATGTCGAGATATTGAGCACTTGGGAAGTTTGGAGAGCACTCAAGAGGCTAGAGTTGCACTCGGCTGCGCCTCGTGCAACTCTTACGCCTCTTTCGTGCTCTCCAAACTTCCCGCGTGCTCAATATCTCGACATACGCACGCTGACGCATGAACTAATTGTTAATTGAGGAGAGAACCGTCGATTGCATTGTAGACTGTCTGTCAGCCTCAGGGTTCAACCCTCTGGTGGGAAATTCTGGGGCCCGCGCTAGAAACCAGAGCGGAATATATCTGAAAAGTAATCGAAAATACAAAAGAAAATGTGAGGATCACGCAATAAAAAAGAAAAAAAACACCGGAAAAGGGAAGTGGGGGGTCAAAAGGCTACATGCAAAAACCTAATGGGTCCAAACCTAAAGGTACGCATAACACGCGTGTAGAGGCACAGGCAACACTTTCCGTCAGGCGGCGTAGAGCAGAAGCCCGCCAGGGACGAGGGAGGTGTGGGGCGCCGAAAACAAACTCGAAGCGCTATGACGCCAAAAAATAAAGGCCTGGTTCTGAAAAGGGAATTACGGACCTTCCCTGGAACAAATAATCCCTGGAACTTAAGCAATAAAACCCAGTCCACAACAAAACTATTCCAATGCACTCCATCTCTAGTAGAAACATTTCAGAAAATAGCTGACTTCCATACGTGAGGAATAAGGGCTCCTGTGAGCGCGCAGAGCCCAATGTGTCTGATATACATGACTCTGACAATGAGGCAAACAGGTGGGCCAAGCCAGTTGTTGTCCTATCCCCAATTTTGAGCGAAGGCATAAACAGCCTAACAGCCTGGCTGAAAAAATAGAGAGTTAAGCCAAGGCAACTCGCCGTTGTAACTACAGGCGAACCTGTCAATAATGTAAGGACCTAAGAGGTGATTTAGCCCTAGCAAAACAAAATCGTTGAGGCCGTAACCATCGAAGTCAACGAGCTTGCAGATACAGACCGCACTAGCGTTCAGGTCCCTAGGGATCCACTTGACCTCGAACGAAATACAATGACGGGAGCAAATTTGAAAAGCAACTAGGGCTAAATTCTTTGAGATCGCATTTCCTGCTGCCGTCGCGGAGAATGGATACGACGTTCTGGTTGTCAGAATACCAAAAAACCTTGGAATTAGATGAAGGGCTCGCGAAGGCTAGTAAGGCAAGACAAACCGCTTTGAGCTCTCTTCAAGTCGATCTACGAACACTTTCCGACCAATTCTGATAAAAATCAACTCAGGTTCAGACTCACTTAAACGCCGCAGGCTGAATCGGAAGCATCGGAGAAGCCGGAGCTTACTCTCACTGGAAGCGAACTGGAACCCCTCGGTAAATTTTGCCGTAGAGAGGCTAACATAATTCGACGAAAATTCAATTTCATACAAAGAATCAACGGACAGGAAAACCTAGCTATCCCAGGAAACAGCTGAGTAAACAACTGAGAAAAGCAATCGGGCCATAATGCACGCGACGGATCCCACGCTACTCGAGACGGAAATACTATGGGCGGCTACACACGGGACGCGTAAAACGTGGACTGTGGTGGACGACTAATATGAAGACAAAGCCGCCAGGTCGCGAGGCAATTTAGCAATGCGTTCATCCGTGGCTCTAATACTTCCATCCAGAGTGTTATATTGAGATGAACGCGAAGCCACTAGAAAATTCGAACGGGCTCCCACAGGGACTTTTCCTCATAGGAATTCGAACAAAGCGAGACTAAAGCAAATCGGCATGGACAGCCCGCAAACTGTAAATTAAGGCCTGAACGCGATAGGCTCCTCCTCCTATAGCTAGACCATAGTCAAGAAAAATGGCAATAGGGATACCTTGGCTTCTTCTAGATTTCTGAAGCGGTTTGAGGGAGGCTAACAAGAACCCAAAGGGGAGCGCGCAAAGTAGAAAATACCTAAAAACCCAGGTGCCGAGATCCCAGATGAACGCAAGGAAAAACTGGTGATCAGGGAAAAGTACGATAACCGCACTAGAGGTAAAATATGAATAAATAAAAACCCATATCAAAAATATAAGTGGCCATGGACAAGTCTTCGCACTTGAATTTCTGTTTGAAGAAAAAAGTGCAAACGTGCCTAAAATCCAGGATTAACCTTTGTTAGCCGGAGCGGCGCGTCAAACAGAAAGCGGGTAAATGATATTGGAATGCAAAAATTTTTAAAAGGAGGTTGAGGCTGGGAAGCTCATTAACAGCTACGGACAAAAAGAACTGTAAACACGTGCAGAGGCATTGTAGGATTTGTAAAAAAACATAAAAAGCTGGAAGAAGGGAATTTGTAACTAAGACTAAAAACATTCAAAATGAACAGAGAAACTAGCAAAGTATGCCAGAAATAGATAACTGTGAAAAATCTTCCCCAAACTGAAGGCAGAATAGAAATATAAACGGTACACTCAGAGCACTAAACCGCGCCTAAAACTAGCGGGGTGAACGTCAGAAGAAACTGGTATAATATCGAGACAATCCTGATCCATATTACGGCTTGCCGCCTAAAAAATTCAGTACTAAATTAGAATAGACTGCACCTGATTGTTGTCCTTCATCTAGCCATTTGGGAGTTTGGAATGTTTGGCTTGTCCATCGTCGGGTAACAGGAACGCTTTCCACGGGCAAAACAGGTCCCGACACTGGGTCGTCGAGAAGGCGAAAATTAAAACAGGAACGTTTGACATGAGGCTGGGGTTGCATATGTGAAGTTGAGGTGGACGCCGGCGTTCCCACTGGCGAGGATCTGTTTTTGAGTGGTCTTCTTCTTCTTACGGGCCTAGTACGCTACACGGCCGCAAAATTCTGCACTGTGGATCCTTTAAAACTGGTTTTCGTTGGCCTTCTTCTTGAACTTACGTGGTTCGTTATACTTTAGTTTCTTAATTTCCTTCATCTGCTGCTCGGCCAAATATTCATTAGCGCGCTTGATTTGACCAACGGTTTCTGTTAACAAAACTTTAAACGAGTCCATTAACTGTTTGTTATTCTCCTCAATGAGATCGGACACTTCGTCTTTGCTGACGGATATAACGCAAGAAAGAGCCGATAAGAACGTTAAGAAAAACCAAGGAGAGGTTGGTTCGTAAGCCTAGATGACGAACACGTGATATACGCAGACTTATATACCCCCGATATGGCTACCCATGGTGCACCCGGCCTAGTACCCAGGCCCTGTTGTATCTCGTGCCGTCAAAATATTTATTTCTGCCTTCTTCGCGGGCTCATTCGTCAGAAATAACATTTTTTGACACTTTTGATTGACCTTTCGTTTCCCACCCTGGGGAATTTGATCAAAAAATTTTAAAATTTGTCAAATCCCCACCCCTTGCCCCTCCCCCACGGGGTTTACTTTGATAGGTGCATTACTTCGGCGGAGCGCGAAGTAAAGGATTCGCGACGCTCAGGAATGTATCAAAGTTGACTCTTTTGGGACAAGATTGGGCGCGCAAAGTCTGTAGGTTTTCAATTTTATTCGGCTATTTGACGACGTGAGAGCCGAATCAGTTCGAGATATCTCGAGATCACTTCGATTTCTTTGATTTATTCTTTAACTTATTCGAGGAAGAAAGAATTATTTTTTGGGCGTGGCCCAAATAGAGTAATGGAAACGGCTTGTTTTGATGCAAAAGTGCAATAGGCAGGCAATACGTGCTAACGTAAACAAGGCAAGTAAGCAAGCCAAGCGAGGTGAATGTCTGCCATGCGAACGTCTTGTACAAGGTAAGAGACATGTGCGAAAGAAAGCTCTGGTGGCAAGGTACTTTGTCCTACTTTTATGATCTCAAAAATCAATCTGAATCTTCAGTATTTTTACCTCATCTAAATTTGGAACTTTGAAGTCCGGGGATAAAATTTGTTAAAAATATTCGTACTATTAACGGGTTTTCGTCACAATAAGACTTTGAGCGATGTTAAATTGTTTTGAGAGGTCGAGAACGAAAGGAGATGTTGCTAAAAATGTTTGACTTGCAGCCTAGAGAGATTAAAATAAAGATTACAAATACATTTAGGAATTGTTAAATGAACTTAAAAGGAATTGGTTTATGGTCGGTACGAAAGGAGCATTTTAGTATATTCACGTGCGTGTTTGCTCGTGAGTGTCAAAGTCACGTTTGTGGGAAAAGTTGGGGTAAGATTTGTGCGTGTTGTCACGTGGAATTTTTTCCTGAGTAAAGGATTGCAGTATGTACTCTGTTTGTGCAGGTTAATGTACACTGTTGTTCAAGAGTTTATCTTGATGATCTTGTCTGACATATCGAAATGTACGAATCAATGTGATTTGTTAGGGTGGGCCCTTTACGAACGATGTGTATTCTATCTTGTGTGACATTTGTTTGACGAGAGGATCGAAATGCACCAATCATGGAGAAAGAATTGTAATTGCATGTTTCCTAAGAGGGCATATGAATTTGTTGTTTTCATGTCCATTTTGTTATTGAGTGTAAAAGTCACGTTTGTGGGTAAAGTGGAGATAATATTTATGATTCAAACAATGTGTGTTGTCACGTGGATGGTGTTGTTGGGTAAACCATTGCAGTATGTACTCTGTTGGCGTAGGTCACTGGGCTTTTCAAAAACTCGCGACCTCTGAAGCTCAAAAGCCACCAGCACATTTACGTTTTAATTTTCGCTGCCGTTTATCATCATTATGATCACAAGCAACGAACCTTGAAACACAGAAAGTCGCAAAACGGATCGAAACCCACCAATTACAAATCACAAACCATGACCTTTTGAACCCGTTGAAGAAAACTTGTGTTTCCTAAGAGGTCCGTTAAGATGATTGGCGTCTGACATTTTTTCGACGAGAGGATCGAAATGCACCAATCATAGAAAGACAATAGACCTTGTCACGGTTTTCGACGCCATCTTGACGAGTAGGCAAACGTGTGAGAAATTACAGTGTTTGTATGAGAATCTATAAATGTCGAATAATTTCCGTAAAACGGCTGTTCTCAAAAAAAATATCAAGTCTAAACTAAAGATACAAAGCAAAGGATTGTCCTAAAAAAATGTTGAGGACGTATCTGTGCTTAGATTTCTCCAGAGGCTTGCTTTAGATTTTCCATATATATGTCTGTAATTTTCCCGGAACTTTCTTACAGACAAATGTACAGAAAATTTAAATTTTAACGCCCTCAATTTTTTTCAGTAGAATTCTTGGGAAGCTTTAGTTTACAAATCATATTTTTGTCAGAACAGCCGTTCTACGGAAATTATTCGACATTAGATTCTCATACAAACACTGCAATTTTTCACGCGTTTGCCTACTCGTCAAGATGGCGTCGAAAACCGTGACAAGGTCTATTTTAATTGCGAGTTTCCTAAGAGGTCATCTGAATGTGGTTAATCCAATGCGGGACGATTTAGATTTCGTTTGATTCGAAATTTTTCAAAGCGGCAGGAAGAAGCAGTTTGGATAAAATTTGGCGACGCTGTTTCGAGGAACGTGTCAATATATTGTTAAAGTATCTTACAGATGCACACACTGTTCGCGGTAGGCCCACACTAAATGCAGAAGAACCAAACCAATCACAAAGCGTGGGAACCTGCATTGTGATTGGTTAATCCTTCCGCTTCTGCTTCCGACTCCAACAATCTGGTTTTCACTAGATCATAAGCGAAACGTTACCGACGGAGTCGTAAGCGGAGTCGGAAGAAAATGAAAACGCCCCGATTCTTCTGACTCCGATTCCGCCGCGCTTATGACTCTCCTTACGACTCCGATTTTTGATTTTCACTAGGTCATAAGCGCTCTTACGACTCCGCTTACGACTCCGACTCCGACTCCGTCGCTAGTGAAAACCAGCCTTAAGGGTTTGAAGAGAGGAATGTGTATCAAGTTTGAGAGTCTAAAGATTTGTATGGCTGGAAAATTCATTGTAGAAACCGATCATGCTAATTTGAAATGGTTGTGCTCTATTGCTCCCCATAAAGACAAGCTACGGCACGCTGGGTATCCTCACTTGCTGAATACGATTTTGAACTACGTCACCGCCCTGGTCGCGGTAACGCACTCCTGTTGCCCTTTCACGTTACGCCGTAACCCAGTTTATCCCGTCTGAGAACAATGTTTCATCTGCCACTTTTGTTGACATATTGCCACCGGTCGACGTGTGAGCTTACTTGGTCACTTCACTGGGACTAACTCCATACTACTTCGTCCCTCTTACGCCTACCATCTCATCTTCTTTGAAGAGGGCCCTTGTCCTAACAACGGTAGATACAAGCACTTCTCGCCCCACCAAAGCAGAGCATCTCTCAACTACCAGTCAGACAACAGAACCCCTTACTCTCCTGTGATCCAACAGACAAGACTTCATGACTCTTCAACTCCAAGACTCAACCTTAAAGCTCAGCCACAAGTATCTATCAGCCGGAAGTAAGAAGTCTGTCCTTCATGGCTTGTCGTCCCGCGAACAAACTTGCATTCAAAACCTGGCACGAAGATGTCTTATTTTGGAAGGACTTGTTATGTATTCAGACGAATTTCCTGACGACCCTGGCGACCTTCGTATCTTCGTTCCCCACAGCAAAGACTTGAAGTCCCAGTTACTGCGTTCGTATCATGACTCGCCAGTCGGGATGCACAAAGGACGAGATAATACCTACCACGCCCTCGTTGGAGATTTCCATTGGAGAGGGATGGGGAAGGCAACGAAGCGCTGGGCTGCAAGATGACGAGAATGCCTTAAGCAGAATCCCGCCGATCGGCAACATGCACTCATGCATCCTCGGTTCTACGACAAACCAATGAAAGTACTTAAAATTTACTTTGCTGGACCATTCCGAAATCTGTCAACGGAAACCGCTATATTTACCGCCGTCTGCCCATTCTCTCACTTCCTGGTAGCAATACCAACGGCAGGTCGGAGTGCTACTTCAGCTGCAACGACATTGTTTGATAATGTATTCCTTAAACTAGATTTTCCTGCCACTCTTCTCAGCGACCGAGGAGTAGAGTTCTTAAACGCTGTACTACATAAAGTCTCTAGACTCTTGTCCATTAAACAAGTGTTTACATCCAGTTATTGCCCTCGAGCTAATGGCGCTGCAGAACGTGTTCACCGCTTCATGAATTCGGCTCTTGTTATTTTTGCGTCCAAATGGCAAAAATAATGAGAAGACTACTTGCAGCCAGCTGCAGTGTACTCGCACAACACCTCGGCTATCAACGGCACTGATGGTATAACACCATTCTTCCTCATGTTTGGCCGTAAATCAACATCACCTGAGACAGTTGCTCTTCAGTTCCTAAGCAAGCCAATCACCAACAACGAAAGTAGAAGTAGACGGGGGTTCTACGCAGTGGTGGAGGTGGTGGAGTGACGTCACAATAGCTCAGGGGATTAAAATGATGAGATCATCATCTAAAAATAGAAAGGTATTCTGTATAACAATCTAGGGAGTTGACGTCATCAAAAAACGATGAGATCATCATCAAAATTATCATTTAATATGGTAACTGGTGAGATGACATCATCAGCTTAAATTAGAAAGGGTTTTTTGACATGATCAGCTATTTTCTATAGTCTATGACATCATTATTTATTTTTTATCTTTTTAAGACCATATAAATGAAGGTCATTATAATTATTAAATATGGTTGTCATCCAAAACGAAAATGCGTATTATTCAGTCTTTCATAAGAATAAAGTTTAATCATTATCGTATGATCGCGAGGGCCATAGTTCCCCCCTCGAGAGAAGTAACGTCTCTCCAGAAAACATTTTGCGACCTCCCAGGGTCAACAGTTTCCAAGCTGAAAGAACTCCATTCTGAAGTATTTCTAAAAGTCAATTTGGGCAGACTCTTGGTGTTCTTGAAATTTGCAGAGGATCTGGAACTGACGCAAGAAGAATGGGGACAATTATATGCTGTTATTTATCCCACTTTAATATCTCAAATCTGAGAGCAGTTATATAAGGCCATGATGTCAGCAGTAAAATCATTGAAGACTCGAACATTGCGAAGTGATTAGAGCGATGGGTTGTTGTCCACCATCGACCACGTTTGGACATCATTAGTCAGTTAATTATGCGAGTTCGCAAGCCCACCGTTGCATACAAATTAGTTCAGCTCTGCAGGAAAAATCCCAAGAGAGAACCTTCAAGTGACTTATTATTATAAAAACAATAAAAACAAAATAACCTAACAAGGATCAATTGAAACACGCGACTTACAATTGCGAGCAATAAAATTTTTAAAAAACTTTATTAAAACCAATAACAAAAAGAGTCAAAATACACAGCGATTTGAGAGGAAAAGGAATGAAAATTAATCCTTTGACTGACTATTACAAATTCGTTTTCTCCGTTCTATTACGAGGAATAATAAATAATCCTTCCCTGTCTACGCAATTTTCCTATAGCCTCTAAGCGAAGAGTTCGACTTTCTTTGTTTCTTTCGGTTTGTCTTGTTCTTTGTAGTTGTTCCTTTAGCTTTTGCTTTAAAAGAGGCTTTATTTCTTCGTGATCTTGACAGTTCGTACACCGTTTCTTGTGTCTGTACTGGACTGCCAGTACTAGTTGAGTGATTTTTTCCGGAATTATCCGCTTCACTTTCGTAAACGACAACTTTAACTTTAGGTTGCAGTTTCGCCTCTTGTAAATACTGTCTTCGCTGTATGTGGTCTAACTGATGAACATCCGCGAGATGGTTAGCTAATCTGACAAGGTACTTCGCCCCGCACCATGAAATCGGACAGTTTCTGCAAACTCTCTTGTAAACCATGTTCAAAAACCTGTTGACAGTTCGATGGCTGAACACAAATGACTTCTATTTCGCAAATATTCAGGTTATACAGAGTATTAGAAAGGCCAAACACAGGCCCGAAAGGCCATAACCAGGCCAGAAAGGCCAAAACCAGGCCAAAAGAGACAAAAGGAGACAAACGGGCCATTTTCAGTCATGTGCCTTTTTTCTCGTACACACGCGTGGGTGTCGCGCGTCGCTAGTCACGCAACAGCTTTCAATATTGGAATCATCATCTTTATTAAGTGTAATCACAAATAACAGTGCCTAATTAAAAAGTTTTGTTCTTCCTTTAGTAATTGGTATTTCAAATTTCAGATTTGCTATTTATTGCACAAGTTTACTGTTATTGGTATTATGATCAAGTCATCAATAGTTTGGTTGTTTACAGTTTTTATTGAAATGCAACAATACAAAGGTCCAGGGAATAAAAAATTTTGTAATTCATAGCCAGTCTAGTCTTGATATTCGTTTGGCCCTTTTTACCTTCGTTTGGCCTTTTTAGCCTTGCTTTGGCCCATCTGATCTTCGAAATAACTGGTCGATGTAAGTTCGATTATTATTTAGCTTAGTAACCCCGCCTTCACCCATTTTCTATAAAAGAGACGTGTTACTTTCTGATGTTTGGTTTCCTATCAGAACGCGTGCGGTTCAAACCAAAAAGATGTGGAACAGTGACCTCCATTACAACCTTATTCAAAAAGGTGCTGGAAATTATGAAGACAGCGAAGAAAGCGAAGAAAGCGAAGTCTCTAGCCAAGGAACGGAGTCTTCCCAAGAAGAAACAGAAAGCTTAGAGCCTTGGTCACGCATATTTGATGAAGCCGAGAAACGCCATGAGACTCAGCTCAACGCATTGATCAGTGAGTACGAAGGGAACAGAGATTCAGAAAATGTGGCCCGCGTGAAAGCCGAGAACGCTCTTCTTCCTGTTTACAGAAAAGAGCTGAGAAAAGTACTCTTAGAGAATCTACAGTGGATGCGTGCAATGAAAAAGGATCCCACCTTCAAAAAAGTGATGGAAACTCAAAAAGAGCTTAAAGACACAGAAGGATTTGACTGGTTGGAATCGACAGAACTTGCTATCGATAAGCGAAAATTCTTACTAAATCGATTGTACCAAAAGCAGCCCATTCCAAAAGATCAAGACTAGACCTACTATGAATGTTACAGAATTTTTTATTTCCTGGACCTTTGTATTGTTGCATTTCAATAAAAACTGTAAACAACCAAACTATTGATGACTTGATCATAATACCAATAACAGTAAACTTGTGCAATAAATAGCAAATCTGAAATTTGAAATACCAATTACTAAAGGAAGAACAAAACTTTTTAATTAGGCACTGTTATTTGTGATTACACTTAATAAAGATGATGATTCCAATATTGAAAGCTGTTGCGTGACTAGCGACGCGCGACACCCACGCGTGTGTACGAGAAAAAAGGCACATGACTGAAAATGGCCCGTTTGTCTCCTTTTGTCTCTTTTGGCCTGGTTTCTGGCCTGGTTATGGCCTTTCGGGCCTGTGTTTGGCCTTTCTAATACTCTGTATAACCTGAATATTTGCGAAATAGAAGTCATTTGTGTTCAGCCATCGAACCGTCAACAGGTTTTTGAACATGGTTTACAAGAGAGTTTGCAGAAACTGTCCGATTTCATGGTGCGGGGCGAAGTACCTTGTCAGATTAGCTAACCATCTCGCGGATGTTCATCAGTTAGACCACATACAGCGAAGACAGTATTTACAAGAGGCGAAACTGCAACCTAAAGTTAAAGTTGTCGTTTACGAAAGTGAAGCGGATAATTCCGGAAAAAATCTCTCAACTAGTACTGGCAGTCCAGTACAGACACAAGAAACGGTGTACGAACTGTCAAGATCACGAAGAAATAAAGCCTCTTTTAAAGCAAAAGCTAAAGGAACAACTACAAAGAACAAGACAAACCGAAAGAAACAAAGAAAGTCGAACTCTTCGCTTAGAGGCTATAGGAAAATTGCGTAGACAGGGAAGGATTATTTATTATTCCTCGTAATAGAACGGAGAAAACGAATTTGTAATAGTCAGTCAAAGGATTAATTTTCATTCCTTTTCCTCTCAAATCGCTGTGTATTTTGACTCTTTTTGTTATTGGTTTTAATAAAGTTTTTAAAAATTTTATTGCTCGCAATTGTAAGTCGCGTGTTTCAATTGATCCTTGTTAGGTTATTTTGTTTTTATTGTTTTTATAATAATAAGTCACTTGAAGGTTCTCTCTTGGGATTTTTCCTGCAGAGCTGAACTAATTTGTATGCAACGGTGGGCTTGCGAACTCGCATAATTAACTGACTAATGATGTCCAAACGTGGTCGATGGTGGACAACAACCCATCGCTCTAATCACTTCGCAATGTTCGAGTCTTCAATGATTTTACTGCTGACATCATGGCCTTATATAACTGCTCTCAGATTTGAGATATTAAAGTGGGATAAATAACAGCATATAATTGTCCCCATTCTTCTTGCGTCAGTTCCAGATCCTCTGCAAATTTCAAGAACACCAAGAGTCTGCCCAAATTGACTTTTAGAAATACTTCAGAATGGAGTTCTTTCAGCTTGGAAACTGTTGACCCTGGGAGGTCGCAAAATGTTTTCTGGAGAGACGTTACTTCTCTCGAGGGGGGAACTATGGCCCTCGCGATCATACGATAATGATTAAACTTTATTCTTATGAAAGACTGAATAATACCCATTTTCGTTTTGGATGACAACCATATTTAATAATTATAATGACCTTCATTTATATGGTCTTAAAAAGATAAAAAATAAATAATGATGTCATAGACTATAGAAAATAGCTGATCATGTCAAAAAACCCTTTCTAATTTAAGCTGATGATGTCATCTCACCAGTTACCATATTAAATGATTATTTTGATGATGATCTCATCGTTTTTTAATGACGTCAACTCCCTAGATTGTTATACAGAATACCTTTCTATTTTTAGATGATGATCTCATCAGTTTAATCCCCTGAGCTATTGTGACGTCACTCCACCACCTCCACCACTGCGTAGAACCCCCCGTCTACTTCTACTAACGAATATGCAAAGCATTTAATTCAAATGATTTCAGCGCCACAAAAACTATTTCCTAGCATCAAAAAGGACTTAAGGAGGAGGTAACGAGATTATAACGATTTGTCTGCTAACGTTACAGAATTTTCTGTCGGACAACAGGTCCTAGACAGGGAACCACCTCCTTCAAACGTAGAAAAGGGATCAGCCACTAAACTCATCCGAAAATACGCTGGACCTTATATCGTCGGCGAGCATCTGAGGAATAGTGATCTTAATCGTCTACGGCACGTCATTACCAATGAAGAATTACCTCCTACTGACGTTGACAAGCTGATACCAGTTCCAGAAGCCGAACCTGGGGAACTAAGAGAATCCTGCGCACAAGGAGCATCTCTTCCTGCTCAATCAAGGGGGAGAGAGGAACAATACAAACCTGGTCAATTCATCATATACCTTCCCAAGAGCAACAATCAAGCAGACGAGGGGATTTCGCTCAAACTGGCTCAGTATCTAGACCCCCTAGGCAAGGTTCCAGTTAGTGAAGCTCGCAAGCATCTGTACTCTGTTTACCCAGCAGCCAAGCAAATTCTCGCCAAACTTGGAAGAATGCGCGGTCTCACAGCACATTGCCGATACTTATCTCTCAAAGAGATCCCTCTGGAGGAGCGTATTATCTAGTCTTAGAACAAGCTGCGTATCGACGGCCTCACACCCATCAAGGGATCCTGGTTGGAGAAATTGTGGAAGCCGGTGAAGTCCAAGTCGCTGTTGTAGTTCACACCTATGGTCCTACTGGACGTCGCACAAGACTTGCGAAAGCTCGCATTTGGAAACCTGTCTACAACCACGATTTGTCAGAGAAATCCGTCCCTACGGACAAAGACAAGCGCTTGATGGACTATAGCCCAGACTTTGATGCGCTGAGTTTAGGCAAACTATTACAGTACAAGACACTCTGGAGCAATTGTTGTCTGTTAGAGACATGGACGAAGCAGTGACAAAGTTATTTGTTAGCATTAGGTCGTTGCACGTTTAGAGACTAAACTACGCTCGAGCTTAATCGTGGTTTTAGATGCTTAAAATATGTGCATCTAGTTTTAGGACCTTAAGCATTTGAGTCTATTTTATTGTACTTTTCCTAGCTCCTATTAGAAGGGAAGGAAGTAGCCGTTTTTCCTTACACCATTATGTCATATGCTCGTTTATGGAAAGCGTAGGTCACGTAGTGAGAGATTAAAAAGAGTTCTGGTTGTTGTTGTGATCGAGTTGGCGCGATATGTTTCGCCTATTTTCTAACCGCCACACTTGGCCGGGAGAGGGAGAGAAGCGAAGGGATCGCGAACGACCTCGGACGTCTGAGAATCAGGCTACTGGGGGCCCAGAACAAGGATTTTGGCGCTGCTTCGCAGACGTTACCAACCCGAGGTCGAATTACGTCTGCGACGCAGGCTTTTGTAAACTGATTATCTTAGGTTGTTAACATTCCCTTGAACGCTAGAGATCCAACCCAACATCAAACGCTTTTTAACCCAACGCTGTCCTGCTTGAATGTTGAATGTGTTTTTACATTTTTATTCTATAGGGTATGCCCCTGTGACAGTCATTACTTATCTCGACAAGCTGAGAGACGAGGAAGACAAAAGCAACGCTTTTGACATGGCTTCGTGGGCGATTGGTAGTTCCAGCGAAAGAACCTTCTTCATTTCGAATTACATGCATTTTAACAGCGACAGGTGCTTGACCGTGGACCGAACGGCTCTCGACGTCTTGGACTTTTCCTTGCTTTCTGCTGAAAGGTTCATACGGATCAAAAAGCAGCAAGAGAAAAATCAGATGGAAAGGGAAATTGCGGCTGCAGGTAATTTCTTCGGCGGTGGCTCAAGCCGCCACTTTTTTCTTCCGTTTGTTTTCACTACAATCTTTTTGTAAAGGAACAATTCAGCAGTGTCGTGACCAAGCTCTTTGAAGTATTTTCCAATCGAATCTCTCATTAAGGAGGCGCATCTTTAACCGAATGTGTTAATCAAATGTCGGTCAACAAATGACATACACTTAATGACTTGCCAGAGGGAAACAGTTTTGATTTGTTTCTAATGAAGAAAAACTTGTACAAATATATGAAGTAAATATCTGCAAGCGGTCAACTTTTGAGTGGGAAACAGCGTATTTACCCTCTGACGTCACAGGTTTTGCAATATTGCCCCGTCAGGAACTTTCGCGGGGAAAACGTTTCTATCGTTAGATATCATGTGACCTTGAAGTAACCAATGAGAGGGTGCCCTTCACAATCATTAATATACAACCTCCAACTATCAGTTTCTCTAGTGCCCTTTGCTTCATCTTTGATCTTCTTCATATTCCTTGTGTGGAGCCCATAAAATTTCCTAATTCGGAGCGTAGAGAGTTTGTAATCTCGTCGCTCGTGCGCAGCCTGCTAACCGCGCGTGGTCTTAGCCAGCTGCAAAACTCGATGCCCCATAAATAAATAAATAGATAAATAAATCTTTCTATGACTATATGCTTGGTGTACACCCGCCAATGTCGTCATGTAGCGTTACGTCATGGAGTATTTTGCGTTTCCAGGCTACAAAGACTTTGCCGCCGATGACCAGGCCGCATTTTCATGTTTTATTCATGAAAGGCTGATGTGTTTAGTCATCGTCTGTGGAATAATGTTTACGATCGGTGAATCACAAGCAATTTCTCATGCAAATGACACAGAACCGCTAGGACAGCAAGCGGCTGCAAATCCTCGCCAAGGAAGATTTTCCATTGAAACTTCTCTGTAGAACGCCGATTGAAATTCATCGGCGAAAGGATCGAAGAAGACAACCGCGAAGCAGAGAGAACATCGCTTAGCACAGCAATGGCAACGTCGTCAACACAGCAACCACAAACATGCACAGAGGCAGCGACAAAATACCATAATTACACTGTAAACGAAACCGATGAAGAGAGGGAACACTGACTGCCGACGCTTCAAAAAGCGACGAAAAGATCAGGCAACGTTTGAAGTTTACAGTCAAATTATCTTCTTCGATGGAGCGATAGGCAGCAAGAGTTATCAGGGGCTCCCAACGACTGTTTTCTTATATGTAAACACAGCTGTGTCTTCTAAGTCAAGCCTGGCCTCCTATTTTCGATGCTATTTACTATTCGAAAAAAACATCTGGATTTCGGATCTCCTCACAATATTAGTGTGTGACGTGTCACCATGCCAGGAAAATTAATTTTTTTCCCCGTAAGGGACAATTTAACAAGTCAGAGAATTTATTCACCGAAGTTAAACATATTCCATTGGAAGAATATTGTATCAAGAAATTACACGACGAGCAGATATAGGAATTCCTATGAGATCCATCCATTGTGCACTTAACATTCGCGATAAATTTACGCAATAAATAGGTGGACAGGATGGCTGTGATGGGAATTTGGGCATTTATTTTGTGTACCAGACACAGATGACATAAAAAAAGAACAAAAAACTATGAAACAATACCAAGGAGATTTTCACTGAGCAGAAAACAAAGAAGTCTTTTGTTTTACATCATCTGTGTCCAGTACACGAAGTTTTGACTGGAATTTGGAATCCATTAATATCTGGACAAAGAGAGATTAATATCTTGCACTAAGAGGTCACGCGACCAATGCTTCCGTTTAATAATGAGTTGGAATCTCGTTGATGCCAAAAGTTGACAGAGAGCATTAAAATTATCTCACTCCCGAAATTTGAGAAGAAACGCATTTAAGGGAGACATTTTATGGCACTTTGATTTTTCAACAAAGTAGTATGATTTGTATTGGCCGCCATGTTAGAGAGCATACTCTTGCCCTCCAACATGGCGGCCAAAACTATTTTTTGCTTATATCTTGTTAAACGTTTGATAGTTACGCTCAGATGTGCTGTAAACGTTATCACATCATCTTTTCAACATTTTCCTTGAAGTTTAAGTGCAAAATTTGTGTTCAGAAAGAGGTAATTCATAATTTTAAAAGTCACATTTTGGTCACGTGAACAGCCACGAACTTACTCATTTTAAGATATGAACCACTAATCGTTTTTCGAATTCAAAATCATATAACTTTTCTTTTCATAAAAACGATGTCACATGACCTCTTAGTGCAAATGGCCTACTGTCAATTCATTTGGTCAGGGAAAGTAAACCTTTTTCTGTCAGTCTGGGAATTTAAAAAACTATGCCTCTGGCAACCACGTCTCGACAAGCTCATGCATGTTGAGAACTGAAACACTGATCACCTTCAACATTACTTGTATGTAGACATTTCATACAAATTCACTCTTGCATGAGTGTTTGTTAATCTCATGCATGTACACAGACTAGCAGTAGCCGTTGGCTAGGAAGTGTGGGCGAAACCGCTTTCATATGTAGGTGAATGCCTTTCACTGCGGGTCATAAAAACTGGATTGAACAACACAGTAACCAGGGCTCATATATATTTAATTCAACGATTTTATTTGCGGTTGATTAGGTACAATTAGCCTGCAATATTTCTGGAGCGATCAGCTAGGAAAGACGTTTGTATTTTATTGGCCGGCAAAGATACATTGAAACAGTAATACGTGACACAAGTAATGCGGGTATGCAGTCATGCACGAAGTTTTGTTATTCAATCGAATATTGAATCCGTGTTCAATGACCAAAGGCCGTTGATATGCAATGCAAAATAATGAAATAGCTTAAACTACCACTGGAGTTTAAAGATTATTAAGGCTTTCGGGTGACAGGCGACGTAACATGCTTGAAAATGTATAAAAATATAAAAACCCTGAAAAACCATGCACTGTAGTAAAACCTGAATAAATTTTATTTCTAGACTGTGCTAGCACTCCTCACCTAAAACTTGTCCGGCACTAAGCTGAGATCAGGCTCTTTTTTTATTTTCCTGGATAAATAGATTCCAGGCTGATAAGGCAAATCGAAAAGTCTCCCATTTAGTGCAGTACTTGTGTACGTAAATTACCTGTGCTTGCGAATCGAATGTGAAACAAGACGCTACGGAGCGTACACTACGGCGTCGTGGTTGTGGAACTGATTAGTTGTAAATGAGGAGGAATAGTAAGAAATGAAATATGGTAAGAGTAAGGTGTTAATTTGTGAAATTATGGAATTTGTCAGGATATTCTGAAAAGAGCAACATCCAAGAGGCCTACTTACCAAAAACTAGCATTTCGAGGCAAATTGTCTCTGAGATATTAGCCCAGTTATGCTCTGATGACTCCATACAAATCCTTCTAAATTTGACTTGGGTCTAAACTTTTAGACGTAAGTCAAATATGAGGTTACTGGCGGTGAATAACAAGTCTAACAAAACAAACAGTGAAAAAAGACTTCTCTATTTTTCTTAGTCACATCAGGCTTCAAAAACAGCATAGCAGTCTCATGTACTGATTAAAGATATGTAAGGCATGGCTAAACAGTCAGTTACGTTGAGCATGGAATTGGCTAAAACTCAATGTTACGAGTTCGAATGTTTTGAGGATGATTATTCACTGACTATCAGCACGCAGGGATGTCGGATTAACCCAAGGAAGTTTAATACCAAAGGAACATAGCCTTTACAGAGCTTTAAAACACAGCACCCGCCAACACAAACTTGACTTGAGCTTAAGTCAAACTACATAGCCTCTGCCAATAATAACAAACTCTCACTCGAACTTCAGATATCTTACGGCTTCCGCCAACTTGTAAACACAGAACTTGAAAACCGACCCTCGTCATACTTGACTAAACACAGCAGTCCAGCTCGTGGGAAAAAACTGAGTTCGTCAAAAGAACTCGCTTGGAACTTGTATACCGTTTGACATAAGGTTCTAGAAAATACTAAACAGGCGAATAGTAGTAGCTTTTCGACATATTTATGATTTCAGTAACTGATACAAATCTGCTGACTCATGCTGAAATGTAAACATGCCCTAATTAATTATTTATGATAATCCAATACGTAGAGAACGTTCGAGAAAGTCACGCAACACATGAAAGCGATTTTACTACGTAACACTCAACAATGACAAAATGTTGCGCAGCATTTTGTAACTTTAAATTCATCATAAAACAGTTCGAAAGGAGGGCTCACTCGTGAAATGTTTGAACTTGCACGCACAGTCTTGTCCCGAAACTAGTGTATCATTTCACAACTGTTTTCCATATCCCAAACTACCCTGGGTCACTGTAGCGCAATCGGCAAATCCCTCAACCAGGACGTAATAAGCTAGGGCTTCTTACGCCCAGCCCTCAACATAGAGTCTCCTTTGATCTGACGGGTCACACAGGTGAGTCGGTTCAAACCCCGGGAAAGCCAAAATAATAATTCTTTCTTCCTCGAAAAAGTTAAAGAATAAATCAAAGAAATCGAAGTGATCTCGAGATATCTCGAACTAATTCGGCTCTCACTTCGTCAAATAGCCGAATAAAACCGAAAACCTGCAGACTTTGCGTGCCCAATCTTGTCAAAAAAAGTCAACTTTGATACATTCCTGAGAGTCGCGAATCCTTTACTTCGCGCCCCACCGAAGTAATAACGATTGCATCACTTGCATGTGCATTCACGTGATTACTGTGACATCAGAGGGACTTTGAACTCAACACCAGGGCCTTCGACGCCACGTACCATTTATACAATGCATAATAGTCGGTACAACACAGGAATGTGAACAGATCGAGGAAAAAACCGGCTATACAGTTAAAAGAGTGCCACTGACCAAGAATAGGTGGCGGGCTCCCTTTGCCGCCCGCAATAACTATAAACACTTTTATAAATGAAACTTTTTTTACCGGGATAATTCAGTGCTAATGAGGGTACAGCATATTCAATAATCATGATTCATGATCACTTTCATAATTTTCCTCAACTGCATCCTTAATGACATAGCCTGGGACCAGGCCACTCAGTAGGGGAAAAAGGCAAAAAACGGGGTGACATAGGAAAAATATCACATTGCTACATGTAATTTCTATTTTATTGTAAGTGATTATGCTTGCACCTTACTGTTACCAACCAATTAGTTGTCAAATGTGATTATGTACTACAACCAGTGCAAACACTCTCTTGCTGTAATTCACTTAACAATAAATATTTTTTCTTCAATTACCAGCATTTACTTGTTGTTTTCACTGCAGCATTATATCCTACCATTTCATCCACTCACTACTAATGACACACTTCACAAGTAATTAATATTACAAATTAAAGATAATTCCCTATCACACCCATTTTCTTTTACTATAATTACACATGTAGGGGGGTCAAATGGGGTGAACACGGGACCTATGAAACATTGGCTACCCTTCCTTAACAACACAACCCCATTTAAATCCCAGAAAATCCTTTTTAATGACAGAGCACTGGGTTGAAATTTTATACTCCAACCAAAAGGCGATTAACTACATTTCACCTTCCAGTATTAGAGCCAGTGTTGAAACCCGCCCTCCCAAGTTACACAATTTACTCCAGTTCTCTCCCCTTCCATCCCTGACTTTTATGGGCCTCCCCCCGAGCTCGGTGAAGTTCTGCGATACACGTATTTCTAGTAGTTCAAGAGTTTTGTGTGAGACAGAGCGTTTTCACTCATAGGCCAGCATCTATGCTAATTTATTGGAAGAAAAGAAATCGTTTACATGAAGAAGATTTCACCTCCCAGAGGATTTTCTTGGTTCACCAATATGGCCGCCATGACGTCATGTCAAAATGCTCAATAAAAAGAGGCTAAGATGTATTTCGAAATTCCTCTGAGCATAGATTTTTGTTAAATTTCGCAACAACAACACAACAACAGAACAACGTAGCGTAGAGTATTTCCAGAAAAAATGAGAATAATGGCTGCAATTCGATTAATAGCTAAGTAGATTGAGACGTAATTGTCACGCAATATTCATTCCGATCGCGAAAAAATTATATCGTGTTATAATGTGTTTACAATAAAGATCAATCCGTCCAAGAGTGAAAGATATGCCTACAAAATTATAGGGTCGAGCCACCTTAACGTACTTTTTTTATTTTTTTTACTCAGGAGCCAGTGGCGGGGCCGAGACAGTAGAACAGTTTTTCGCCCGTCTGAGAAAAAAGTACAACTGGACTGACCAGGGCAAAATGAAAGAGGTGGTGTCGGAACTACGTAAGAATGAAATCAATACCGTCAAGGTTCTCAAGGAGTTATGGGAAGAAGTCAAGGGCGAAATTCCGCTATCCATTGGCATGAAGAGATGTTTGGAAGTTGAAATCCAGAACGTTTGATAAGCTAAGGTGTCACGGGAAAGCCACTGACTCGTCCCCAGTCGTCTTCGCGTAACGCGCGCGACGGGAGAAGGCGGGAGCAAGGGGTAATAGGGAGAGATAGATAGAGAGACGACTGGGGGCGAGTCAGGGAAAGCCACTCAATTTTGTCTTCGATGTGATGCTAGATAATAATAACAAGGAGAGAATTATTGTAACAAGTATTGATCAGATTTAGTAAAAATAGTTATTTTTAACCAAGATTTAACAGTCTGAAGCATTTTTACTGACTTGCAATATTTACAATAGATTATATTCAATAAACAACGGCTCATTTATATCAACTAAAGCACTGAGTATTAGACTCATGTAATAGTCAGCTCCTCTCTTTAACAGGAGAGATTATTCTCTCTTGTATAAACTGGAATACTTTTAGAACTGTTTAAACCTGCAAAATAAAGACTCATTTAAGGTCTCTTTCAGGTGAATAATGTAAATCAACTTACCGAGGCGATTGATCCCGGCCTCGGTTTGATGCCTCGGGCCATTCGGTAAATATTCGCCGCCGTTTACCTTCCTGGCCGGAAAGTCCTTGTTTCTTTGAGATCCTTTGAGTCTAATTTCAGGACGAGACAAGTTAGGATATGAATCAGGAAGTAACGGGTGGTGGCTTTTATCAAGAGAGAATGAGACCTGTGTTACTACGCAGTACGTGATTGGGTGAATGGCATCCTCGTCCCTCATGGCATAGAATGCTGCTGCGGCGCACTGACGTCTTTTTTGCAGACGAGGTTAGGCAGCAGTGCGCAAAGCATCATGGGACAAACGGTCACAAAAAGTTATTTGCAGCAAACCATCGAGTTGACCATTTCTCGACCATCCGTCAATTTTAGCCTCAATTGTCATTTCTTTACGCCGTAGTGGCAAGCTGGTTTTCAGACATGCCGTGTAACAGTTACAAATTATGAATATTAAAACTAGTAATATTTCCCCGATTCTGATTGGGTAAAAGCACACGCATAATTCACCATAACCAGTTACTGATGGCCAAATTTGGAAGAATTTTGTGTTTCATGAGGAAATGACGTCAAAAATGCAGTGTTCTTGCAGGTTAATGCACAGTTAACCGAGAAGACCTGGGGACGAGGTTGAGTTGTTTTCGTTGTGAAAACAAAAAATGGTGGACATTTCACTCGTTTCAACAGTAAGAACCAGGCGAAATTATTGCTAAAAACATGGCAAGAACAGCAAGAACACAACTCGAAGGACGACATCTGCTATTTGGAGAATATTTGCGGAGATGAACAACCCTAAATGTGCGCTATCGAAGGTGAACTTAACATCGATGGAGGTAAGCATGTTTTAGCTTTGTTTTTAAACTAGGAATTATTTTGAATGAATAATAAAACAATTATTGAATTCGGCTTTCATATCATATGAAGAATTATGGAGATCTCGGAGGGTGTTATCCGCCTCGGCTTACGGCCTCGACGGATAACACCCTCCTCGATCTCCATAATTCTTCATAAGATACTCAGCCTCATTCATTAATTGTTAAATAATTTAGTATAAGAATTTACAATAATATTTTATCTATTACAAAATAATAACAAGAAATGAGTCATTAAAGAAATAACAACAACAACAAGTTTATTCAGTATTACCAATTTGTACAGGCGTTACCGATTAAAATATTAAACAGTAAACAGCTAAATTTAAGGAAATGAAGATATAATGGAATGGTAGAATTAATTATGTTTCTTTCGTCTTTCAAATGCTTGAAAGACGAAATTAGCAGTTAGCCTGCTTCAGTTGTATGTGAATCAGTATTGTTAAAAAGAAAACAGACTTTATCCTGGATATTGTAATTTGTAAATAATGTATTTCGATCGTTGAATTTACTAAAAAGATTCATCCTCAAATCATTATATAGGCACAGTGAAATATTATGTGCAGTTCATTTTCAACCGAATTTAGGTTTCAGTGATCACAGATTCTAAGGTCTTCAGGAGTTTTGGGAATTGTAAATCTTCTTCTTCTTCTTCTTTTTCTTCTTCTTTTGACCCGTGCACTGGAACATGAAGTTTTCTTGGGCGAGTCGCGTTTGTCTCAAGTGAACAATAGCCCTAGAGCAAATGTATTTCTAGCCTGCGTGGTACATGCCTAAAACTCCCTTTCCCTTCCCTTTCAAACACCTGCCACGCAGGCTAATGTATTTCCAGCAGGGGTGGCTAACTTTGGTAAAGCTATGCAACGGTCCCTAGAAAGGTCAACCCAGGACACCCGGGATGGACTTTTTTGTACAGTGCCCAGGCTTCATTTCGATAACAATCGATGACAATCGATATCAATGAATCGATTGATATTGAACTCGAAGCTAAATCGATCAAGTTTGTACTACTGACAACAAGATATGTCAATTGGCTTAATTATTTGTGCTGTTTTTTCACGGAGCCACATCGATGAACAATTCTCAAACTTTGCTACTGAGGTTTAAAAATAATATACGATCTGCGTACACTCCCGCGATACCTGAAGATACGGAGACATGAATTTTGTGCCAATCGATGGCAATCGATGAAGTTTGCGACCACCCAAGTGTGGTTATCGATTGATCATTGATTGGCCGATGCCAATCGATGCTAATCAACAATAATGTTATTAATCGATTGTCATCGATTGATCGATTGATTTTCCGATCATCGATTTTCATCGATTGTTCAGGTCCTGAAACACTGTAATTATACTAGAACCGTACTGTGGTACTATCACAGAGCCTGGGTTACCTGTGACGAACCAATCAACTGTTCCACTCTTAGTCCAAGATATGGGAAACTGATTGTTCACTATAACTTTTTAAAAGTTACAGAGTTAAAAATGCGTTGGCAAAATCCCATGGTGTTACCATTTAAATGAAACCTCTTCAGCAGTACTTTCACATGGTACTATTTATTTAGCATGTTGTTCTAACTTTTGAGTCTGTGAATGAAATCCTATGTTGTTACCATTCAAATGAAACCTCTTCAGCAGTACTGTCACATGGTGTCATTTATTGAGTATGTAGTTTTAACTTCTGAGTCTGTGGACAAAATGCTATGGTGTTACCATTCAAATGGAACCTCTTCAGCAGTACTCTCACACAGTCCTATTTATTTAGTATGTAGTTCTAAATGTGGAGTCTGTGAATGAAATTCTATGGTGTTACCATTCAAATGGAACCTCTTCAATAGTACTTTCACATGGTACTATTTATTTAGTATGTAGTTCTAAATTTTGAGTCTGTGAATGAAATCCTATGTTGTTACCATTCAAATGAAACCTCTTCAGCAGTACTGTCAGATGGTGCCATTTATTGAGTATGTAGTTCTAAATTTTGAATCTGTGGATGAAATCCTATGGTGTTACCATTCAAATGGAACCTCTTCAGCAGTAATCTGACATGGTACTATTTATTTAGTTTGTAGTTCTACCTTTTGAGTCTGTGGATGAAATTCCCTGGTGTTACCATTCAAATGAAACCTATTCGGCAAAACTTTTACATAGTACTATTCATTTCTTAACATTTTACCAAAAGAAATTTGAGGGTCTTTATTCAGATTTTTTCTTAGGCCAGTCTATGCAGTGCACTTCACTTTGCAGTGAGCGACACTCAAGTCTTGAACAGTTTGGCATCGTTACTTTGTGATCAGTAGGGGGCCCTCATCCC